GTATGGAATTCGCAACGCTACCCTGAAAAGGAAACGCGAAAAATAGGAATTCGCAACTCTACAAGCAAACGCGATTATTGTATATTCGCAACTCTATCTTTAATGGAAATATATTTATGTTTCGCAACGCTAATGCAAATCACGTTTTGCCCACAAATGCTGGATCGTGGTGCTGGCGGCGCCCATCGTTGATGCAAATACACATGCAATAAATAAACTAACTAGTTCAAGCTACTTAAAACTACAATAGAGTGGCACATATGGGAATGAAGTTAGACGTTTTAAATATCGCAACACTACGGGGCAACAACGCGAGAAATCAACAATCATAACGCTAATTTATAATAGAAAAAATTCCAAACGCGACCTGTAAGAATAAAAGCAACCTCGAATGGTAATTATTCGCAACACTTCCCTGAAAAACAAACGCGAAAAATAGTGATTCGCAACTCTAATTCGCAATCGCGTTTACTAAAAATTCGCAACGCTGTTCTTAAAGCAAACGTCCGGTTCCTAGGTTTGCATAAAAACAATCGCGAATCGTGTTTAGTCGCACCACTAACACATCAACGCGATAAATATTTGTTCGCAACTTTACGAGCAAACGCGAACATTGTATATTATTATCAACTCTAACTTTAATCAGAGGCTATTAGTACATGTACATACACATGTACAGACCACAAAATAAACTAACTACTACTAGTACTACAATTGGGGCAGAATTTGTGCATTGAAAATATCGCAACGTTAAATAAAAAATCGCACGATTAATCAAGATCGCGACGCTAATTTATAACATGAAAATTACAAACGCGGTTGACATCCATTATTATATATATAAAAGAGTAAAAAAGCAACGCGAATCGTGACTGTTCGCAACACTACCCTGAAAAGTAAACGCGAAAAATAGTATTTCGCAACTCTACAAGCAATCGCGTTTATTACTAATTCGTATATGACTTCAATCCGGCACTACCACTAAATAGAAAAGATCAAGTGGAAACAACCCGATTAAGAATAGGACACTCAAGCTGGATACACTCATACCTTATCACAAAAACCGAACCAAATTCCTGCACGCCTGTAACGTACAAAATACTATTGAACGCATCTTGACAATTTGCCCTAAATACAATATGAAGAGGATTCAACATAAGCTACAAAATTCACTAACGATCCTACGAGAAATAGACTCATGCAAAAAAGTTTTAAACTTATTAAAAGACATTAAAGTATACCAATTGCTCTAAATATGATCAGTTCCACTAGGTAACCCAATTGTGGTCACTGATAACCAACAAGGTGCATGTGATCTAAAACGCTCAAAAAAAAAAAAGTCATCGTGCCCCGTTGCCTTCGCTCATGCAAATAGCACCTGGGCATGTGCATAAACTTAGGCAACGAACACGGAAAAATTAGTCTGAAAATCCCGACTAGAAAAACTGGTTAATAGCTAAACGGTATTTCGTATTTAATTTTGAGTTAAAATGACTCGACTTGTTATATGTAATATATCAATAATAAAATATGTTAATATTGAAATACTATTATTCAATAAAACTATTATAATTGAAATTTAATTATTTAAAATGAAAAACTTTATTAAGATTTTATTATAATTTAATTTGAGAATTGAAATTCATTATTGAAACAAATTTAATAAAGTATTATTTAAAAAATTCAAAGTCGATTCTGTTGTCAAAGTAAATTTTTAAAATATATAACTGGTATAAAATGCATGTTACTTTGACTCAAAAATCAACCTGTCGCGAAATGCCTTCTTGCACATTAAATACATCATACGATGTATTAATTAAGTAAACGATCAATATTTAATAATTTATATTAATGTTCTACTCGATCATGTGATAAATATAATGTTTTCACATTATATTAATTCATTTTCTTCTCAATCATATAATTCATATAAAGTTAATAAAACTATTTCATATATTTGATAAAAATTGTGCAATATTTATTTTTAACATTAAGAAACGCGAGTGCAACAAGACCCTAAAACCTGTTCTAAAAAACATAACAGTTGATGTTACTACTCACGGGTATTGAAAATACACGCAGTCACTTAACTCGTCAAAAATAGCAAGTATACAACTGGTCACCCGTGTTGATTCGGATCTTTCACCTACAACATGGTTGGGGACCAAAGGAACACAAACATCATGCAACTCACCAGTGATTACTAGAAATCATCAGTCATCCCTCCGTTCAGGATCAGGTCCAGAAACTGTAAGAAAAATGCACGAAAACAATTAGAATCTATTGCTAAAATTATAGAGATTTTTAATTAAGAATTTCAAAGTATAAATTTATATTTACATTGTTCGCTCGTGGAGCACCGCCCAATAATCCTCTTCAGTGATGCACTGACTCTAATTCCGGTAACGAGGAGTTTAAATTTCAAATTGAAAAAATAATTAATTTGATTAAGAAGTATTAAATTAGATTATCGTGGCCGAAGATTGAAATTGGCGAACAAATGACTCTGTTATCGCGATTTAGATGTTACATATCATTCATGTATGGGACCGAAACGTTTGGTAGCTTGGGCGTTGGCCCGATGATCTAGCGCACAACCTCCTCGGACGGGGTTGACTCATGCCGTATGTGAGCACCCGGCCCAATTTTCATTACTTTACATGGTAATGCCCCGTCACTGTAAGGGCTCAATTTCCAGTATATAAGGGCTGCGTTTTCTTACTCGAAGAGCTCAGTTTTTCTAAAACTCTCGACACAACGTTACTTTGACACTCGCGGCAAGATATAATCCCCATCAAGCAACGTACCTATCTTAGCGGTTTTATTAGCGAGTGTCCATTAGACTAATCGAGAAGTAGCTCCCGCGAACGCGCTGCGTAAAAGCAGACATAGAACTTTTGCCCTCAAGGCAACCTAGCAATAGCACCAGTTCTGTTTGAATTGACCATTGTACTTGAGCATCGACTAGAATATATTCAAGTAGTTATCCTATACTTGAACGATGCTCTGGAAATAATTTAAAACTGCGTAGGAAATACTCCTTCTATCCTCGCGTTTGCCTAACACCGTAAACGACGACGTGCTTGGGGTCACTTTACCCCGAGAGACAAACTTGTTGCTACGCACATTCACTGAATCTACCGGCCGAATTGCGCGCGGCCAACTTTCCTGGAAAAATAGAGCTGAAAAGAAAGGGACAGGATGGAAGAAATACAACAAGCACACCTGTGCTTTGTCTACTGGTTTTCTTTTTTCTTCTTCTTACAAGAGTTCGTCAACAGAAATACTGCTTTAGTTAGTCATACTGTATACATAGTTTGCCACGTAAAAGTTCAATGCCACGAAGGCGAAATATTCTCAATCAATGAGAATTTCAACGATAAAATATTATCTACGAAAATAATTAAGTATAAGCAATTATTCAATTGATAAATATTATATTACTAAGTTTCATAGTTAGAGTTGTAAGCATGATTATGTTTACTTTATCGAACGATAGAATATCCCGTAATTTTTATAAATATTCCGAAATTTGCAAGAATTAAAGTTCGTTGGTTATTTATGCTTGTATAGCATATTCCAACTATGTAGTTTCTACGTTTTCTTAAACTTGCATCGAAAATGTATGCAAATTGCAATTACAACAATTCATAAAGAAAGAAATATAAATAAACAATTAAATAAATAACACTTAGAAATATTCAATCGCGATCAGAATACAGTTAAATATAAACTATTTCAATTTATCGTTAATATCTACCAACGCCATTTGTGTATTATACTTCGATATAGTATATCGAAGTGGATAAAAAATTTGTTAAGGATTTCCGTATTTTATCTTAACAATGGCCGATTAGAAAATTATGATCATGCTTGCAACGAAAGATTTAATAGAGAAATAAAAATATATAAATATTAATATGCCCGTTAATTTTTGTTATAATTGTTTAAACGTTAGCAATATTCCCTCCATTTGTCGAGTTGCCTGCCATCTGTTATGGTGTCGTTTACGCGGCAATAAAAGTTTCCATGGCATCGAATTTCAATCAGAGACTGGAACAGAAACGAAATAAAGATCCACTAAAAAACATAAACGATTATTATAATTAAATAATGATTGAAACGAAACTATATTGCAAGAGATCGTAATGAAAACGCGAGTAATAATAATGGAAAAATCAACAGGTTCGAATTACGCACCTCGGCCGCGAAACGCCGATACGTCTTGACGAGTCTTACTACGTTAATTTTCCAAGTACGAACTAGGTGGCAGGGTGGGGGAAGGGCCGATGTCTCGCGAAGCTTGTTATTCGAAAAGGAATAAAGATGCCTCAGATAGAAACCGCGGATACGCGACTTCCTAGAACAAATAAATTAAATTAAATAAAAAACAAATTAACTTTAGAATTATATTGATGGATGGCGATATAATGTACAAATTAAATATAACTCACACTTTTGTCGATTTATAGTAGCAGATGACAAGATTCTTGAATTTGTTAACATTATTCACTTCGATGATTACATGCAAATTATTTACAACTTTAACTAATCAAAGAATCGCGATTAATTCGTACTTCTCAACTCATATGTATTTACACACCTGTTTGCCTATCACACTAATTCAGTGAGTTTTTCAACTGACCACCATCCATGAGAAGAGGCCGCTAAAATCACCTCCGAATTTGCAGGTCGGTATGGCAGTCAGAGTAGACCACGAAAGTCTATAAGGTGAAGGGTCTACTCGAATACCTCGTCTGTGCTTTTACAAGGCATTGAATTGAATGTATCGCTCCTGAGGTATAATTTTGATTGCTTGCGAAATAATTAAATTCTCTCAATATTTGGTCATTAGGAGTACAAAATTAAAATTCCAGTTTAAACCGATAACGTTAGAAGTGACACGGAAATGATGGCTCGCAAGTCCCCAATTCGCGTAACAAAAAGAAGCATTGCATGTAATGTCTATTCTATAGAATCTATACCTCGTGGTGTGGGTTGGTTACTAACCAATCGTAAGAACCAACGAGGAAACTATTAATTTTTATTGACGAATCGCTTTAAATTGTTAATCGTATCGTGAATAGTTATCTATTCAATTAAACCACATTTTAAATTTAAAATAAAATGAACCAATTAAGTTTTTAAATAATATTTCATATATTTTCATTGTAATGATTTCTAATTCCAAAAAGTTTTATTTATAATTTTTAGCCGTTACATTTTGTTCATAATTTATAAATTAATTTTTATCCAATATAAATTCTCTGTCAAAAGTATTATTAAACAAGACATAATTATGCGTATGAATGTTCGGTATGTTTAATCCTTTATTATTATGACGTCAGTCAATTTAAAACATTTTAAAGGTTACATCGTTTTATAAATGAAAAGTATCATGATAAATCTTTCTGTGTGAAAAAGACATAAATTTCTATTACAAAATTATTACATATAAAGCCTTAGTTCGTTAAATTTTATGGAAAGCAAAATTAAACGACGAGAAAATATATCATACACGTAGTATCGTAACAAAATGTTTCTCAAAAATTTTTTTAAAGGAAAATCAAATGTACGTTATTGCTAGAAAAATGTTTGCTGTACATAGTCATTCATCTAATCAGTGTGTTAATTGTTTAGTTACCAACGCGTAAACTTCTAAACAATGTCTTTGGGAATTATGAAATTGTCGAACCATGGACAGTTTCTGAGATGAGAAAAGTGCCGTCGGGTATATTTAAACCATCTTACAGTGAATCGTCTATACCCAGGGAAGGTCCAAAAAAAGCCGAAATTAAAGACAAAAATCAAATAAAATGTATGAGAGACAGCTGTCATTTTGCCAGAAAAGTATTAAATTATATCAAACAGTATATAAAGGTATTTAATACGCATTTAACATAAAATTTAATCGACTGTTTCATTGAGCTAGTAAATTTTATTTCAGCCTGGCACAACTACAGACGAATTAGATGTAATTGTGCATGAAATGATTATAAGTAATGGAGCTTATCCCAGTCCCCTTAATTATCGAGGATTTCCAAAATCAATATGCACTAGTATTAATAATGTTGCATGCCATGGTATTCCAGACAGCCGACCCTTACAAAAAGGAGACATATTTAATGTCGATGTAACAGTGTGTAGTATATTTTTGACTTATGGTAGAATATTGATTATTCAAATAACTGTATACTGTATTTGTGTTAGTGTTTATTTTAAATTGTAAAGTTTCTGATCATTTAGGTATATTTAAATGGATATCATGGAGATTGTTCTCAAATGTTTGAGGTAGGAGAATGCGACGATGAAGGAAAAAAATTAATAAATGTAACTGAACTGTGCTTAAGACATGCTATTGATATTTGTAAACCAAACGAAAGGTTTTGCAACATAGGTAATCATGGCAATAATTAAAATACAGTAAAGGAGATTCTTTATATATTTCCATTTAATTTTCAGGAAATATTGTTGAAGAGACTGCAAACAAGCACGGATATTCTGTAGTTCCAGCATTTGCAGGGCATGGCATTGGTACTTACTTCCATGGACCACCGGACATCTTACATTTTTGTATGCTACTATTTTCATCTTTCATACATAGTATATTAAACATACATAATGTAATGTATTTTATTATTATTAGCAAATGATTCTCCTGGGAAAATGCTACCAGGAATGACTTTTACTATCGAACCAATTTTAAGTCAAGGTAGCCAAGAGATCGAAATTTTAGAAGACGGTTGGACCGCCGTCACAGTAGATAATTCACGTACTGCTCAGGTAGAACATACTATTTTAATTACAGATACTGGCTGTGATATATTGACGCGTTAACTTCTTAGAATATTTATTTTTATAAATGCATTTTGCCCTTGTATAAAATTTTGTTGTCCATAATAAATTATATTTATGAGAGGTTAAACAATGGTACTTCTTTTAGACTTATATCGTAAATATTTTTATTAACAAAAAGTTTATTCATATTTATCTTTACATGATAGCAGGTCCCCAATAGCTGTCTAGCGTTAGTGGTCCTTGTATTTCAGTGCCTCCCTCTTTTGTAATTATACCAAGTTGATACTAGAGACAAAAAAGTTAAATTGTCATGCATTTTAATACTATATGGTTTCAATATAACATGTAACTTACTTTTGGAAAAGAGCGCGCATCTCTGTAAAATAGAACCTGCATTACTTTGTATATGAGCTCTATTGCTTGCTCTTTAGTCATTTCTTTATTTTCTTCGTAAGCTTTTCTGAGAATAGGTGTTGCCATATATGCACCATATCCAGTTGCAATTACTGGATCGCTATAAGCTGTGCCAAGTTTATCCACAGTACCCAAAAACCTATATAAAATATTTAAATAAATGTTACATGTACAATTGAAACACAAAAAGAAAAAACACAATACTTACAGTTTATCACCTTCTATGCCACCAATAATGAAATTATTCCAAAGTGGATCATACTCTGTTCTTTTGTTATACATCAATCGTGTTAACCAGCAATAAAGAGCCTTTGGTTTTAAAGATAAACCATCATCCAGACAAGTTTCCTCGAGGCTATAATACATAAACATATTATAATTTGAGAACTGTAAAATACAAATAAAATGATAATGAAAATGTACGATAATGAAAACATACATCTTTTTTTCAATTTTACTTTTGAGGAATTGGTAATCAGCGTAATCTCCTCCTGCACCAAGAATGATGTTTTTATTGACTTTCATTACTCGTTCAAGGTTTCTGAACCTAGCTAATGATCCATACGATCCAAGAACATCTGCTGCTATAAGAATACCATCTTTGAATTGAATTCCAATTACAGATGTACCAGTTGTTATTGGAGCCCTATGAAAAGGTAAAACCATTTCAATTAAAAAAATTCATTTGAAGCAATACACTAAGAAGATATTGTTGTAATTTGTTCCCTATTTTTATCAAAATTTGGAGAATGTAAGTGAAAAGATTATGTTACTATTTTTGCTTATATCGATAGATTTGTCAAATATAAATGTTCACAAAAAAAAGCCACATCAATGAACATATTAACGTTGAATGATATTAAGGTTAGAAATACATTGAATGACTCAAAATATAAACATAACTTGAAAGATATATTAGATATATATAGATTATACTTTTCACAAATTCTTTTATGGAAGCAAATGATGAGATAAATTTTAATCGTTTTAAAGGAGTTCCTAATTTACATCCATGAAAAGCGACATGACATGCAATTTTGTAAGAAAATTACAACTAAAAGTTTTACTGAGATCTTTGAAATCCTCCAACGTCGGATCGTGTAGAATTTCCAGGAAAATTGTAAAATTCACCGGGTGCTGGTCCATTTTGCCAAAACGGTGCAGGAGAATACCAATCGCCTGTACTATGAAGCGCCATGTTTCTTGTATGTATGTTTTAAACACTTTGAAATGTCATCTAGAAGAAGCTCGGCTCTGGCCACACTGCTCAGATATGTAATGTTGCGGTCGCCGCCTGGCGCCGTGTAGCAGAAGCTCTGGGGGGCGCGAGGTTTAAATCAGATTACACGAATGTAATAGGAAAGGGAGACAAAGTGGAGTCCGCGTCAATTCTAAGGTTTAAAAGTGGTTAGAGATTCTTTTAATGACTTCACTTCGGGTCATAGATTAGCCAATAATTTATTGGAGACGGATGTTTGGATATTCGTGAGCTCCCCTTTGATCCCCTCTCCTAGGTGTGTAATTCCAGGAACTTGGGCCGTGCGCTATCGATTGCCGGAAACGAGCTGCATGCAAAAGCCGATAACGGCCACGTGCCGCAAAGGACCGTTCTCGAGGGATCGGGGGGTGTGCCGAGGAACGCGCGTGCGAGAGTTTTGCGCCCGGCCCGAATAAAGGAAGGGACGATCTGGAGGGGCCTACGTGTGGGCTGGGCCTCGACCGAACGGCAGAGCGACACTTGAATCCGGAGATCGAAAGTGAACGGACGTAACATTGAAACTTGAGCGAGATCGTACATGTATATTTGAATCGGCAAAGAGAGAAGCATTTTGTATTAAGAGAACGGAAGTGTACGACCGGGTTATGATCATTCCTGCGAAATCTGGTTGTTTTGTTTTATATTCCTTTATTAAGTTATAATTAAAGTTCTATTTACGTGTGTTCAAATCGTTGTATCCATTTATTATTTTCCTTATCTAGCGATCTCCGTTTGAAACCCCCGCGTCCAAGGAGCAGAGTGCTTTAGCACTCCACGGGCAGCGTTCCCGGCCGAATTCCCTACGAAGTTTCGGAAATACGCCGCCGGACGCGCAACAGTAACATGTTTGCATGCCAGTTGGGGTGACATCTCCATCAGGATGAGCTGCCTAGTGGGCGGCGTTGCGGGTTGACGGCGGATTTAAAAAAAAGCGCGAGTCGGCGAATTTGTTGGTGATAAAGGTGTGCGAGAACCCGATGGTCAGGACGAGTCGAGAAGAGATCGAGTCGGGTCGGGTTCCCGAAAATGTTCAGGATTCTCGAAAGTATCGGGATTCCCGGACATGTCTCGATTACCGCTACATTGCGACGCTTCATTATTGTATGTACTTCGGAAAGTGAATGTTGGAATCTATGACATCTGTGTGTTAGTAACACGGATATTATGATTTGTGTGACCTGATGTAAACAAACTGGTGACAGCGTACACACTGTACAGCTCCCGATGCACCCAGTAGTCGGTCTGATAACACTGGATAGACGGGATAGACCAGTGATGGACTTTCGTGGGAATTTTCCCTCGCGGGATTCCTTTCTGCGCATGCGTAAGATGACGTCACAGCTACATTTCGCCCGCTACCATACATGTATCTTAAGCGCAAGAGAAAGTGCATGTAAGGGATCTGTTGGTAATTCCAACATTTTTAGTTTTAAGTCGATTAAAACATATGAAATTAATTTGATTTAAATGTATTCAGTTAATATTGATAAAGTATATGTTTACAGTATATAAGTTTATATATTTTATGTATTTGTGTGTTTCACGTTCATTTTTACGTGCAATATTTTTGTTCGAATACTGGTAAGGTTTTCTGCAGTTTTCCTTACCCTAACAACAAATGTTGGTGTTCATGTAATAAATCGGTTACACACGTAAAAACTAAATAAATAATTAATTGTTTTCCACTTTTTATTGTACTTTTATGCTGTTTTCCTTCATGAAAACTTGTCTCTTTCCCTGTAACTTCCTTAAATTTTGTTCCTTACTGGGATCCAACGGTACCCTAAATCGTAGTTAAGTGTATACGGCAGTGATCATGCGCTCCAGTGCGCATGATCAGAAATTCCCACGAAAGTCCATTACTGGCATAGACGTCTTTTATAATATGTAGAGAAAAGATAGAGAAGCGCCTTGTGAAATCGATTAAGTAACATTTATTTAATTTAAATCGTTGATTAATTTCTTTATCAAATGGAAACAGTTCGACCTTGTGGTTGTAAAGGAATAAGATCGTGTCTCTTATGCGAGAAGGAATATAAAATAACGAAACCCAACCTCAAAATTCAATTAGAGGTCAGATTTCATTAAATGTTTAAAAACTACAATTCCTTTTTTATTAAATTATAACCGTTGTACTGATTCTCGTTTTCGATATATAATTTCATTTTGATTATTCTTTGTAGTATTTACTATTCTTGATTCTAAACTTTGTTATTAAAGATTTTTAATTATAAACAAGACACATATTTGGTCACTGTATTTATTATCTATAATAATTAATCTACCTTCCAACTAATGTAGTGATTTAAGTATGTAACAAAAACAGGAATGTGGTGTAATTGATAAACAAGAAAGTTATATACAGAAAATATAGTGATAGTAAAGAGAATTATGTTTACTACGCAATTTATAATAAGCATTCTGAAAACTGGTTTGGCAAGGCTGTTATGCCGATATATCAATTTTTCTTTTTTGTTTGCACTGTATTTCCTATAAACCAATATCTTTAAATTTCATGTAAAAATAAAATATATTAAAAGCAGCTAGGAATTCATAATGTAATTAGCATTTGTTTCCAAAGACCCAATTACCTCAAATTATTTAATATATCTAATCTGTGTGCAAAATGCGCACAAATTTTGATAATTTGTTTTGATATTTATAATAGTATATTTTATATGGGACACTAAGGTATAATAGTTATATAGAATTTTGATAATTTCGCGAGCATTTTTATTACACTTTTAACTATTCCGAGTTATAACCATTTGATATTTCAGAAATATTCCAGTTATGTCTACTGTCCCCTTTGCAACCTCTCTTGGCCCGGTTGGAATAGCGATATTTACGCAAACCATCCGGATCATCGAGGCAAATCTATTGAATTTCCTGGTGTTTATATAAAGGTATTTATTTTGTATTTAAGAAATCGTTTATTTTGATATTTCTTTCGATTATTATTTATAATGGACTCCCTTACGTAAGGTGTTTGTTAACCATCGATTTGAATGAAAAAGGGACGATTGTCGTACACGGTAAATAGAACTTCATTTCGAAGAAAATTACGTCTTTTCTAATTGCGCTTCGAACAGTGAAAAATTTCTATGCGTACATGAACACATTGACGATCGGTGATTTTAGTCACATACAATTATTTTAATTGTACTAATGTATAGTCTTATGAAAACGAGAATTCTCGTTACCGATTGCCAGTGTTAATAATATTCTTTTAGGAGATAATTCTACGTGCCAAAATAAGGCGTACGCCAAAAATAACAAAATTGCGTTTCTTATAAAAATATATAATACAAAATTTCAAAAAGCTAAACTGTTTTGTTCAATGGTTTTATTGACAAAAACTTTATCATAATATTTTGAATTTTATGTACACGTAAACAGTCGTGCTTCGACATAATTAAAACACACATTTTGTGTACGAATAGCTCGATTTCCTGAATAATAATGACATTGCTTTATTGACGAAAGCACTGGATGATATACCTTGGGAAGTTTCACAGAGCGGAAGAAGAAAACAGGTATTTTCAGCAGAATAAAACGTATAATCTCTTATTACAGAAATTAATATTGTCCTAACCTTCATCCGTTCCTCGTTTTCAAAACGTAATTTGTTCCTTAGCATCAAATTGACACAATGGTAAAACATCAACGTATTGGGAAGATGAACAAATTAACTTTGCAAATTCTTTTAATCGAAAATAAAAAATGAACATTTAAGTAATTGTATCAAACGACCTAATAAAACGCGAGAATTGTATACGTCGAGACAGAAAACGGATAAAGGTTAGAATCCTAAGATATTAGTTACTAATACATATTATTAATTCAAAGAAATAAAAGTATTTTATAGTTATTATAAATTTCTTTGAAAACGTATAATTATTCGATGAAGTAATCGAAAGAACAATTTTACAAATTCAGAACTTTGGTCCAAAATGCAATTTCAAAAAGAAAAAACTTCGGTTGGGTTCTTTCAACGGTTTCCCAAAATCTACCCACTTCGTGCAACAGAAATTTTTGGAAATACCTATACTTAAAAATTTCCAAACAGTGGAACAATGTACTTTAGAATATGACCCCCTTCGAGGAGCTTCGATAGATCCACATATCGATGATTGTTGGGTTTGGGGTGAACGAATAGTAACCGTCAACGTTACGGGCAATTCAGTTTTAACGATGATTCCTTATTCTGGTCCAAATACCAAATATAATTTAAATAATGTTGCTGAATATTCTACGTTCGAAGACACGACGTTCGACGAAAAAAATGAAAATGGAGATGTTCAAAATATAATTGTAAGACTACCGATGCCTGAAGGGTCTCTTATGGTTCTTTATGGTGCTGCAAGGTAGGAGAGTTTTTATGCGCTATGAATAGAAGTATAAATATATAAGCTTTAACGTTATGAAAATTTCACGTAACAAATTAAAAAAAAAAAATCTTTTATTTTACCATGCTTAGATCTACTATACTTGAATAAAATAAATCGTGCCCTGTATTTTGCAAATCAGAGCTAAATTATTTTGTTCCGTATCATTTCCTATTTTAGTATACATAAATAAATAGGAAGACAGTTAACAATTTAAAATAGAATTATTTAAAGCATTAATTAAGTATACCTAAATAAATCATTTTTTATTATAATAATATGTATATCTACGCTCATATTTCGTTAAAGTCTTAAACGGAATGTAAAAAAAAAAACACAACACAAAATACGTGAAAGAAAACCATTTTTTTATGTTGTTTCCTGTCGTTATCTATTACATTATTTGAACAAGTATTAATCTTAAACATTCCTTTTAGGTATGAATGGGAACACTGCGTTCTGAGAGAAGACGTAAAATCGCGACGAATTTGTTTAGCTTACCGTGAATTAACGACTTCTTATCGAAATAATTTATCAAAGGACGAAGAAGTTAAAGAACTGTTACAGAGAGCTTCGATCTTTCGATGAAATTGTAAACTAAAAGTTGGATTCAATTTTCTGCAATAAAGCGTATAATAAAATATTTAAAGACAATTTATTTATTCATTCTAGAACTTCGAAAGGCAGAATGATGTTGAGATAGGAAATGTTTAAAAACGTTGAAATAGAATATTTAATAAGACAAATTATTAAATGAAAAAGTAATTCATTATGAATTTACAAAAACAAACATTTTTAGGTGTTCTTTAAAGGATCAGAAGACATGTACACAACAGGAAAAGTAGTAAGAGGATCAGATTTTCCTAATGGCTGATATCCATTGACCAAACTTTCTCTCAATTCCCATTTACGCCGCTCTCTTTCTGTTTTCTGTCTTCTAATTGCTCGGCCTAACATACAGGCAAACATTATTCCAGTTAACTGAAAATAAAAACGATTCGAGCAAATTATTTTTAAATTCAAATAGTATACCTCCAATTATATTCTTCTTGCCAAATTATAAAATTTCTGGTCAGAAGAATGAATAAATTAAATGTAATAAATGTAAACCTGAATAAGAGCAATGGCTACAGCTCCAGTTCCGACATAAAGCGCACTTCTGTTAACAATAACTGAAAGACGCCTAATGCATCCAGGGGCATATGGAATAATACTATTTTCTTCATCAGAAGTATATATTTGACAAGATTTTGGTAGCTCAATATTATCCTTTTGCATAATATCTTCCCAATCTGTATATCCGTCGTACCCACAGCAATAAAGCTGTAATTATATGAAATATTTTAGTATACACAATACATTCTATGATCATTGAATTATTTTAACTTGTACATTTCTATATCAAAGTTAATTATTTTTACATGTTCAAAAATTTAAAATATTACTCTCGACTGTAGAAAATCGATGGCATCCTTTGCTTCGGGATTTTCGTTGTACTCATGCATGGTAACGTTAATTTTGTCTCTTAGGAGATCTTTTATATTATCCTGAAGTGCATAAGCCGCAACTGCAGCGGCTAATTCCAGTATAAGAATTATTATAAGAGACGCTGCAAACTGAATTAATATACAATGTATTATTGTTCACTATTATAAAATACACAAAAGTAGTTTGTATCGAAACCGTTTGTTAAAAAATATGACACGTAATTTAATCCGTGCATAATAATTATTATAGGCTATTTGACTACTGATGGTAGTTTGGTTGGATTGATTCTATAGGCTAAAACTTTCGAGATAATTTATTTCAAACGAAACATGTTTTAAGACTTCTTGATCGTTAAAAAAAGTATTTGTTGTTAATACGATCGCGCCTACACAAGGAAATCTGTTTAAATGAAACTTCGTATACAGGGTGTTCGGCCACCTTTGGGAAAAATTTTTAATAGGGGATTCTACAGGCCAAAATAAGACGAGAATTCAGAATACCAATTTGTTGATGGAGGCTTTGTTAAAAAGTTATTAACAATTAAATTCAAAAATTTCAAATCGTTCTGGAAAAATTATTTTCGGTTGTGGAGGTCAATTACAATCATTTTTGTTCATTACACATACTACCGAAATTCTGTGCACCTTCGAGAAAAAAATTCCTTACCGAAAATCTAATTAGGTGCCTTTTTTCGACGAAAAAAAAATTTCAAATCGTTCTGGAAAAATTATTTTCGATTGCGGGGGTCAATTACAATCATTTTTGGTGAATAGACATACCCCTGAAATCTTGCGCATTTTCGAGAAAAAAATTCAGTACGGGCGGAATTTTAAACGTCAATAACTTTTTAACGAAGCCTCCATCAATAAATTGGTATTCTTGATTTTCGTCTTATTTTGTCCTCTAGAATCTCCCATTCAAATTTTTCCCAGGGGCGACCAAACACCCTGTATATGCAAGTTTGATATTTTTGTTTTGTGATCTCACCAAATTTTTAACAAAATCGATCTTTGTTGATAAGCCAAACAACCTGTATATCAGATGTTAAAAGGAATCATGAGATGCTTACAATGAGAACCATACAGGTACTTTCCCGAAGAGCTCCGCAACATCCTAGAAAGGCTATTATGAACACAAGGATCCCAACTACAATTAACAGAGTTGCTGGAGAAAAGTAACTTGGATCGAGGAAATGAGAGAAGTCTTCATAAACTGCGTAAATTGTTGTTCCAACTGATATAATCATTATCCCCGTTAACTGCAATATGAATACATTTGTGAGACTTCCAACATTAAAAAAAGATCGAAGCAAATAATACGATTAACGTATGTATGAAATTATACATATTTAATACATTGATACACTTTTTATTACTTCTTTTCTCTCAAATTTCCAAGAAATATATCATATATCAGCATTTTATAGATAAATATATGATGCTTTTACAATTTCGACTTATAAAAATATTCAAGGAAAACGAATGCTGTTACGACTATTTTCGTTAAAATACTGAATAGATATTCATTTTATCAAACAATACGAATAATTCTGTAATTTCATTAAATAGGAGTTTTCGAACCCAACAAATTTTCTTACTTAGCATGAGTATCAGTGAAAAAAAGAATTCTGTTATCAACATCAAAGAGATTACTGAATTTTATCTAAACTGATAAGAGGGGCTATTATTTACGGCTGCAAAACAACAGTTCTCTACTTTGATACCAATCGCAGAAAGTGAAAATTTTCGCGGGCTACGAAAAAATAATAAGTCTATACTGTTGTTTCTAATCTAATAGAAGATAGAAGTGTTGCTGTTACGTGATACAATGTTCAATTATTTCGACAATCTCAAGTCACATAGAAATTCGTCGGTAGTCAAGTAACAGTAATTTTTATCGATGAATTAAGGCGATTTTCTGAAATTTCTTAAAGTAAGGAAATAACGAAACCGATGCTAAAAAAAGTGACAAATTGCAAGACATCGACAACCTATGGCGTTGCAAGTCTTCTGGACAGTAATAATTCATCGAGGTTTGACCTCGTCCAGCTGGTATCGATCTTACTGCTCGTCCGAACGATAGCGTAGAGCTATGATCCACGTCCATATCGAGAGACCACCTACCTTATTGAATCTCAACGACAAATATGGTTATTTTCCTTTATGCTTTTTCTTTGAACAGGGAAAGAAATGAACGTCGGCTGCAGTTATCGTTATTGACAGCCTTGACCCTATTCATTGTTCTCCTTTTGTCCCTTATAACAAGGTTAATGTACAGTGGTGTGCGAAATATTCCGGACAGTTGCTTTTCTAGCTTCCATTTAGAGAGGGAAAACGAAGATGAATATTGAATAACATGGAATTTAAGTAGGGTATAACGAAGTAGAATAGAGTACAATGAGCTACGCGGCATAAGTACACGATGGAACCATGTATTTTATTTTCCATTTACAGAATTACTCGTATAATTGTCCATTCGGTTATTGATGTTCGCCGGAAATTTTCGTTTTAACGAATCTGAATTGTTCGCGCAAAACAAATAATGAAAGTAAAGAAATAAATGGCAATTCGACCAATAGTTACATGAAAATAATTGAACTTTGGATATTGAGTCAAAAGCGGCAGGTGTGGATACTTGCAATTGTCGATGGAATTATTCAATAATTTAAAGTAACTTAGAAAATGGGTAATTTCGCGAATCGAAATGCAAAAAGAGAATCGGTTCGAATAGAACTGGAATGCATGAATTTAGAATGCGGAATGAACGAATGGATGTGACAGATATGATAGATTAGATATTAATTTACTAGAATAGAACAGGTATCTAGGAAACATAACGAGGTAATCTTTAGAAAAATGAAAAGAACATAGAAAAATGTGGTTACAGACCACAAACAGAGAGTTAACGGCGCACAGCAGGTATTTGATGCATCGTAGACCAACGTCAAGGTGTGTGGCAGCCATTTTGATGCACGTTCTTCAAGGATCTTCTTGCACGCAGCTGCACTACAGAACAACACTTCTCCTTATCGCTTCCGAACTGCGAGGAAGAACCGACTGAACGCTGAAAACATATAAACTCGACTCGATATATCGCATTATCTATTGATAAAGACGTATACGTACCAACCGTACACGAAACATTACACGATTACATATTTTTATAAAGAAGTTTGTTTCTTTCTTTCTTTGTCTATTCACTGGTCTACGGCAATTTTATGCAATCGTAAATTATAATACGTAATAATACTCGTTATTCAAAAATAAAACAAATTTCCTGAATAAAGGGATAGAAGATTAATTTATTTTTAAGTTTAAGTTAGAAATTGAAATTTTAAATAATTGAATAATACAAATGAAATTTATGTCGATCCATTCTTGCCTGCTCAAGGCTGTTTCTTTGCCAAAATGTCCAGTATTATAAATGACACTGTTTGTACGGATTACTCGTGCACTCAATTTGATTTGCTGTTGACCAATGTAATAGGTAATTAAACTTTATGAAACTATAGTGATAAATTCATTCACAATAAGAGCATCACAATTAAAACAGCGTAGATTTTTCTTTGTGGTAAAATAGTTATTGCTATTTGTAATAGCACTAGCTAGAGTTTATAATAAAAACAAAGGCAAACAAATAGACTTAATTCCTAAAAATTGTTTGTAGGAAAGAAATTCTCTTAATCATTTTGTCTCGAAATCAATTTTAAAAGTCGCGACGTTAACTATACCGATTTGTGATATACATACTATGAGTGACTATTGTCGGCACTGGAACATCGACCAGTTGCTACGCCTATGCGTGAAAACACAGAATATGACTCACACGTATTATCGTGTCGGTAATTGAGCACGCGTCCATTATTCATACACAGGAAAGGATTACTAGCCACGGTATATGTACTTTATTTTAAACGAAGAATCGTTTTTTTTTGCCAAAATATTATTTCGATATTGTTTCTCGGTTCGATCGTTTTCTCCGTTATCGTATTTGAAACTCTATAACAATTTAAACCATTGAACATTTAATCGTTTGTGAGTAAGACAACGTACAAACTTGATCTGTTAAACTGAACGTTAAGTGTATGGTTCGAAAAATCAAGATGCTCTAAAATCATATTGTGTTAATAAAATTTCTACAATTAATTAACGTACTCGCGAAGGAATTACGTATAATAAACTTTCATGGTACGACATTTTTCAAAACTATTACCTAATAATTTTCCCTTTAACCTCTTCAGGGACGATTTTTTTTTAGTGTATTTATTATTGACAGTAACTATAATTATAAAAAAAAACTAAATGTCCACATATGTGGCCAAGGGCGTGAAAGAGATTAATAGAAATTATTAATAAAATGAATCTAAAATATTGCGATACATTAAATAATACAATAATATAATAAATGTATGGATATTACGTGTTGGAAATAGCAAGTAATTTTTTTTTTTAAATAAAAAAAATGAATCGCTGCGGACAGGATTCGAACCTGTGCGGGTAGAAACCCAATGGATTTCAAGTCCATCTCCTTAACCGCTCGGACACCGCAGCTGTTGAAAGCGTTCTTCATTTTATATAACATATATTGCAAATCAATTTTTAATTCTACATACACATTTACATAAAATATCTTGTCACTATTTAAACGTCTTTGTTTGGTATTATAAACTCTTCGATTAATTAATGTAATATTATTACGAATCAAAAGACTCGATGCTATTTACCAGTATTTTGGCAAATGTTTGACAATACAGACTAAACTTTATTATTCATGTGTGATTTTCACGTCATCTCTACACAAGGTGTTCCACGTAATTGGGAAAAACTATATTTCTAAAACGGTTAAAGATACAAAAAAAATATCAATAGGCAAAAGTAAACGTCACCGAACGATACACGAACTGAATATTTATTTTCAGGTAAAATGTGACTGATTTGGCGTAGAATGACCCAAATACTATCCGTCCGGGTAACAAATAATTTTTTTTCATTGATCATTAAGTATAGTTTGTATACGTAATATCCAAAATAATTTTAAATTAATAACAGTTACTATTAGTACGAATAGAGTCACATCGAACTGGGCCGAATGACGTGCAGTGTATCTATTATAATGCGAAGAATCAATATTAAGAGAATGTAAGGACAAAGGTAAGTATGAGCGCAGAATATTATACTGTAATTACGAAAACTTTTTTCCGACTTTTTTCTGTCCTATTTCAAAATTAAAGTAAAATGATTTGGAAAAATATTATCATACTTTGTTAATGATAAGACGGTCTTGTGTAATTAATTACTTGTTATTGCATTCTAATGTAATGTTACGTTAAATTTTAACTAGATGTAAGAAAAAGCTCTATAATACTAGTATAGTAACATATAATTAAAGCAAAATTACTTCAAAATTATAATCTTTTAAGTTCAATTCTTTCTGCGGTAACGATTTCATTAAACATTATTTTGTCATTTTGCGAATTTAATCGTTTATCTTCGTACTAAAAAAAAATAGATATTTGCAAATATATAACGTAGATTATAATAATTTATCCCGATGGTCTATGGATTGCATGACAAATATGAAGCGATCGATTATAAGCGATCGTACATGTTCCCTATACACAATATACGTTTTCGACAATTTCAAAATATATTTACTATACTGTATAATACTGTATAATTTGTGTCTATTATAATTATTAATATGTCATCGTTTAAATAGTAGAGTACTTTATTTTCCATACTATAATGCGAAAGACAACATTTATCCGACTACAGGAACAAGATCATTGACCTTTAACTAGTCGAAATATACGTCTGTGTGCTTGTAAATAAAGTATAATTTGTAGAGTACGAATTACTGTACAATATCTATCAGCCAGATTGTTAGAATATTGTTTCTTTACTTTCTTAAGCTCTTTATCATTTTAATCTTATAATTAGTTTAAAGATGCAATACAAATTACTGCTTTAATACTTAAGATGCCGATTATCTTGTAAACGATACGTAATAACAAATTTTAAAAGGATATCATTTTGATTGCAAATGACTTCTACTAACAAAATATGCAAAACAAATGACGTATATCCATTTAAAAAAACTAAGTTGACCTTCGTAATTCAAAAAGTTTACAAATAAAAAATAATAATTTACACGCACCTTGTAGTCGACTTAAAACCGTGTAAATTGTTTTCCTTGAACTTTTTCGTAACATCAACTGTTTACGAGATATTTGCTTGGACATTTACAAACGGATAACCCGTATATGTAGTTTACGTACACACGTTCATGTGCATTAGTATTACGTACGGGTGGGGAAAATTTTCATTGACTCCCATCTACAATCTGGCACCCACAGTCTGGTTGGATAGACAAATATACGAGTATTCATTACCGGGCTTTCGAAGCACGTACAACTTGTTGAGGTGCACAATATCAATGCAATTATAGAAACTAGGCACACGGTGTTCGGTCCAGTTTCTTGTGTGAATATTTATAGCTTGTTTATCTTGAAAGTAGTGAACAGTGACTGCAAAAAAATGGTGTCCGGCGGAATGGCTTGCATCAAATACTTGACGTTTCTCTTCAACATAATATTTGCAGTGAGTCTCCATGTTGTATTGCTGTCGCCGTAACTTTAATTCTGTTTAATATCACCTCCTTCGCATTTATCGAAGAAATTCATTCAATTAATGTTATTCAAATGCTGTTGTATCAGGAGACAAGAACGTTGTGGTATTTTTTTTAAATCCTTGCAAATAAACATTCCTCGGAAGAAAAATTCTAGTTCAAATATGATACACAAAAAGTAAAAGCAAAAGTTCTTGTATAGTATAAATACATATTTCGTTTGTCGATATCAGAAATGTTCTCGATTCGCATACTTTTACAGTGTAACATATACAATAATATTCGGTAGTTTATTACAATACTGAATGTAAATATAATATTTAAAATATTATACGAATCCGGCAATATCTATTGTAGAAACTTTCCCTTTTAAAAATATCATAAAAACGGATGTTTTTTACTTTCTAGTGTCTCGTTCAAATAGTTATTTTTATTTAACCCCACATATTAAATGTAAGTTTTTCGATTTTGCTAACTACGTTACGCGTACGTAAATAAGTATACAAAAATTTTAATTACAAAATTCTTACTTTTAGTAAATTTAAGTGTATCAGTGCGAAACAATAAAGCTAAAAAAGCCAAAATAACTACAAACAACTACAAATTTTTTAATTGATTCTAATCCAATCATAATATAAATAAAGTATAGCTTTTCCTCTAACTAATAAATAAGTGTTGCTTATGTATATATATATATATATATATATGTGTGTGAATGTTTGTTTTACAAATTATATATATGTATAGTTTATAGCCATGTTCTTTTTGTACTTGCCATGCTAGATTGAAAATTATTTTTCCTGCTTATATGTATTTACATTATTGTATTTTGTATCTTAAATACAAAACATTTAGAAAAGTTGTATTCATTTTATTGACAGGAATATTATAGGTAAAATAATAACAACATATATTACAAAGTAAAACTTTTATAAATCAAAAGATTAAACCTTTCATTGCTTGTATATATTATAATTTTCAATATAGATAAATAAGTCTTTATGTAACCTACTAAAGCATAGGTAAATGGTTTTGAAGTTTTAAATTGTGACTTTGTAAGATGTTGAGCAATGAAATTTGTTTAAACAAGCATATGATTATTTCTGTCTTTTCTTTGGACATATGTATTTTCCTATTGTAAACAATATTAGGTATTATCTATGAGACAAAAATAATGACTCTCCTGAACCCTTGTTATATATTATAGATTCAGGCTTTTGAAGAAAGAAGTACTGTGTGGCATTTTGTGCAAGATTATGATAGCATGTGTACCATTTTCTTGGTTTAATCAATCTTCTCACTTTGAAGAAGTTTGTGCGCTACAAGAAATACGTTTGATATGTTATTGCTATCTGCTGTCAAAGAATATGTGCAAAGTGTTTACAGTTTGAACCCAACTTAAAATGTACAATATTCGCATGCTGAGCTAAAAGTTTCAAACGTGATGCAGTATATGTTAAAAATGAATTGCAAAGTATATTGCAAGTTAAAAGGTTTAAACACCCAAAGAAATATTGTGAACATACGAATTATTTCAGGATCAAACATAAGATAGTATATAATTTCTGTTTGAATCATGTAATTAATATTGGCTAGACAAGAGTAGAATAATAACAAAAAGTCAATACTTATAGAAATTTGTCGTTTGTGAATGAGAAAGTAACAAAGTAAGGTGTACCGTAAAATGATCAAGAAAGATAATCATAAAGATATTAGCTAAGTGTTAATGTAAATCTTATGATATATTCATGTATTCTATTTCGCGTTCCAATAATTAGTTATTCGCAATAATCGACATTCGGTAAAACAACAGTAGAGCTATAGGTATAAAAATTTTTAATTTCGACCGAAAAAATCCATGTATGTACATATTTGTCAATTAAATCTGTCATGGAACGAAGCTTATGACGCACTTAACAGATGTACATATACTGTAGGTATTAGCGAAGGATCGGGACAAGACTTATTTTTCGTTGTTTTCATTGTAACTGGACGCGTGAACAACATAGTGATCATTCAGCTGAAGGGCAGGGTTAGGTCTAGGTTAGATTTGGGTTTTTCCAAATCCAAGTAAGAAAAAGAAAATAAAGACCCACTGCGTTTTCCCGCGTAAAACCTTTCTTATTTCGTCACTCAATCAATGTATATTGTAGTAATTTCTATATTTCTCAAAAAGCCAATTAAGATATTAGCTGTTCATCCCATCACTTCAGAGCTATGCTTAAAGCTTAAATAACAAGTATGAAACGACGATAAATAAATTGGTAAATTAATTGCGACTGAAGAAAATCCGTGTAACGTGATGCAACAACGTCGTAATTAAAAGTATATCGACAGATACGAGTCATGTGTTTTTATGGGCAAACAAGAGCAATGGAAAATATGAAATAAAAATAGATATTTAACAATTGAGTAAATATAATATACAAGTTTGTTTTTACAATTTTTATACAACGTGTAAGTTCTAAAAAACACTACATACTCAAAATTAAGGGATCGTTAATTTTAAGTTGTAATATTGTCAATGTTTGAACTGCTGTAACTTCGTGAAAAAAAATTGTACAAAGGTGTATATACATATGTAGTACCTTTGCTCATTTTAAAAGGCAAAATCTCTGCTTTTTCGACCCTGGACTGAATTTTTTAAAAACGCTTCTGTACTTTGATACAGAGCAAGAAAATGAAGATGATTCCTCTCTCGAAAAATTTTCTGAATTCAAACAACTCCACAGAATTTAATAAATTTTGTACGCGATTTGTTTTACAATAAGTTTAAATTTAGAAACCTTTCCTTTACAATAGCCCCCAAAAAAGTTGATGTACAATTTTGTATTACCGATTTATTATACCTCGATTGAAAAGTGTTTTGTTGATATTATTTAAAATAATAATTGTTACGGTAGAAGCAAAAGTGTGATTTTTCAGTCAATATTTGTTTTTAAATTGTAGTAAACACACACAAAATACGTATACACGAGATATAAATTCGATCATGCAATTTTCATCTAACAAAATTCATTTATTCACTCATTGAATGAATGAATACCATTAGATGCTAATTACCGTTATTTCGATTCGCGTAAGGAATTTGTAAACAGACAAATTCGTACGAAGTGTATTATTGTTTTCAAAAGCTATCATATTTTTGTGGTTACAGATAACGGGAATCGTATTCATTGCAGTTGGCACTGTAATTCTTGTTGTTTATGGTGGTTACAACAATTTTATGGACAGTTGGTTTTTTGTAGCACCTGTATTAATGATCGTAGTAGGTACTATTGTGTTCATCGTATCGTTCTTTGGCTGTTGCGGAGCTATTAAAGAGAACCACTGCATGATAATTACGGTAACAAACAGTTATTACATATATCATAAAATATTTTTTACATTAAATATAAGTCAGTCTTCGCACAATTATGACATTAAAACCGATGTTAATAAATTTATTATATACAAAATAATATTTAATGTTAATATTAAAACAGGAATTTTTTTTCATTAAATAATTTCTTTTTAAGAACGTTATGATCAACCTGGTCAAAATTCTTTCTGAATATTTACAAATTTAAATGAAAAAAAATCCAGCTTATCCTTTTATTTTTTACATAGTTCTCCGTATTACTACTTCTAATTTTCGCCCTGGAACTTGGTGCTGGTATTTCCGGATACATGATGCGCGGAGAAGTTCGGCAAATGGTAGAAAATCGATTGAATACCACCATGGAAAACTATTTAAGCGACGACGATATTCGTAAATCCTGGGACATCATGCAACATGATGTAAATATACATAATACCATTTTTAACAGTGGAAAAAATAAAATGTCATACACAGTGTTGCTTTTCTTTTATATGAATTTTGTATATTGTTCGTGGTATAAAACCAAATAATTGTCAAATTTCAGCTGCAATGTTGTGGAATGAGAAGTTCAAATGATTGGGCTCACGTTGGTTTTGTAGAAAACATTGTACCAAATTCCTGCTGCAGGGAAGTGCCCATAGACAGTATATGTGATTTAAATTCAATTTATATATACGAAAAGGGATGTATGCTTAATCTTCAAGAAGCTATTGAACATAATGCATTGACCTTGGGTGGTGTGGGCATTGGAGTTGCTGTTATTCAGGTAATTATTACTTGCTTAATATATATTTATATTTTACTACCGGTTGTAACATTTTCTATAATGATTGTAATTAATGAAAATAATAGTAAAGTTTATTTATTTTGGATTAAAGAATGTAACAAAATTTGTTAATTTCAGATAATTGGGATAATCTTCGCATGCTGTTTGGCACGCTCGCTCCGTCGCGAGTACGAGACTGTGTAAGCAGAGTTACCTACAGTTGTAATGCCTAAAAATTGCACTCATACTCTTCTAAAATGAGCTCTGTTGCTTTCACTATTACACATTTATGTAATAATCATTCTGATTCTTCTCTTTAAGTAACAGAATATGGCACAAGTTGCACATTGTACATCATTTTTACTATGTTGCACAAAGACGGTAAGACGGAATACTTTACTTTTATATACGATGTCCGACAAAATGTGGATTTGTTTTAAACAATAACTACACTCGTCAAAATAACGAAAACGATCTTTTACCATTTTTTTTTATTCTAGGATTGATTTTCGAAATACAAATAATTAAAATTTACCGATGTTTAGGCAAGAATCTATTTTAAAACTGTAAAAGTATAAACCAATGATAAAATTATTTTTACAAGCATTTTGAAAAAAAAACATTAAACGGTACAGAATTGTTTTCATTATTTTGACACATAAGATTAATTGATCCTGAAGACATATACCACATTTCTGTAAACATCCTATATAAAAAGATCTACTTCTACCTAAAATTATCAATGCTACAGATGATAATAATATTGTTTTATATTTTATTATGCATGTATAAATACTCACTTTCACTTTTATTATTATTACTGCTGATGCTAATACTATCAGAAATAATAGTAGTAGCAATGGTATTGGTGGTATTAAATATAAACTGACATTAGCAATGTTACTTTGATGTTCAAAAGATTTTGATATAAAATGAAGCAAGTGTTTTTGTGCAGTATATCTTGTCTTTCTGACCGTTTCTTTAAGACTGAACACTTCTATTCTACGATAATGGAACAAGATTTTTGTACTTGGTTAGAAATTACACATGGATATTTAAGAATTATAAATCGAAAGTAATATATATTTATGTTAAGCTTTTAATTTTATTATACATAAATATTAACTTTTGCTTTGTTACAACGAAGAAGTTACTTCATAATTTCAGTTTGCAAAATATCAGTATGTAATTTAATTTTTTTTTTATTAAATTTTAATGGAGACATTATTGTAATTGTTAAAAATATTCTAGCGCTATGACTTGTCGAACTCTGTACGGTGATTTTTTCTACCTATCGTTTCACAAATTATAAATACAATTTTTAGAAAATACTAAGTAAAATAACAATAGCAAAACTGACAAAACTTTTAATTAAAAGAAGAATAATATATTAAAAAGACATTTATGGTTTTATCAGTCAGATAGATTAGTATTTAAATTTATAATGAGTGAAATTTGTAATACATTTTTACCATTACTTGTATTATTCTTCAATTAATTACCAGTGGGATTGATAATAATCCACAATATCTTGGCCAACATAATTAATTTTCTGAAATTTTCATATTTATACCAGAACGTAATATGTCGTTTATTCAGTGAATACGCTTTATTTAAAAAAGGGTACATTCGTAGCATAGACACAATCTGAGAAAATGTCTCTGTATCTAAAAAATAAGAAAACGTTTTATTGTTCGTACGAAGTTTACATAGTGTTAACACGATAAAACATTATTAATAAATGTAACAATAAGATTATATGATTGCACGATTGTACGTTGGAAAACTTCAAAATCAGTTCTGGATGTTATATGGAACAATGTATGTTTTGCGTTGATGCAAGATCGATACATTTAGTAAACAAACGCGTTCGATTAGAATTAATGCTGTTCGATTTTTAAAAAAACTTAATTTTTATATTTACGCTTTCCATGATTTAGACAATAAATTGACGCTAGGTGTTAAAGAACGGAATGAAAATTTCAATTCCATTGAAGTATTTTGTACTAAGATTTCTAATTATAATATATTTTTCAAAGTCATTGCTTCCGTGCTCTATTAAAATTTTATTAATATATATATATATTACATATATTACTATAATTTTATTCTATTTACAACGAAATACTGTTTTAAGAATTTTAAGACTGTTCTGTTGTACAGATTACATTATGCTTTAACTGTATTATATAAATGATAACAAAATATTATATAAATTATATGAGTGTTTCAAAATAATGAGAGAAACCGGGCATACAAATTATTTCGTGCCAAAAAAAAAAATGAATAAGATATCGTCTATATCTATATCATTTTGAAATCTGAAGCTTCGTTTTTAAGATATATATAAACTGTTAAAACTTTCAAATCTGGCTTACATTTGTATGTTCTTTGATACCAGACAGCTGTGCGCATAGCTACACACAAATGCACTCACACATGAAAGCGTTTTCCCAACAATTTCAATGTATTTTCCTAGCGATTCTAATAATTCTTTACATTTCTAAATATATATATATATATTCTTTGTATGTATTTTATACTGGTGAACATATATATTATATAATGTGCCACAAAATTTTTTAATCAAATCTTCGCCAATATGTTCTTTGAGTAGAAATAAGAAAATATGTTACAATGCTCAAAGCTTTATTAAAAAGTTATAGTAAAATTCTAATTAGATTGAATTGACATAAATGAAGTACAGAAAGCAACCATGCTCTTAGCAAAATATATTGATTGTTGCAGTATATCTCGAAAATTTCTGAAATAGAGTCTATTAATTTCAACATGATAAAAAATACCTTTGTCTATACAGCTTTCTTGACTCCATTCGGCAATATCACATTTAGATCCTCCGAGATACGAAATACATGGTATGGAGATTTGAGCAAAATTATCCATACCATATTCTTCCTAAATAGCAAAAAATAATACTACCAATTATTAATTTCTTATAACAAATTCCAAATCAAGTACAATTTTTTATAATTGGTACATTGAATATTGACTGTGTAATACAAATGTAATTTATTTAGCACTACAGGTTTCTAATTCGGTTCTTTATTTTGGAAAGCGTAAACTGCACATTCTTGCTTTGCCACACATGACACTAAATGTAATTTTATCAGAAACAATGTATAGTCATGGGCGATTTAATTAATTTCTACTTCCAGCGAAACTGCAGCACACTGATCTGACATCAATTAGGAGGCATTGTAACACTAAGTATTGTTCGTCGTGCATTCATTAAGAGAATAATTCTAAAGTCGTCGCAAGACCATTTACTTAGAACCTGATTGCAGACTAAACCAATGTTCATCTGCAGTTTATCTATGGAAGAAAACAGACTATTGGAAAAACTAATTCAATTACTGCCAGTATTTGCCAAATGGTTAAAACCAAACTTTTCTTTCTTAGACTGTGTTTATGTATGAAATTAAAGTTTATGGCATAAGAATGTTTGGAAAAAAAGATAAAATGATCATTGTATATTTGGCTCATGGCATGTCGCAAACTAAAAGACTATCAGTAGTGCCTTGATTTATTGGAATGGAAATCATCTCTTAAATTTTCACACTGTGCAAGATTTTAATTCATTTAGCATATTGTTTCTAACATAATTACATTTTCATTCTTAAAATGAGTAGACTAAATATCTAAAGTTTGACTACCGATTTCGTTTAGACCATGTATGTATAGTTACGATTTATACCATTTCTTAATTGAGTATTGATAAAAGAGAAATTGTTTTTGAATTTAAAACTCGAGCAAAATCGTGCGATGATAAATAAAATTCAACATTAACTAATTTTATCTGGAATCGTTGCATTATATAGAAAGAATTTTTAAGAAAATTATTTTAATTTTTGCAAAGTAGACAATTTAATTAACAAATAGTAGTTGACACGAATGATTTGAAACTTTGCAACATTATAGTTTACGCAAAATAGCTTCCAAAATCACAAAATAATATCGCTAACTCATGGCATTGCGTCGATTTAACGAATTTTATTGTAATTATAACAATTGTAATTGCAATCCCTTTTCCCTTATTTTGAAATCTCGCATATTTTAATGCAACAAGAGAATAATTAAGAAATATAACGAGTGGGATCAGATTCTCCAGCCCAAGAAAAGGAGTATGGAAGACCTGGATAGTAGAGGATCGACGATGGCACAGCGATAATTATAATTAATTATATATTTAAATATTACTAAGTCTGGGCGTGTATACGTATATTTTTACAGCTCTTACAAAACAAATTAATAACTCGAATCGTTTATGGGCACAATAATTATTGTTTCTGCTAGTTCTAGTAAATGTAAATTTACCCATAATTACAATCATGCGGTCCCAGGGATCACATCGCACTATATTATTCCTTTCTCAACATTCTTCAAATCATTTAACTTTAACGAACTGTGAGTACTTTTCGGTACCTCTCTGAATCCTAATTAACTTTTTACGTGTAGAATAAGCACTTTTTTCATGTGATTTTTATACACGGCGATTCCTGTGATTGCACGAACTATGCGTGAAATTATTAAGTTCTTTGATGTTTCCCCGCGTACAGGGTGTTCATTTGAAAACTTTAAATCCAAGTATCTCGAAAACAACACATTTTTGGCAAAAATGTTAAATACAAAAGTTTCTTGATTTCAAAGGGGAAACATATTTGACTTATTTTTTTTTATTCATTGAACACTTTCGAGGTTATTTGGAAGGATAATTTTTTTTCTTTAAACGAAAATCAATATTTTTATTTACAGATTTTTATTCTATGCAAGAAAGGAACAAACTTTTGTACAGAACATTTTCTTACCGGATTTTAACTTAAAAAGATATTTAATGAAATAACAAATTTTTGTTTAGTCTTGCTACTTCGAAAATAAAGGATGGAAAATTAAATCAAACAAACGAAACTTTATAATTTTTTATGACTAAATAATGATAAATTATACTTTCATATTTACATATAATAACTTAGTATTATTATTGTAAATAGTTGATACGATTCTTGTTTTTATTTCTAAACTTTCAAATACGTCTAATTGATTAAACAATTTAATATATATAAAATGAAATAATTTAATGAAGCTTTCCAGGTTATCTGTGTTCGATATTTACGTTAATTGTAACCAATTTAGAGTGACAATTATATGTTTCACGCAAGAATAAGCGAGGTTTCAATAATATTAAAATAATAAGAAATTGCTAGAGAAACCAATTAGTGTGAGTTTCTTGGTAGATAATACTGAAACATTAATGTGTGCCTAATTTTTAGAAATGTGTTTAAACAGTTAATTAATCGATTAGCATTAATCGAAATAATTATTAACCATTCTGTTTGTACCTGTAAACTAACAATTCATTTAATTATACCTTCCTTTTAGTTTGTTCGTTTCCCAAGCATGAGATTTTACTAAATAAGTAACCTTTATCATTTTGTTTGTATTTTGTAAATTTCATTCGAGTCTCATAATTTAATATCCCGTTCTTACTAACTTTCAATTGGATTATTTAGGAACCGTAGTATTGTTTTTTATTTCATCGAACGTATGTAGCAGTATTTTAACTTATAGTCTTATGTCATAAATTTATACACGTATTACATGTCTGTGTTAAATTAACTCTAACTTAACGTGTATTTAATTTTAAACTATCTTAAATTTTGCGAAATGTTAAATTATAAAACTTTCGTATTAACAAAATAAATGTTCTCGTTTAATGTAAGATCCAATCGATATTGATTTATGTAATTCAATAAGAAACTTGTAATTACAATTTAATGTATTTGGAAACAAAAATCTTTGTTCGTATATACATTTAATAATTGGCTGATAAGGAAAGACTGATGACAACGTAAGAAAAATGAAATTAATATTAAATGAAAAAAGAAACAATTGTTGTTTGTAGCGTTTAATTTCTTACGATATTTTTCTAGTTGTGATTTAACGAATTAATCAATACATTATTAACGTCTTTAAGGAGCCGATCACTTTAGCACGCCTTGTTCGTATAGCTTTTATTTATATTAATAAACTATATTAAGTAAACATTGTATTTGTTTTATTTTGGTATAACCATTATTTCCACTAATTCTGCAATGTATATGATTTCAGTTGTATATATTTTCAAATCGATCAATTTTACAAGATTAAATCGGAATTAATTCATGTTATTCATTCTAGAAGTCGATAACGATAGGCGAATTTGCAATTTGACATATATCACATAAAATAATTGCAAGAAAATTACCATTAGTTATATAAATTATTTAAACAAAAACTTTCAATGTTTGGGAATATTGAAATAAAAACGATTGCTTCGATGTAAAAGAAAGGGCAGCGATAATTCTATACAATCATTATTTAGTTATATTTACTTATAGAATTAGCAGCTAACATTCAGTAATTATATGGGATGTTCTCTTGTACTGTCTTACAACTGTATGTTGATAAAAGAAATAAATTCGCAGGAAAGAATAAAGTAGAATGAATTCAATTTAAACAGTATTTCTTACATCGTATCGCTTACTTTTATATATTTTTAAATAATCTTTAGTCATTTTGACGACTTTCTTTTAATTTTTACTAACGTTACAAACCAATTTCTGAAATTATTTCTCGACCCCCTCAAAGAATCGTTTAAACAGTATTGTTTGCATATTTATTTGTATGTAATACTTCTGGATAAAAATCATTCCCTTTTTGCTTATGCCTTTAATTATAAAATAGTAGATTCAATATATAATCTGTATATAATTTTCGAGGTCGAAAGATCAATAAATTATGCTTTGAAAATGTTGCAGAATACAAATAGATATTTTAGCAACAGTAATCAAAATCAAATAGAAAATTAAACTTACTCGCGCGACCTTAATTTTGAAATTATATTGTTAATTAAAATATTAAAGTCGCAATGCTTAAAATAATATTATTATAATTAATATTATTTTCTGCAAATTTATTTTTTACTAAAAAGATCTATCATCGAATATTCTGCAATCTGCTAAAATGATCTGAATCATTACCTAACAATAAAATTTAGTAAATTTCACAATTTACATACTTCATTTGTTCTTTCAATTAATTTATTCCTAACATAAAGAATAACCTTGTAAGACTTATTAAAAGAGATTATTATTTCTGTTATCGCAGTTTTTTAAAAATGTAACCGATTAAATTTTGATAAAAATCATCATCTACGATTTATCGCTAATATACAAGAAATTTTGTTTATTTACAGTTGTAGCAATTTAAATTTCACATGCCTAATTAGCACATAATTTTAAAAAGGAATTTCAAACGATTGAAATTCCAATTTTGTCAAATTTAATAAGCGCAACATTTAGTTAATTACGAGCACTCGTGTATTATTTAACGCTAAATTCATAAGAGACCGGTTGAAAGTAATTTATTAACACTATTACTGAATAAATATAACTAAGTTAATCTTTGTATTGAAATGATCAAGGTTCACAGAAACAATTTTTCCATAAATTGCCGTGTGCCTTTTTTGACGAAATAAATAATATTACTTAATTAAATTGTTCTATTTTCTTGATGCGAAATTTTTATAGAATTATAACAAAATTGAAAATTTAATGGGCCTCTTAAGATAACTATCAGCGTAATTACTAACAAATCGAATTATTCGTATTATTCATAATATTGCCTAACCTATTGTTCGATACTATCGATGGACGTATCCTTTTAAATACCAGAGATGGGCAAAATTCTTATTTAAACAAAAGTGTCAAACAACTAAAAAAAGACGAACTTTTTATTCGTTGAATAAAAGTTAACATTTGAATTATACAATATTCGATTAAAATTTTGCCCATCTTTGTTAAATACTATCTCATCGCGAGTTCTTAAAACGAGCAAATGAACGAAACAAACAGAGGACAAAAGAAAATAACTGAGGTCCCTCGCTTTCACTCTTTTACTCTCAAGTCATATTTCTTAAAAATTTTAAATAATAACAGTCTCTTATTACAATTAATTGACATTACACGAACTAACTATTCCCATCACTTAAGAAACCTAAAATTCCAATACTTCTATTTCTCAAACACGTTCTACAATAAATTGTGTTTAATAAAATTTTAGGCATTGATTCTTTCTTGAATATGTTCACATAAAAATGTTTCGTAGAATTGTACTTTACAATAAGAAATATTATTTTCTTTTTTAATAGTATAAATTACTGATGAACGTTATTGACGTCAATAATAAACATATTTCTACGAAAATGTATTAAATGTATATATATATAAAGTATGATCAATCACAAAAATCAAATTTTAGGACCTTTAATTTAGGAACTTTTTTTTATCAACTCGAACATACGTCTACAATTAACCAAAATTAAATTTCATAAAAAGTCATGAAAAATTTATGGTAAAATGAAATTAAAGTAAATATTTAGTCATTTAAATCAACCATAAGAATACATTCTGGAAAATGTGCAGTCTGTCTCGAGAGTTACAGAGTGAAAAAGAGAGTTGGTTGCACATGTACGCACATTCATTCATCTTAGGCACATTTACATACTCGATATAAAAGCACATCACTATGATCGAATCGACGATCTTGAAGAGTCTTTCATTTAAAGCGGTCCTTCGATCGATATACATATAGATACAATAAGTTTTTCGAAGATGCGGAGAACTAGAAACATGATTATTCGAATGATAATTCGTAACGACTCAAACATAAACAAATTGAAACCTTTCATAACAGAACATTCTTACGAACTTTCAATTTTAGTCACTAATTTGATTTAAAAATGTTTTCTTTTATGTATTTTACCTTAAAATCACGATTCGCCGAACAATGCCCATAATGATTTATGAATTAGGCAAATGTTTGTAAAAATTTTCATATATTTTTTCCGAAATTAAACATTAAAATCACGTCAATGAGCATATCTGGATTCGCTCAATTTTTCATTGGTAAATTATGAAAATGTAAAAGAACTTCGGATGAAGTATAATTTAAAAGAACGCAATCAAATTGGAAGATGATTAAAATGATAAGAAATAACACTCGATTAATCGGAAGAACTTAATCATTGTTTCATTAATTCATTAAAAATAATTTGTCAATTCGAATAATCAAAATTTCAGTGTAGTTAAATGGGCTCCTTTAAGTGGCCGTTCTTCATTTTGAAGAAATGAAAAGGGCAGATCTTTTCGAAAAATTGTTCATGTAGCATAACGCTTAGTCCAAAGCCGTGCTATACGATCATGCTCTTCCCTATTCTGGAGATACTGTGATGCTATGCTTCCCACTAGAGGGTCCGCTGGAACGCGTAATAATATTTTTTTAAGCTTTCTTCTAACCACTATTCGTTTGGAAAGATATTAATGTTATGATAAATTGTATAATAGGGTAAAAAAGAAACACTTTATTTACCTAAATACTTATTAATTTTTTCCAATTTTAGTTAGAAGTTTGAGTCTTTAAATTAGTTCAACTAAAATGACTACTAATTTTATTTTACCTGGATTGCAGTCTGTTAGAAGTGAACAAATAGACAGTAAGACCTTGGAAATGGTAAGTGCAGGTGACCAATTGTCCTTTAATATGTCCAGGCAAATTACGCCTTGACTGTTTATATTACAATGATAGATGCGTGTTCGGAATGTGACCTAAAAACGTTATGTTAACAATTAATTATGTATTGGTAATGTCACGTTCCTTGTATTTTCCGTGCCACGTGGATCATCAGGGACCCACGATGGACTTTCCATTTGAGGGATGAGCCCTGAAAAAAGCGCGGCAAGCGACTGAAAAATCACTCGTAGAATTTCCATTTAAAATGTGTCACGATTATGAACGAATAACTCAAAAAGAAACAATTTTACATTGTATTCTTGCACTACCTCTCCATATAAAAATTTACTATAGGTCACCGGCTATCTTTTTAAGTATTGGATAGTATAAAATATATGAATGTTTAAAGGAATAATAACATGATTTTCTTTTACCTATTGTTTCTGTACCTAATTTTGGACTTTTGGACTCGTTGGATCATTTTCAGACTCAATTTTAATAGAAAATTGTACAATAATAGACGATTACTAAAATAAATAAATTGTTAATAATAATTTATATTCCTTTTTAACATCTGCGATACTCTGTCTTATTGTCTAAATTTACATAGAAGTATTAAGATGAAATAAAAATGATTCACAACCGCGTAGTTATAATTAATAACTACACGTTTTACTTGATGTAAGGAACTACAGTAATAGAAAGGATCAACTATAATGAATAAAATATACTATAAAATAAAAGAAGAAGTTTAAATAAGATGTATAAAATTCTTCCCTCCTTTTTATATATTTTAATTCGTGTAACGAATATTTTTCAATATCCTTTTTTTTTAGCTATATATTATATTATTTTAAAATACGAATAAAATCTTTTTTTTTAACGACGCTAATATTTAGTCTTATAAATATGTAAAAAAGTAAATATGTAAAGATTACAGTTATTAATACTTTATTAAAATTAGCACTGAACGCAATAAAATTAAAATTATTTATTGAAAATTTCATTGTTATGGAATTCATGATTACTCAAAATTATAAATGCCGTCGTTTCATACAAAATAAGGTTTGGTAAATAATTAATCATATTACTAGCATACCTTTGGTGGTTTAAAGGGATATTCCGGGGAAAAGTGTATGTCTAAAAAGAATACACCTCCTTCATAAACTGACCCAGGAGGTCCAAGTATAGTCGACACCCATTCGTATAAATTATCTCCCTTAGGTCCTGCACTACAAAACAAATAATAAAATGGCATTATTTAATAGATTAACATCCAAAGGCAAAATTAAAACGAAATTTATGTAAAACTCTAGATGAAAATATCAAAATACAAGCTGCTGCTTCTAAGAATATTGAAGTAAATATTTTAGAAACGAATGGATGACCCAATTATATCAACGCAAAGACGATAGTTTAATTATTATATAGATGAATAGGTACATCCAGTAAGGATACAGTATTTTCTGCATAACAGAAATGAAGTTGGATTCGCAGTATTTCAGTTACTCAAATTTGTTCGCATTTTAATTTCAGCCATGGTCGTTAATACGAAATAAAAACTTTTATATTTGTCGTTGTATCTTCTTGTGAGTATTACCAATGAATTGTCAATGTTTTCTCTATGAAAGTAAGTTCAAACATGGGCTTATACGTACTATTCTTAATTATATGAAGTTATAAATTTAAAAAAAAACAATTCAAAGAACGTACATATAATTGAAATTAAGTCAAATACCGTCGTATTTGATCCCATTTTCATCGTGATAACTTCACTCATTCATTAATAATATACTAATAAACATGCAATGAGAAATATAGAAATTTTTGATTTGTTATTGTACGGATATGTGTGCAGTACCGATTGCAAATTCATCTAACTGATTTTTGTTTTTACAGTCACTGAAGATGAAGAGACAAACAGTGATGCTAGGATAGTTCAATTTTAATTATTCATGCATTATTTTACAGGATGTTTCAGATTTAAATGACCAGACTCGAATATGAATGTATGACCACAAAACAACATCAATGTACCTCTGTTTCCATGATCAAACTTACGTTTAATTTAGTGCTAAAGGAAAACTAAATATACTAGTAACCTTCATACCTCAAGTCTGGCTACTTAAATCTGAAATACCATAAATATGTAGGGAAAAAGGCATCGAAAAGCGATGATTAAAATAGCATGCGTTTAAAGGTACGGAAGAACGAGATACAGATTGTTTAATTGGCAACAGAGTGTTAAAAGAGAAAATGGGGTCATTGAAGAGAAAAATGCGTGCGTGAGTGTACATTGAATCATATTAAACTGCAAAATTTGTACTGACTTTACTCTTGCATCCTGCACATATTGTATGATATTAATGTAAAAGTTAATAAAAAAAATACAAACCTACAATTTGGTGGGGGGTCTAACGTGATTTCTGCCAATTCTTTCTGTATCCTGTGACAGGAAAATTAATTAAGCGATTATAAGCCTGCTGTAGCATAGTCTTTTTTTATTTTGGACAATAAATGTGCTACCTTTTGGCAGATGTTCCTAAAGCTTTTGACATCTTTGGATTTGGCTTTGCTTCCTTACTATCTGGTTTATTGTCTGCTAGCGCCGAACTACGCCCCCGGCTAGTTCCACTTGAACCTGCGCCCGATGACATGGCTCTGAAACAATTTGTATGATTAAAGAAGTTATAAATTAAAATCAAACGGTATATCTAAGAAATGAATTCACAAATCAGGTACTTTATTACTTTTAATTCAATTGTAAATAAGCAAAGGAACAATAAAAATTAATCAAAAAAACCAAGCATACCTCGTGTCCTGAACTATGGACGTCGAGAACCTTTTAGGGCGAGGCAAAGGGACAAGGAACACTCTTAAAAGTAGTGGTGACAAATCTGCAATAAGAATCAACAAATAAACAATCCTTTAATCCAAAATTTAACCAAAAAATAATAGAATGATATTTTTTGATTTTATATGTTTGACAGAACATCATATTGATAACTAAACTAAGAAATAAAAACATAATGTTTCTTTTTGAAAACATTAAAAATAACAAAGTCAACTATGGTACGTACAATTATAAAAGATTATTAAAATCTTTCAATAATTCTATTTAGAAAAGTACATAGTTTAAATACAATATAAGGTTATATATCCCTTTGTAAAATTTGTACATGTACATTGAAAATGTGATTGGTAATATTGATTCACAAAAATAACAATTCAATCCCAAAACCAAATAGATCTAATATAAAAATATGTACATTAAATACATATATAAATTCTATGAAAATTGTTGAAATAACTGAATAAATTCAGTAAAAAGAAAATTTAGTGAAACAGTCCAACCAATTCAAATTATAGACACAAGACAATTTTAAACAGAATAAACTGATAAAAGTTTGTAATTTAAGTAATGCTATTAAAACATAATAGACATATTTTAAACAAAAATCTAAAAACGAAGTGTGCAATAGAAAAATATACAAAAATATATCGACCTTTATAAGAGAACAAGTAGAAAAGTATTTATTAACTCATTAATCAACTTCTATGTAACATGATTGGAAATATATTAAATCCAATGAATAGAAGGATTTAGTGATTGACTAACGAAAGATCAAATACTATATATCAACCATTTCTATTTTAAAAAGGGGATTATAGAACCGTCCGTGATCGAGAGGAAGAGGTGCGTTACCTCGCTGATAGAATGTATAGCTTCTTGATCGTTTCAGGATAAAGTTTAGAAGCGGAGATTGATCCTATGTGAATCACAAGTAAACCGCCTAAATCCTTTGTTGTTCGTACTGCACGAAACGAGTGATCCTCAAGTGCTGCTTTGCAGGCTGGCGGGCTTCATTGTCGCTCTCATGTCCCGAATTCACGGTCGCGGCGTCCCTTTTCCCTCGGCGAACGCCGAAACGTGCGCATCTCTGCGTCGCCGGATGTTGACTTTGTCGCCGCTGCGGCGGACGTCGGTAGCCGACGCTCCTAGGTGGAGCTACTGTCGGCTTCATTATTTAGGAATATACAATACCAATTCTTTTCAACAAATCCCCTACATTATTTTACATTTTTTTCCATTACGTTAACTGTTACTATGTTCGGTTATTTTTCATTCAAATTTTTATATTTATATACATATATTTTACACGGATTATTTGCGAAATTCATACAAATTTAAACATTTATTAAACTTTGTAAAAAAAGTATTTTTATTCTAAGATGTAGTAGTTTAAAAATTGTTAAATACAAAATTTCTTCGACATAATTACTACATATGTAATCAATTAACGAATTAAATAAACTATATATGATTCATTTGATTGGTGGTTACTCGAATTAAATACCTAAATTTTCATTGATATTTTAATTTAACGTGTAAAATAATAGTACTTACATATTTAAACTCAAAATTAAGGAAGATCGATATATCGAATTATAAATAATCATCAAATTTAAATGTCTATGTATCTCTAAATTATTTTCGTTTGTTTTAAAATTTGTATTGTTATTTCATCGTAATATTGGTTATAGAAAAGTTCAAGTTAAAAAGAAAAAAAGAATATATACATATCTATATATGATATGTGATATGATACGTAAGTATATATATATATATATATATGTACACGTATAAGTAGATATACACATATACCATTTTTGTGAAAAATATTTTGTTTTTGTTTTCATAAAAAAAATGAGAAAAAGGTTGATCAAGACTATGAACTTTATACATTCAGTTATCTATCAGTTGCAAGTATCTGTACTTGTTGAATATAATATTTTGTACACTGGTCATATTCGGATCAGAAAATTACACAAATTTCTAATTTTATAAGCACTTGCATAAATCATATTCCAATTTTGATGAAATGCAAGGTAAAATATTTACCATTTCTTTCCTTATTCTTCTCAATTACATTGCTGGTAAGATATTATTTTAATATTTGTAAATATAATGTGATTAAAGACTTTTTACAACATTTTGATCTTTATTTTTTTATTATTATTTGATATATAAAACGTTTAATGTAAAGATTATACAAGCTACATTTTAGTGTATTAAGTTTATATAATTAAAAATATAAAGATATCTTTAAAACTTACAGTGCACCTATTATGAACTATTTAATGTATTATAATGTATATATAAAAATATTAAAGTTACTTTCATAACTTACAGCCGAAGATGAAAATTGCCCTACAATTATAAGTCGAAGCCAATGGGGTGGTCAAGAAGCAACAAACATGAATTACTTGATTCTTCCCATTCCTTACATTGTAATCCATCATACAGTTACACCAGAATGTACCACCAAAGTTTCCTGTTCTGCTAGAGTTGAAAATATTCGTTCTTATCATATGAATGATCTTGGATGGCACGACATGGGATATTCTTAAGTATCTTTTATATTATGTTTAATATATATCAAATATTTTGCAGAAGAATGTAATATTATTTCCATTACAATTAATTTTTCCTATATGAAAAAAATTGATAATCATTAGTAATATATTAAACATGATAAAACAAGTAATTTTAATGTATAAATGGAAACTGACAAAGATATTTTCTATTTATTTTATTAATCTTTTATTACTTTTAAAAAATTATTGTAGATGATAAGAGAAACGTATTGTTTCCTTCTTTTTTGCTTCAATTACAACAATTTATTTCAAATAACTTTTCAATGAATTTGTAAACAATAATTATATAAAATCATTAATTTCTTTATTCAATTAACAGATTTTTAATTGGTGGTGATGGAAATGTATACGAAGGTAGTGGATGGAACAGGGAAGGAGCTCATACTTATGGATATAATAAAAGATCGCTTGGAATTGCATTCATAGGAAATTTTCAAGGTATTTTAAAATATATTTGAAGGTTCGATCAAGGTAGTCTGTGAAAATTAATTTCTAAAGAGTTGAAAAATCAAATAAACACTTTTTTTTTCTTAGTACCAGTACCATCGTTCTAATTTCTACTTGTTTATTCCATTCTGTTTAATAATTTCTTTTAAACTTTAGAGAAACTTGCAAGCGACAACATGATGGAGGCAGCACACAAATTAATTCTCTGTGGCAAATCTAAAGAAATATTTAGAGAAGATGTTCATGTTATTGCAGCTAGACAAGTCGGGAGTACCGCTAGTCCGGGACTCGAACTATATGGACAGATTCAAAATTGGCCAGAGTGGTTTTCTAATCCATAAATTAAAATTAAATTACTTATATAATTTTAATATACAAATTTTATCAATAGTGAAGTTGCAATTTTAGTAGAGAACACCTTGTTGAAATGTTATGAACAGTCCCAAACTTATATGTTATATTAAGGAGTTACTGTAGCACAATTATATATTATACAACAAAATACATTTTATCTTGGAAACAATGTTTCATTTTATTTCAAAAACATTTCACTGTGAAAGTAATTTTTATATGATTTAATTCAATATTAACAATTAGTCAGAAATACATATTTACAAAATTATGTTTTTAAAATAATCCCTTCGATCAGAGGTTACCTCTAGTAATATAGATCGCATAGCCGAGCTGAGGAATTGTCCCAGTGCGCCGCCATGTTGTTTAGTTTTCTAACCGTACGAGACACTAATTCTACACAGGATGTCGAAGTATACAGATGCAAACACGAATTTAAAACAAAATCCCATAGCTCTAAAACCTCTTGTTCGATATGACTCGTAATACGAGCCTCGTACTCTTGTACTTGAGTTAGCTGTGGTTTAACAGTTAAACTTTAACTTAAACTGTATTTACGTCAAAATTGGACTCTAGCGCTGTTGTCAGACTTATTTTCAACATGGCTACAAAGGTGGTTGTAACTGACTCGAGGCCTAAGCACTTGTTTACCTACTCTTTGCCTATAGTAAAAAGCTCATTGTTACCAACATAGGTTGCGCGGTGTAACGCAACATAATATACGATCTAGAACAGAAATAACAAATTCGTATGAAATTTCTTTTCTCAACTTACCTTAATCCATGCCAGTTTAATCGAAATTTAGTTTCGGCTTTCTTAATTGTTGTTGATTGTAATGACATTTGTACAGAAATGTTGAGTGTTTGTTAAATCAAATTTTTTTGATCATTGTGACTAATCATTAGTGTTGTATTAGATATGAAATAAACAATTTTACTAGTATTATTTAAATACGTTTTATTTGTTGTCTAGTGTAGTCCTCGATTTCTATACTCTATCAGGTACGTTCATCTTCTCCTTTACACACATTGTTTATTTCTGTATAATGCAGTTATGTAGAATAAATTTTCGTTAAATTGTTGTTCGTTACAATACAATGAAGAGAATATATGTACGCTTCCACGGATAAATTTATTTATTTATTTATGTTTTTAATTGATTAATGTGTATAGCTTTTTGATATGTAATTACTTGAAAACAAAATTTGTAAAATGTTTGTGAAGCAGATACAAAAGACATTTTATTGCATAAATAATTCAGATATTAATTGTCTCTAGTTTAAATCTTAACAGAGTAAACATTTTGTAACTCTAAACTAAACTAATTTCCTTTGGATAAAATTTTAGTTTATGTATTTCAACTTTTGTTAATTTAACGTTGTAATTATTTTAAAAGGTAATTAGAATATAATGATAATAAAGTATAGTTTTGTTTATTTCCAGTTTGGAATCGTATTAATATTTTGAGTTATTCATTTTAACTCGTAGGTCAGATTTTTGTGTCTATAATCTAACTTTTTCTCAAAAATGATTTGTTTAACAATAATGTTTTATTAATAAATAGATATTTAATTCATTAAATGACTAGTTTCATATACAGCATTTGTCTAATTTAAAAAAAAATGGTGTTATTTATTATTTTAATCTTAAATATTTTATCGAATAATCATGTTTTAATTAATTTGCTAATATGATGTGTATATTATTATTAAATAATTTTTATTGTAAAACGAAAAAGAAGGTAATGGATATAAGTTTCAGCAGACTTTATTAGTCCATAAGATGGCTGATTCTAGTGACTTGGATTGGCAGATAGAACAACTAAAAAAATGTGAAATTATCAAGGAAGCAGAAGTCAAAGCTCTTTGTGCAAAAGCACGTGAAATTCTTATAGAAGAAAGTAATGTGCAAAGAGTCGATTCTCCGGTTACTGTATGTTTTCATAAAAAAGAATGAAGAAGGAATTATTATAATTTGAATTTATAGAAGATATAATTTTTTCAGGTGTGTGGAGATATTCATGGACAATTTTATGATCTAAAAGAATTATTTAAAGTTGGCGGAGATGTCCCAGAAACAAATTATTTGTTTATGGGCGATTTTGTAGACAGAGGATTTTACAGTGTCGAAACATTTCTCCTTCTTTTGGCATTAAAAGTAATTAAAAAGAATGATGTCATTTTTTTAAGTAAAAGTTTTAATATAATTGTAAACTGAAATTTTCATATAAGAGAAATACGAATAAAAAAAAATCGTTGAAGGTAGCATTATAGTTATAGTTACTAATACAACTGCAATTACAGGTTCGCTATCCTGACAGGATTACGTTAATAAGAGGAAATCACGAGTCTCGACAAATTACTCAAGTTTATGGTTTTTACGACGAATGTCTCCGTAAATATGGCAGTATTACAGTTTGGCGATATTGTACTGAAATATTTGATTATTTATCCCTGTCTGCTATTATTGATGGAAAAATATTCTGTGTTCACGGGGGTTTATCTCCGAGTATTCAAACGCTCGATCAAATTAGAACTATAGATAGGAAGCAAGAAGTAAATGAAAAATACGTTTAAGTCTTTAATAAAATAATATAATAAATCGTTTTGCATGTAAAACACAAAACTTAAAATGTTTAATACAATGTGAACTAAAGCTGAACATAATTTGTTATAGGTTCCACATGATGGACCAATGTGTGATTTACTTTGGTCAGACCCCGAGGACACTCAAGGTTGGGGAGTTTCGCCTCGTGGAGCTGGTTATCTTTTCGGAAGCGACGTAGTAGCACAGTTTAATTCCGCAAATGACATTGATATGATATGTAGAGCCCATCAATTAGTTATGGAAGGTTATAAATGGCATTTTAACGAGACTGTTTTAACTGTTTGGTCAGCACCTAATTATTGCTACAGGTATGAGTTTACTTTAATTATGCATAGCGTATATAATATGTTATTATATCACGCGAAATTATTTGAAAGTAACTTTTAATGTTATTTTTTATCAATTTAAAAAAATACCTTTTTAATAGATGCGGAAACGTAGCTGCGATATTAGAATTAAACGAGCACCTTCAACGAGAGTTCACAATATTCGAGGCGGCACCACAAGAAAGTCGAGGAATACCCAGTAAAAAGCCCCAAGCTGATTACTTTTTATAAAACAATTTTTTCATTGAAACTGACTGTATAAACCAAAATATCTCCAAATATTTAAAAAGAAAAAAAGATCCTCTTAAACGATTGCATGATATGTATTTTGATACATGTACACATGTCCAATAAAGATGGAAAGCAGCTTGATCGCAAAAGTATAATAGATAAATGACAAATTGGTGGGTTTGTAACTGAATGCTATATTAGAGTGTTAACGGTAAATGAATAACCAATTTGATAAAATACATATATTGAATACATGTATTTCTACTATTATATTTTGGTTAGTAATAGAATTAATTGATATTCGACTCTATTGAACGGTAAATGATTTTATTTTTTGCAATTAATTAGGATTTGTGTTTGTTTTTACATTGCAAGTTTTATATTTAACAGCGCAAGTACAAACTTTAAATTTTGCTTAAATGTAATTTAAATGTAAAATTGTTTTAGACTTCGACTTTTAAATTTTTGCTCATTTCATTTTTATTCAATTAATTTACCAGTTATAGTTTAAACGTTAAATTTAATACAGAGGGTATTTGAAAACGATGGAACATACAGAAACGTGTAAATTCTTTATGCAAAAAGGAAATGTAAAAGTTATTTATCATTTTGTAATCCGAGGCTTCATTTTTGCGATATAAACAATTAAGTAAAGCTTTTATGTACGTGAATTCCATGTATACGTATTTCTCTGTGTGAAAATGCTATTTATAGTCCAGTCAGTTGACCGCACAACAGCACATGTACCACAGTTGGGCAAATTTTATTCGTGAATAACGAATACAAGTTTTACATTGATTTGTAAACTAATTTTTATGTTTCATTCATAAATTTATTTATAAATTAGAATTTCTTAAAACCAATATTTAGACGAGCAAAGTTGTAGGCAAAAACTAGTTTACGAATGAATTGTAACATTCTTATTCATTATTTGAGAATAAAATTTGTTTGATCTATCACGAAAACAAAATCTCAGATTTTAAAAGGATGCAGGACTTTTGGCTGTCTCACCACTGTTTCATCTTATTTCATCGTTTTGAAATACCTTGTATTTAATATACTGATACATTTTAAGTTAATATTATTGTAAATGTTAAATTTATTATTGATCTATGTAGAGAATAATTTAAATAGTTTACAATAAAAGTATCAATAAATATTACATATTATACCACGATGTATTTGTACATAAGATGTGGTTTACGAGAAAATTAACTAAAATTATACATAATTAAGGTTACTCTATAACGTCAAACTTTTTTTTATGCAAGACGGTAATCAATAATGTGAAAATAACGTAAAATTACATATGTATAGATAAATATCAAAATATAGTACTAATTTTATCAATATTTTATACGTTATTAAGAGTTAAACATTAACAGTTTATATTACACAATTTCGCAAATTATAATTCTGAAATTTGAAATCTAAGTCTGGAGCAAATAATTCGGACAATTAAAATAATTATATTCAAGGTAACAATGAATAATTGAACTCAAGGAGATCATAAATCTTGTTGATTTCCCATTTATATTTCTCCTGTCACCTAAAAATTTGTCTTTCGCTTTTGTTACAAAAGAGAATCGTAAATTGATTACATTTACACGGCGTCCTCGTTAACGTGAGAGCGAGTTTATAGGAGTTATCTTCACATATGGGAATATACGTTTGGCATGTTATGTATGGGCAACGGTTAGCATTGTAATCGTCGTAACGATTATTTGTGACTTAAAAAATACGAAAAGAAAACTGAAGAAAAATTTGTATTTCCCACTTCTCGTTTAATTCCACGACATGTCGGTCGTGGCGCTGCAAAATGCTTTAAGTGATGAACAAAGCAGACATATCCTACCACACGAGCCACATGTTATGCCAGGTCAGCACTTTATGCAACTTCGGGAAATCGATAAAGAATGTGAATTAGAGCCTTTCCTTTTTGCTCTTGAACAGCTGAAGTCTGTCCTATATATATATATTATTAATACGATTGAGTATAAATACCAGAACTGGTGCGGTTCTGGATGATTATATATATGTATATATATATGCTCGTTCATAGAAATAATAACAAGAGTTTCTTTTTTTTTCGATAGTTAAAACATGGTCAGAGGGTTTCAAAACGTGTATTTCATCATATCAAGAAAGAAGGGCTCACACTCGCCTTCTTTCTCAATTTCCCGAAGTTGCGCGAACTGTATATAAAGCTCCATTTCATGGACCATCTTTTATTTATTTATGGAAAATGAAATAATTTTCAGTTGTTATAAGGTTTATTTAACAGTTTCTATAATTATTTTTTAAACACCTTGTAAAATACTTTTTATTACATTGTGTAAAGCTATATAAAATGTTATCAATTATTTCAATGTTAATGACTAGACTCTATATTTGTTGATTTAATTTTACCAAACAAAGAATTATATAGTTCATCTTTTGCATGATTTAACCATGTATCGTTTATCGTAATAGGAGCCATAAAGTTTACTAATTTATTATGTACATTGTATCGTATTCTTCTACCTTTGGTAGCTCTTGTGTCTATTTTCCTCTTCATTTTACTTCTCATATTTTGTAATTGAATCCATTGTTTACTAAGTTGTATAGGATCTGTAATATCAGCCGATTTATATTCAATTAAATCCCTTAAAAGTTGGTGATAAAAATCGTCATCATCGTAAATTTCAGGATCGTATTCTTGAACTCTTCTACTCTCGTTGTTATCTTCGACCAATTCCGTCTTGCCAATAATATTGTATTCTGAACGTTTTAGTTGGGTTCTCTTGCGTAATTTTTCTTTATCGCTTAAAGCAAATTCGATTTGTTTTAACGTCGTTTGATTCATACCCTTATCCAATTTACCGCTCGCTATTCTTGTCTTTTCGTTCCACTTTTGTATAACAGAATTTCTATATTCTGTGTACAATGTATGATTATCATTTAATATTTTTTCATAATTGTCAAGTTTCAGTTTTTTACAGTATACATTTTTAGTAATATCGTCCAAGTCTTCGCCTAAAATCGACGTATCTTCTTTCTCGTTTCCATCTTCCGTATCTGAAGGAATTTCTTCATCCATTGAATTGTCTACATTTATCATTTCCTTATTTATGTTTTCTTCAATCTTTCTTTTTCTATTCTGTGCAAATAAATTCTTTGTTTCTGGATATTGTTTCAAGAACAAATTTTGTAATTGTAACATATTGTTTAATAACAATTTTAGTTTGCTTTTACTTTCATCAACTTTCTTCATATAGTCCATATTTTCTCTTAAACTTGTGTGTATATCATACTGAGGCATTTGATTACTAGGAATTAAACATTTTTGTAACTTTATTCTTATTTCTAGCAGACTTTCCCAAAGTTTCAGTTGACTTCTAACACAATTACCTTTATCAATATCTGCTTTAAGGTTTGTATGCGATATTGTTTGAAAATCTATTTTTTGCTTAGTATCAGAATTGTCATTGTCGTAATTTTGATCTTCGATATCAGATACATTTTTTGTATCTTTGGAATATTGTTTAAAACTTTCTTCATCGCTGTAACTTAATTCTTCGTCCAAGTTGTCACTTTCATTATCATCCTCAGTGTCTTCACTGTTATCTGAATCATCATTATTATTATCATAATCATTACTTATGTAATTGTCATCTTCTTCTTCTGTACTACTTATATCTTCATTTCCTTCGCTTCCCGATACATCGAGCGAATCATTATCACTGGTATATATGTTCTTTCTTGAAACTTTTTTACCTATGTATCTAGAATATGGGCAAAACTTATCATTTAATAATTCGTAATGTAAGTAAAATTAATTGAAATAAAATAAAATATGAACAAAAAACATTCAATGTGTACCTTTTGTCTAATTGATCTAAGGTATCAATGTTTTGGCTACGTGTCTTCGAAAGTTGAACATTGCTTTCCGAATTGTCACTTTCATCATAACGATCAACTACTTTAGCCTTTGTGTCTTCAGCATCGTTGTCAGAATCAAAATTTGTTGGTGTTGTAGTAAGTAAAGAATTTATTTTATCGGCTAAGCTTTCTTTTGCTTTCAAAGCCATTTTTCCGACAAAATATGCCGATTCAATTTTACGCGATAGTTTCACATGTGCTGTCCAACAAATAAATAAACATAACCTACACACAGGAACGTTATTAAGACTTTGATCAAATTTATATTTAGAATTTATTTGTAGAATTTGATTAAATTTATGTTTAAAATAATTTTACAATTCATAGTAAATGAATAAACTGGTAATACGTATTATTTATTAGATCGTAATTATACCTGAAAAACGAATATACAGGGTGTCCCAAAGATGTTGCGGGTCCTTAAAGGGGGTGATTCGGGGGATGATTGCAAACAACTTTTTCCTTTGTGAAAATGCTCTCCGGGGTTTCGTTAACGAGATATTAACAAAAAGCACCGACCAATCAGATCGCGCGCTTTCCGCCCGAGCTCCCATGCTAGCATGGCTACGCGCCGTGCTAGCGTGGCTACGCGCCGCGCTGCGACTTGTGAACAAGCAACTCGGCATGCAACGAGGAAAATTGCGTAGAATGGCAAATGAAAAAGGCGTAGCAAATAAAATCGAACACGTTGTCATGGTTTGTTTGTTATTTAAAGTGAATGATGAATAAAGGATAAATAGATGAAAATCACGTGTAACGTAAAAAGACGAATACACATTTTTTTTAGAGGATTCGAAAATAATAGTTATTTGAAGTGGGAGGATATGGAATACGTAAAATTCCTTGTGTCAATAACGTATCCACGAAAAGGAAATTAACGAAAAGTGATCGTAGTTCGTTATTGTGATATAAATCCGTAATTTAATAACGACCAGCACTGTTGCTGATAACGAATAAGTCTGTTTAAAAAGCCCGGATAAATATTTTCGTACGAGAATTTTAAGAATTATTGCCGGAAACAAGCCATAGCTTGCGTTAAATTTAAAAATGAATGATTACCAATAAACTGACTAAAACTCACCCTTGTCGAAAATGCACCTGTAACTTGAAAACTTGTGTCACTGGGTCACTGAACCGATCCTGGTCATCGATGGACGAGCCCAGTGCACAGCTGATCCCAGGTATACGACACTACCCAAAGTTAAGGGTCGCAATGTCAGGTGCGTCCAGGTCAACGTATCGAATATTCACTTCACTGCACGGCTACTAACACTGATCACTTTATTTTTTTGTCGTGAAACGTATTGTTCTTACGTTTTAAAAATTGGTGGCCCCGAAAGGGGCCGATTGTTATTAATGAAAGTATTGCTCCACATGACGGCCTCGCGGCATCATGGACCCCGTTGAATACAATCTCGACGCTAAGCGACGAAATGTATCCTCGCTTGGCGTTTGAATATTAGGGAATTCTAACGCAAATGCTCGCACAGCAGCACTTGCGTTCCCGTTGTTCCGGGCGTACACCCAGAACATCCTATAGTACTCTTGAGCCGTGTACATTTCTACGACGGGTTTGCTAGCTGACTGACAGGATTTTTTTCAAGCAACTTCCACTACCCCGAAATAGCTTCTCTCGTTCCATTATGAGTTAACTCCCACCAGGACAAAATTTAGAGAAAAAGAAACCAGCATTTGCTGAAAAAACACGTGGCCTGCAGAAGTGCAACGAAAACTTTCACAAAAGCCCGCGTTCTGTCCTTCTACTGCCAATGTACCCATTGCCTCGAGATAGAAAACATACACCACGTGTATCGGTTCGAAAGGGCCCGAAGAGAAGAGAAACAGAAAGTCTTCGAGTTGCTATAAAGAAGAAAATGCATACCATTCCTGTTTCACCTTTCCGATACCCTGAGTTTACGTCTGCTACGAGGCGAAACCAATTAAGTCATAAATTACGCGCTTAATTGGTCTGCGACTTAATACGCGTCGACGTATTCCGGACGAGAGATGGTGGACAGCGGTCCCACCTCTTCCTGTGTCTCTCCGCGAGGCGTATTGATGTTGGATAATAATCTGTAATTTCTAGTTCTCCAAAATTAATCAGGCTGATCAGCCAGAGCATTTCGCCAGGGTTGCGGTTTATGACCGTATTGTCCCGCTAGTCGGCGGTAGAGAACAGTTTCCTACAGTTTCGGATAATTTATGACTTAATTGGTTTCGCCTCGTAGCAGACGTAAACTCAGGGTATCGGAAAGGTGAAACAGGAATGGTATGCATTTTCTTCTTTATAGCAACTCGAAGACTTTCTGTTTCTCTTCTCTTCGGGCCCTTTCGAACCGATACACGTGGTGTATGTTTTCTATCTCGAGGCAATGGGTACATTGGCAGTAGAAGGACAGAACGCGGGCTTTTGTGAAAGTTTTCGTTGCACTTCTGCAGGCCACGTGTTTTTTCAGCAAATGCTGGTTTCTTTTTCTCTAAATTTTGTCCTGGTGGGAGTTAACTCCTAATGGAACGAGAGAAGCTATTTCGGGGTAGTGGAAGTTGCTTGAAAAAAATCCTGTCAGTCAGCTAGCAAACCCGTCGTAGAAATGTACACGGCTCAAGAGTACTATAGGATGTTCTGGGTGTACGCCCGGAACAACGGGAACGCAAGTGCTGCTGTGCGAGCATTTGCGTTAGAATTCCCTAATATTCAAACGCCAAGCGAGGATACATTTCGTCGCTTAGAGTCGAGATTGTATTCAACGGGGTCCATGATGCCGCGAGGCCGTCATGTGGAGCAATACTTTCATTAATAACAATCGGCCCCTTTCGGGGCCACCAATTTTTAAAACGTAAGAACAATACGTTTCACGACAAAAAAATAAAGTGATCAGTGTTAGTAGCCGTGCAGTGAAGTGAATATTCGATACGTTGACCTGGACGCACCTGACATTGCGACCCTTAACTTTGGGTAGTGTCGTATACCTGGGATCAGCTGTGCACTGGGCTCGTCCATCGATGACCAGGATCGGTTCAGTGACCCAGTGACACAAGTTTTCAAGTTACAGGTGCATTTTCGACAAGGGTGAGTTTTAGTCAGTTTATTGGTAATCATTCATTTTTAAATTTAACGCAAGCTATGGCTTGTTTCCGGCAATAATTCTTAAAATTCTCGTACGAAAATATTTATCCGGGCTTTTTAAACAGACTTATTCGTTATCAGCAACAGTGCTGGTCGTTATTAAATTACGGATTTATAACACAATAACGAACTACGATCACTTTTCGTTAATTTCCTTTTCGTGGATACGTTATTGACACAAGGAATTTTACGTATTCCATATCCTCCCACTTCAAATAACTATTATTTTCGAATCCTCTAAAAAAAATGTGTATTCGTCTTTTTACGTTACACGTGATTTTCATCTATTTATCCTTTATTCATCATTCACTTTAAATAACAAACAAACCATGACAACGTGTTCGATTTTATTTGCTACGCCTTTTTCATTTGCCATTCTACGCAATTTTCCTCGTTGCATGCCGAGTTGCTTGTTCACAAGTCGCAGCGCGGCGCGTAGCCACGCTAGCACGGCGCGTAGCCATGCTAGCATGGGAGCTCGGGCGGAAAGCGCGCGATCTGATTGGTCGGTGCTTTTTGTTAATATCTCGTTAACGAAACCCCGGAGAGCATTTTCACAAAGGAAAAAGTTGTTTGCAATCATCCCCCGAATCACCCCCTTTAAGGACCCGCAACATCTTTGGGACACCCTGTATACTTCCGATATTCGATATACTTGAGCATCAATAGGTATCGATAGTTCGATACATTGTTTTAGGTCAGCGGTAGGTAGCTTCGATTCGAAGCCTTCAAACGTTCGTTGTTGGTGATATGAATTATTGAGAATTTTCGATATTTAAAATTTCCAATTATAAAGAAATTTAATAATATATATTCGCATATGCATAAGAAAGTTTTATTGTTGCTTTAGAAAGGACTATTATGTTTATAATTTTTTATTTATGCTATTAGTTATATATTTTTCAGTGTATTAAAAGTATTTTGTTAATTCGTAATGTTCTAATTCTCGTTATAATACAATTAAAAATAATTTGAAGCACAATTATAGTTCTTTTGTAAATTCAAAGAAACAAAAACTCTCTGCTTGTAAGTATTTATTGATTTTATACTAGTTAGACAACAATGTGTAAATTGCTTTAAAAATCCAATACGTACGATAAAAAATGTTCTTTGTATATTTACAAATTTTACTGTTGTACAATATGTGACTATATTTCAGTCAGTGTGTGCTTCATTTTAATTTAAACAAGTTTAGTATTCACAATATTCAAAGTTACCTTTATAGTTTTAAATGTGTTAGATTTTATTAAAATTATGCAATGAATCGTTCTGTATTAACGTAATCCTGTAAATTTTACAAAAACAATTCCGATGGTAAAAGTAATTCTTAATGAACAAATTGTTTTACAATTTTTCTCGTGAATTGACGTATGTATGATAATACTAAATAACGTGACAACGATCAAATATGGGTAATAATAATACTAATTGTAATGCGCAAGTTGAAATGTGTTCGTTGGAATGATTTCAACATAATAATACATTCTGTAACAATATCACAGTGTAGGTTTTTCATCCGTTGGTTCTTCTTTTATAGGATGATTGCATTCCATCAGTGCAGGATTCGCCACTGCAATAATATTATCTCCGCGTGAGGCTATTACCTGCATCCAATCAAATTGTTAACAAAATCCATGAGCGGTACATGTTCAATTTTTCACACAGTTTAAAGGTTTTCCTCTATAAAAATTACGTCTGTATTCATGACATGTGATAACAAAACAATACTATACCTTAAGATTGAAATCACTTTCTTTATCTGTATTATCTGCTTCTGCTTCATTAGTGTCCTGCAAAAACAAACTTTGTATAATCCTAACAAACTAAAGAATATTTTAAATGTCCTAAATAAAAATAATTTATACAATTTAATGCTGCCCTTAGGTAAATAGATCAATTATTTTACTTGCAGTTCTATTATAAGACACATAATTTGTTTACTTACATGTATGGATGAAGATTCTTCATTAGAAAATGAAAGTTGACTGTCAGAGTCACTAATGTCTTCCATACTTGCACTGAACATACCATTGTTATTCTTCTTCCTCCAAACTGGACTAAAACAATGCAAATACCTGAATATCAATATGTTCTTATAGAATGATTTACTACTAAGTTATTACCAAATTAAACAATATTTTCATTTTTAATATATCAAAATATCTACACGAAATAATCTGAATTTAACAATTGCGATTCACATAATCACCTCGACGATCTATGCCTTCTGCGCGTCGAGTTATTAATATCCATTTCAGAACAGCGAAGGTCCAACTCCTCCTAAAACAGTGAACTGCTAAAGACAGTAGGAATAGCAAACATAGCATGAGGTACAAAAAAAAGATAGAAACTTGTTATTAATATAGTTTACATAATTATTAAATCGCAATTTAAACGATCATACACTACTCGTCAGGACACTAGGAACAAAGCATTGAGTCCTAACAAGTGTGGAAGGAGACCACTATACGATAATTAAAAATTTCATTCTATGTATACTAAATTGTTATTGCTTTTTTTCCAACGAAATGTAATTGATATAAAATATTTACATTTAAAGAAAATATTTATGATTATAAATATAATATAATATTTTACAATTACAATAACAAATAGATATACATACAAAAAGAAAAATATTTTTACTGAAAACTAGAAATGAATCGGAACCTATTTTTAATTCCGCGAAATTCAAATTCGAAATTTTGTGAGATCTCGAAACTCTCAAAACTCGAAGTCTAACGACTAATCGACTTTGTCAGAAGTACGGTTAAAACAGTAACAAATTTTTTTTATAGAAAATCAATCCGTTTAGTGAGTATAATTAAAAGAAACTTAAATGTATTGAAATAAACAGTTTTAATATATCCGACGTAAGAAATTACGGAACTTCAAGTTAAGTATCTGAAAAACATAAAATTAATACAAATTTTCGATTTCTGGAAACTTTCGACTAATTTCCAAAACTTATAGAGCAACAATATAGTATAACAAAATATCGTTTGTTCAATTATTTCGTTCGTTAGTTCGTTACTATTTGTCTATTATATTTTATGTTTCCTTCTTTCAATGTGATCTTGGGATACGAAACAAAAGTTTAGATATAAACAATCAGTGCGAAAGCCATGCATATTATGCAAAAGCTATACTTGACCTTTTCCGCCTGTGGTTCACATGTATATCAACGAAGTGGTAGTTACGTGTTGCAATTGTTTACGTGCTGGATGCATAGTTAGTGGTTAGCGCTCATGCGAATACTGCTTGTTAATAGCCCAACAATCCCAGATCGAAGCTATCACAAATGTGGGATCCAATCAAGGATTTTTAAGTATGCTTCTCTGTATCTATTTAGGATGCATAGTATATTTTATAACATTAGTTATCTGAAAAACGAACTTATTTGTAGATCTTTCAACGTGATCTTTACTTAACTATGTTTCAAGTTACCGTCTATCGAATAAATTGGTATATTATTATATCTGCATAAACTCAATGGTAAATTATTGTAATTCTGAAAATATATTATTAAGTTGTACAAGATTTCCTCTCGAACTTAACGACATTAAATGTAAAACAAGTCCCGGATTTGATTTTGCCACCTTAATTAACTTGCATCAAAATCCCTGACTTTCCCTTAAGTCTGTGACTACTTTGAACTGAAACGATCTGTATATGGCTTATTTTTATGGTCGCGGTGAGCTAACCTGCGTCGCATCTTCATTCTCACCCTCGAGCTCGAGCTTCTGCCGTTTTGTACGCTCGGTTTCGTTTTCTTCGCCGTTTTCACGTAGCCTTGATACGGATAAGCTAAAGCATCATAAACATAAATTTATGTACGTCGATCAACGTATTTGCAGACAACTTTGATTAAACTCGATGTATCTAAAGAATTCCGATTAAGAACGTGATTGAATTCATGTTTTAATAAACGTTGGTAATTTTTTGTAGTTGTAGTGTTCCTATTGCAATCCATTTTTGCTCGTTTTATGGCATGTATTAATTTCGAATTAACAACATTTGATAAGAACTAAAGGTACTTACTAATGACTTTTTGAATAATGATACCCAGAATCTCTCACAATACGGCGGGCCAAAGGAAAAAGTTCGTCTCTTCTAGTAAGAAGGGCAGGTACGAACCTGCAAATTTGTGCAGCAGCTTCGTTTACTGACACTTCATGTAATGTCAGTGGTTTCTCTGGTTTCCTTTTACAGTCAAATCTTCCATAAATTGCTGCATATTTTCGAATTTCTTCCATTCTGCGTGGATCACTATCAGGCATAGCCATTACCATCTACAAACAATGTTATTTCATAGTTACTTGTGAAGTTGTGTACCATAGTTGTAGCTATTTAATACATGTGTTTTTTAACCATTTGCTAGCAATTTTAAATTCATTTAGATGCTAATACTTATCAAGATACATACTACATAGATTTACCTCTAAATTTTTACAAATTTTCTTTTTCACATTATGAGGTTTTGGGTCAACAGGTCGAATGGTAGCAGCAAGTCTCTCAGCTGCTTCTGCAAGTCTTTGTATTTGAGATTGTAGAAGAGTCGGAGTTGGCTGCGTTGGACTTGCAGGTGCACCACCACCACCGCTAGGACTTGGCGTTGTACCACTGCCACAAGATGATTCGCATGTTCCTACCTAGCAAAAACAGGATCTTCTCAATAAGTTATTGTATTTTATACATAAGAATACCCTTAAGATCATAGAAACATACATAAATATAACAAAAATGACTGCAGGCAGTTATGTATGACAACAAAGATATTTAGGGTGCTCTAGTTAAATAGAATATTCTGTATACAATATTATAGTACATTAGTTTGCAAGAGTTAAAAATATCGATTAAAACTTGTAATATACCTGTAATACACCAGGGCTATGAGAAGTTGTATATGGTAGAGGCGTATTAGGACTCGGGCTTTGACGAAAAGTCGTTGAGGCAACTGATGCTGTCACACTTGTAACCGATACAACAGGACTGGTACTTCTACATGGCAATGGTGTTAAAGATACGTGTGACGAGACATATGGTGTTGGTGTTGCTGTTTGCGAGGTTGTTGTAAAACCTTGAAGATTTTGTACTTGTGGTCTGGGACTAGCACAAGGGAAACCTATGCTTGCAGGATTTTTACATGTAGCACTTGTTGATACGACTGGTGTCTGAAAAAGTGCTGCAATACACAACGATTTTAATTGTTTACTCTAGTAGAAGTAGATGCACAAGTCGTCGATAGTCCTAGCATTAAATATTTGTGAAAAAGTTTTAAAATTTATCTCAGAGCAGTCGATCCTCGAAAAGTTTCAAAACTCTTCAAAACCTGCCCTACGAGTCCGATACTATTTTAAAATATCGGATATGATTTAGGAATAAACTCGAATACGAATAACAAACATTTTCATTTACTAAGATTGGGCGTCAATAAAGATGCGAATACTTATTATTAACTTAACGCATCGGAAGATTTTTTTAACATCTTGCTGTGTACGGAAAAAACGTTAATTAATAATAACGTGAACACTCTGTATATGAAATATTGTTATTTCGTTGAAATTAGTTGAATTAAGCGTAGTGAGTATTAATTCGATATTAGGATACTTTACAAGGATTCGTAAGCCATTCCTGGAGAGCTTTCTGAAGTCTTCTAACGTGAAGGGGTTTACTCGCCATACCAACTAATGCCATAATTTCTAGAAATTCTTCTTCTCCAGCATCGCATAATTGTTGCACGTCATCACCACCTGGAATAGTTTATATAAAATTGTTTACCTTTCATGCGTTAACTTTAACATTCTTGCCTAATTGTTTTTCTACTTCATTCGTTTTATAGTTTTCTGTAACTGATCGGTGGTTTTTCGCTATATGTATTTATCTTCCTGGTGGTATTATGAAAATGATTTTTAATTTTTTGTATAATATGGTACAACATAGTCTGATCTTTTATCGAGGATTACATTACGGAACGACTCAAATTTAATATGTTAATATAGAATACATTATAGCAACATATTTTGAGTACCAAATATAATTGTTATAATTGTTATATTCCAGCGAAGAAACTATAACGTCGTAAAAAAGAAAATTTGTTTACCCATTTCTAAAAGGGTATCGTAGTAGCCCAAAAGAGACGCACGCTGCATGACTCTGTACAGCTGCAGTTCTGCTTCATTCTGAGGTACGGACGTCTGCACCACTAAATAATTTGTAATAAACGTTAATTAATGACGCAGATTTAAGACAAAATGTTATTTACTGCCTATGAAAACAAAGTTATATAAGCGATACAGGAGGGAGTAATAGTATATACATCAAATATATAAGAAATGATGCGAATTAAATTGCAAAAACTTTGTATAACATAATGGAGACGTTGAAAATGTGATTATTCGTCGTTTGTAATTATACATATCTAAGAATACAAGTTAGAGTTACGCAAAGATTAAAGACGATTTGAAATCGTTAAACATAAGCAAACAAATGTGAAACAATTTCTTGTTCAATGAGTCCGTCGAAGGTTGTATCATTCGCTTCGTTGATCTTTGGTTCACGATGTTCTGCAAAGAGGATGTTGCGAGCAAGCAAACGGCGAACAGTATGCGGCAGGCAGTCGAGCCGCCAGGGTGTCCGACTAGTTTCTTGCAAATTTCGAGGAACTGCGAGAAAAAGCGGCGTGCACACACGTACAGCGTATAAATTAATACCGGTACCGCTGGCATGGCATCAGACGTCGCGACGGGGGCAGCAAGAGTGTCCCGAAGAAAGAACCGATCAAGAGCAACAAAGAGGAAAAGACAGAAATTAAAACAAAGGGTAGGGAGATAAAATGGACAAAACATATATGTATATATATACATATATTGTATGTATATATACAGGGTGTTCCAGGTTTTAATGATCAAACTTTGCCAGTACATTCTGCAGGACTAAATGAGAAAAAAGTGTTATACAAACATAGGTTGTTTGAAGTTTTGTTAAAAAGTTGCCGAGTATATTTTCGAGCATGTTTCGTAACGAAAGTAATAGAATGAACAAAGACAAATATCTCAGAAACGGCAAATTTAAAAACAAATGTATCTTAATGCTTTTATATGTATAAAAAAAAAAAACAAATTGACCTCTATATTTCTTCTGCGCCTCTATTTATAAAAAAGAAACTATTCGTACCTCAGTTTATGTACCTTTTTAAACCCTATAACTGTTACAAATAATATTTTTAGGTATTGTTCGAAACAACGAGGACATTCAGGTGAACAAGATACGTGGGACACACTGTATATCTAAGGGATGAGAAAAGAAAGGAGAAAAGGAAAGAGGGACGAAGACGATGGAGAGAGAAAAAAGAGAGCGACAGGAAGCCAAGAGAGAACGAAAGAGAGAAGAAATGCAGAAGGAGATACGAAGCAATACGGTAGAGCGGGGCTGAAAAACCTGGCCGTCAAGTCTTATTACGAACCTGAGGCCCGGTCTCACGCTTATACACCGACCGAGATACGAGTAAGTCCCTGACAGCATCGGGGTGAGTTGCTCCGCGAGATTTTTCTGACGTTGGCCCTGCAGCAAGGAGAACTAAAGAGACACGGCTCTTTCTAATGAGACAGCGATACCGTGTGTGCGTTGACTTACGAGACCAAGCGCATATACGACCAACAGTTTGCTCATCGCCCCAAAAGTTCTATGCAAAAAAACTTATCCGTTTCTTTGTACCTCTAACCGTTTTAGAGACACAGATTTTCCCAGTTGCATGGGACACCCATGATTACACACGTAGTCAAGAATACACGTGGCGTGGATTACCTAGCCCGTGATTGTAAAAAGCAGCACAAATGTTTAAATCGTAGTCGATTAAATCAAAATGTATAAGCGTTACAGAGAATTATGTTCGATCCTGTAAAATCATTAGGTTGAAAGTTTCAGAGGCAACTCGTACTCGTTAAGTAAATTATAATTATACTAATTATTTTGGTTTGGGTGTCGTAGCGATCTCGGTGTTCTATTGGTTTCGCGTCCAAGAGCGAATAATTTGGAAGGATCGAGACGAGTGCCGAGCGTGTGTAACAATTTTGTTAAGACACAACGGCGCGGCGACAGACTGTCATCCGGTTGTTCGGTGAAAAAGAAAAGAACGGAGGCGAACGGTAGCATAGAGAAAACTCGGTGGTGTCGAAGAGATCGCGCGCGCGCACACGTCGTTCCCAGGAAGGCTGAGGAGGCCACGGTAGGATCAGGTTTTTCTTAGCACGTCCCTGATGCGCGCGGTATTGGATGCTATGCCGTGGCGACTCTACCTCCGACTTGCGTACGTGTTCCCGGCAAACAAAAACGATTATCCTGTGTCAAAAAAGTTGTTATGTAAATGTACTGCCTGGCCTAGACTGTCGGTCACAGGTATACCTACTCTCTACGTGACCGGAGAAAGAGGTCCGTCGATAAAAGTCTCTGGTGGCATTCTATTAAAAAACGAACCAACAGCGGCGACAGATTAGTTCGTTTCAGGGGTATCGTCTCGTTTCGCGGACCGATTCTTCTAAAGTTGTCCGTAATTAACGATTTAGCGTGTTCGAAATATTCCGGACGAACCAGGATTCGGTACACGGGAGAAAATTAATACCGACGCCGTATCTTTTCCAGCAATTCTACGAGTCGTCGTTAAAGTTACAGAGTCAACGATTACGGAGCAATTAGGATTGCAGAGTCAAGGGGCACGGGGCATCGAAAAATCGGAATAAAGAACAACGTTGATCAGCACGTCGCCAAGTTTTTTTTAGAAAAACAAAAAGAAAATTACAAAGAAGAATGTGTAAACGCAAAACCGATGTCTTAAACCGGTTACAAAACGAGCAGCGATGACAAAACACGGTAGAGGTTTGGACCACGATCCGGATGTCGATACTGTCCAAATAATAGAAACAGAAAGTAACGGAGAAAATTGTTTCGATGTCATGATGTAACACGGTTAGGGTAACGTATACAAGCAACACGAGGCGACATTGATGTATTTACATGACGTTACGCGAATGATGCGATGCAACGTAAGGCCGTGGAAGCAGATTGCATGCTTTCTTGTAATTAGCGCCGATAAGTCTCGTTTCTTTTACTGTCAAGTAAGCTTCGAACCATTTCCACTGAGATTCGAGCAGCCGAAAGGACTGTGAGAAAGTATAATTGCGGAAAGAATACATCGATCGGTTCTTGATAAAATGGTTATGTTCGCAGGAAACAAGGATATTTCTTTCGGGAACACCGCCAAACGCTTTAAGGAGGATCGATAAGTTCTCGTACGTAATGGATGGGGAGGAGGAGGGCTAGGATAGGGCTCGATAGGACGGTGCAAGCGAAGACGAATACGAGGCAGAAGCCACGACTGGATAGGCAAAAGAAAGCCGAGGTGGCAGGCTAGAAGGCGGTGGGCGATGAGCCATCGGGGCGGTTAAGGGGGTGGGTTCAGGGTAAAAGACTTTCGGGTTGGACGGTAAAGAGAAGACCGGGGCGAGAGCGAACGAGTGGTATAGCTTCTTTGTCCGATAGCTCACGGTGCGGACGCTCTTCCGATGCTACGCAAAAACGGGTCTAGTTTCTTAGAAGTGCCCGTTCTCGCGCAGCAGCGGCGGCGGCGGCGGCAGCGGTTAGTATTTCGCTTTTTGCTGGCATTGTAATCAAGGAAGGGTTAGGTGAGTTTTTGTCTAGTGCCTCTGCCGCCGCTTGGACAAAACACCGGACAGATGGACTGAGTCGCCGTTTCGATCCCCCTACCTTTACCTTTCTATCTCTTTCTCTATCCAGCTTTCCCCGCTTCTCCTCCCTTCTCATAGTCTCCCCTGTTTCTTGGTCGCCCCCCATCCGCTGCTCTCTCAGCAGCCCTCTTTTTATCCTTCACGCTACTCTCGATGTACCACCCTTTCGCTATACCTCCTCGTTTTACCTTACCGTTTTCGTTCTCGGTGCCCTCATCACTCCTCTTTCCAATACACCAACACCATTACCATTAAACCGTCTCTAGGATACCATTTTATTCGTTTCCACTTTCTCGACCGTCAACGAAGAAGAGAGAAAAAACTAATTTGATAGTCAATGATCAACGAGCAACGCTGGAAAAATCTTACAAAATCTTTTGCAAATAGAAAACTGCTAGATTAATTGTATCGTTTGTTTTTTACGTTACGCGTTCTTTTTCTTACTTCTTCCGTTCAAGAGATATGTTTATTGTTTTCTATATACGTAAATTTATTAATTTATCATCAACCGAACAGCAGTTCGAAGCTATCGTGACAAAAGTGATTATCGTTGTTGAATGCGTAACCTTTCATCGTACAAATAGTTTATAATATAGAAATTAAAGTTTTGAATGATTTGTTTTAATTCAGAAAGTTAATTTTCCTATAGTCGTACAAGGTACGCCGAGATATCGACGCAACGAATCGGGATGTATTGGACCGCGTCTAAACTGAGAAAACGTATCTTCTACGAGGGGGTAGTATTGCCTCGGTCGACATTGGCTGGGTAACGTTTCTGGGCACATCAGGGTGGGGCCCAAATTCCAACCTCCGATCGGCTGCCAGCCTCCATCGTTTTCCATCCCCTGCTGTTTAAACCGATGTCCCACCCTTAAAGGCGTTTTAAAATATGGTCGACTGATTCTGTACGCGTTTGCATACGCCATCTAAAAAAAACTAGCAGGCCGTTAAAATTGCAAAAGAGATTAGGATACGTTTATTAAAAGACGAACGACAACGGTACAGGGCGAAAACAATAGTTTGCAATAGGGATTGAAAAACAACCGATATAATGTTATAACTGTTATTGAAAAATCGGTTCTGACGCGCCTCTTATTCTGCATAAATACATCCGACCTTGCTTAATTTTCTAATGTTTCCTTATTCATCAAAATAAATTCCATTCGGTTGAAATCAGTGCAACGGAAAACCAGTATTTTCCATTACGAACAAAACGTTATCCAAGGATAACATTGTTTTCGTCGCGAATCGAAAGAACGGAATACTCGTCTAAGAAAATAAATAAGAGAGAGAGAGAAAAAAAACTAAAACGCTGCGTATTTCCGAATTTGAAAAGTTCGCGTCTCATACATTTTTATTTGACACGATACGGTTCCGTTGGAAAATAGACATTTTAAGTGTTTTTTCGCCGAAGCGACGACGGGGCACGCAAAAATCACAACAGAGAAATAAAATGCATAATCTCGCGCGGCGAACAAATGAAAGAGTTCGGGAGGTCGATTGAAAAATAGCTATGCTATACGAAAACAACTCCGGGAAAAAGTCGAGTGGCGGGCTTTGGTCAAATAAACAAGATAAACCTGGATTCCTTAGTAAATGACGATAAGTTTAGCGATATGTTGGCATAATTATCTATACAGAGTGCACTATAACACGTGGAATCCACTTTAGCGGTCAGTCCAGGACACGCAAACAATAAAAAAAGGTTCATAAATACGTCTTTATATGGGTGTAAACCGAAGGTCAAAATTCAGCGTTATTATGTTATAAACAAAGAACAATTCAAATAGATATATGGTAGAGTAGAGTAAAACCGTATACCGACTTGAAATCATGTAAAACTTAGTCAGAACTAGTACCAAGTGTTAGACTAGTATCAAGTGTAGATTCTAGAACATATAACAGTATTGACATTAAAAAGGAAAAGTATATACTACGTGAAGTTTGTATGAAAACCTTTCCCACGGGCATCTAGTGAATAAATGATTTTTTCGGTAAGTTTTTTTTCGGACCCCGGCGAAGACGAAGCAAAGGGTTATAAGCTAAGCATTGGGGGTTAATTTTTTTTATTGCGAGTGTCTGTCGAATTATTATAAATTTGTTATTTATTATTATCGTTTACTTTTATAAGTTTATGCAGAAGTAATCATTTATAATTAATGTAATTTAATTACATTCCTTTTGCAATTATACTCAAGTCGCAATTACGAATTACATTATAATTTGACTGAATGAAAGATTGAATTACGAATTATTATACAATGTAATTCAATCATTTCGTAATTATAATTCTTATAATAATTCAATTATAATTTTGCGCAACTTTGATTAAAATGGACCCAGAGTTCACTGCCATACACGACATAATATTTTTACACGAAATATAAGAAAACGTGTACGACGTTCCTTTTAAAAAACGAAAGGCGATCTTGATAAGAAAAAAAACAAAATAATCATTTGTTCACACAGCAAATACTTCACGAATTATTTGCGGTAAACGAGACTGATTCTGTTTATTATAAATTTTGCAGATATACAGATGGATCGCTCGACAGAGCTTCCGAAACTTCCAGGCGTTCGTATAATAGTTGTTCCTGATGCGAATTATTGAAAGGTACGCGCGCGAAAAATGTTAAACGAAGAAGCACACGCACATGTGTGTACACACGAATCCTGTCCTCTGTTTGCTCTCTCTCCCTCGGATCGTAAGGTTGAAGACTGATAAAAACATGGAAAAAAGGGGTCTATCGGCGGGACAAAAACGGCCTGAGAAAGGAAGAAATCAGATAGAAAAGAATGACGGGAACCCACGGGAAAAGAACGATGGAACAGAAAGAGAGGAGAAAGAGACAAAGAATTCTTTCGAGGTATTTGTCTTCTTTTTTTTCATTCTGGGTCGGGCCTCTTCCGAGTTTTTTTCTCGTGACTGATGTAAAGGGTGATGATATGCATATGTTCCCGGCAGACGGCCCGTCGAAGCAGAGTCGAGCGGTGCAGGGCCGTGGGCCGGACGAACGGGTCCGGTCTGTCCGGGTGCAGAACGGTAGAAACAGAGCGTACGTATACACACACACACACACACACACACACACACACACACACACACACACACTCGCGTGCGCGTACGTTTTATATTCTCTCTGGCGTTTCCCGTGAAGTGTCGGTTCGACAGGTAGAACGGCGCGGGCGCAACCGCGCATCGCTCTTCGGGATTATCGTTTAGAACAAAAAACAGAGAAAGGTACACGAGCAAATGGGGGACAGTGTCTCTGATCCCCCTTCTTCTGCAGCGGCGAACCGATCGGACACGGCAACGCCAGTTCTTGTCTTCTAATTTATTCACGAACTAAATATAAAGAGCCAGGGACCCCTCTTGTGGGAATATTGCCGATTCCTTTATCGGATCGATTACGCGCGGTAGTTATCCGGCAAACGAGATATTTCGTAATTACGATCCATCCATTACGCGAAGATGACTTACTTGTCATTTTTTTGTTTTTAGAGTTTTTCATCACGATTCTGGTCTATGCTTCTGTATAGCAGAAATATTAACGGTGCAAGAGCAGCTGTCGATTGTAACGAGCTCTTTGAGATTTTGCCTGCTTGTGTGCTTATATCTCTGCCAACATTAAAAGGATGCCTGAATGTAATCTGAATACGATCGAGATGCTGCGTGATCCGTGGGTGGATGCACTTGAATACCGGCTAATTTCACTGACAAACTAAAATCGGAGCCGAAGTAATTCATGATGCAACGTTGAAAGGAAGAGATCCCTTTAAAGTTCGTCCGTATATTCCGGTCGCTTTAATTTCTTGCCATTTAAGCGTCGAAACAGGGATTTTCTCAGATAACTAAACGTACGTAACATTGTAAATACGAACGTTGTAAAAAAGAAAAAGAAAACAGGTAATGAAACGAATCGTGTATTAAAGTAAAGAAATCCGAAATGCAATAATTCGTGTTATACATATATCAATTTAAAGACACTTAATTTGGATAATTCTATATATCTTCATTTGTAGGTTCTTCTTTTGAATTACAAAGAGCAACTAATTTCTCAAAGATTTATATAATTAAAGTGACCAGTGTACCATCTTAAAACTATAAATGGTCCGTATTGCCGACCACTGCTCGACATAATAAAGTTATTTCTAGGATAGGTGTTTTATAATTGACATCATAATTAGCGGTTGAAAGCCACGGTGGGGCCCGGTTCAGGTAATCGACTCACGTGTTCCGTCCATTTACTATGATCAGTGGACCGTATCGCTCCGACATTATATTTCAATGAACCTCCCGTTAACGTGTCCCGGGTTTTAAAAATTGGATCCACGCGGTATCGGTGTTCTTCGCTTACGATTTCAATTTTTTCTAACGAGTCCTTAAATCGCTTTAAACGAAAAAATTGTCACTCTGTAAACCGCGCGATTACGTCGTTTATAGAAACCTGTCAGTGAATTTGCACTTGTTACAGATTTCGCAGAGAATTATACAGTTTTGTAATTCACGATTAAATAGAAAATGATCGTTGGAGTATCAGCAGGCAGTATACTATTAAAATAGCGATCCGATTTTTCACATTTGGTATAGAATTTGCTTTCTAAGAAAAAAAGCTTAGATTAGATACATGTGTACCGAATATAGGGACACACATAGGTACATATAGTGGATGGGGCTTTGTCTACTCGTGATACATAAGAGGAGACATGAGTCACAAGCAACAGGCAAAAACCGTCACGCTGCGTCGTGCAAAAAGGCGGTTTTTCTTCTGCCATCGGTGAGCAACTATCGCGAGAAACGTTTTTGTCAGTTTCTTACAACGCGAACAGCCATCGGCGGTAACCGTATAAGCATAGAGTTGACCAGTGCAGACTAACGATAAAAAGGGTACTGGGCTCGCGGTTTTGCGCAGCGTTTCTCCGAAAGTTGAAATTGCAAGAGAGGATATCTCCCACTGACGCCAGTGCGGTGGTTCATACTGCAAATGGCTGCTTCTCCTTTTTTACCCTCTCTTTCCCTCGGTTCTCTTTCTGCCTCCTTTTTCTCGATTAAAATTTTGTTGCTTGGTGTTGAAACGTTGCGAGAGCAACTTCGCGGATCAAAGGCTCTTACGCATTAGAGATTGCTCCGTAATGTCCGTAACAAAATTAAACTGCAAAGCGTGCTAACTGTTTTATAGACGCACATTTTGCTTCTTCTCCCGAGGCGAGTTAGCGTTTCGTAACGTTCGAGGAATCGAAACGATAAACGTTCGGTTCGGTTCTATTTCTTTACTTTTCTTTGCCGGCCAGTAAAATGACCGATAAAAATGCTACATTTTCGTGAGAATCGTCGCTCTGTTCTTATACTTTTTGATCGCCGGGCCGATACATTTTCCTGGAATTGGTATGCCAGAGGCAGCGGTCTATTCGTAACAGCGGAATAATTCGGAGCGCCATAAATTTGGCCTCGAATGTGAGTAAAAACGACCACTTGCTCGCTTCGCTGCTATGCAACTCGACAAAAAATGTTGATGTTTTTATGGCAAGTTCGCTGGATTCCCGCGCTTACTTAGAACTTATCGAGCCAAGAGTTTTTTTTTCCTCTCCGACCGTGTCCACCGCCAGTAGTCTCTTATATTCTCAAGCTTTGCGTTCTATTATTTTACAATTACGTTTTTCGTCGATATAAACAAACAAGCAGTTTCACCTTCTTTCGTAATTATTGTTTTTTTAATAATAATCATGACGTTAAACAAATGAAATTTATTATTTTTGTTTTTAAGGTATCAACTAAATTATGCGGATCGCCCTTAAAATGATTCCAAGGAAGGAACACATATGTCACTGTATTACGGCACTGTATCTTCTTTAATTCGAGTAAATCGCCAGCAGAATCGAAACGATTAATTCAGGAAATATACAAAGATGATTTCAACGGTTTAAGGCTGGTAATTTTTACGTGGTAGATAAAACTATACTTGCGTTTAAGTCCAAATCAAAAACAGTCGTTCAAGTTGTTCAAAATGATGTCCTTAACATGATACTTGGATTTGATAAAGTACACTTTTTCGACAGGTTCACCAATTAATGTAATTTAATTACATTATTTTTTTTTTGTAATTATACTTCGATCGTAATTCTGCACAACTCTGATTTGAATCCACTGTAAAACGATCTTCCATTCGTCGGACGGGAATTTGTGACAAGCCAGGATAAAGATCGTATCCGCATTTTTTGAAGAGAGAAACTACAAGGAAGAAGATCGGACTTACGCGTGCCGTTGACGTTTCTGCTGAGTATCTTCGGTACAGAGGCGTTGACAGTGCTGACAGCGGAGACAGTGGGGACAGTAGGGATAGCGGGGACAGTGGAGAGCACGGCAGCGGATTGTTGATGCTTGGTCGGCGGGCTCGCCACAACGACCGCAGGATTCTGGATGGTACAAGTGGCCGAAGTAAGAGTGCCGGTACCACCGACACCAGGAACTGCGTTGATCGACGCTGTTGGTACTGGAGAAGGTGTTCCGATGCCGCACGTTGTGGTCACCGCCACTGTCGTCTCTTCCGTCGCCGGTCCTCCAAGCACGCGACTTTCCATCTTCCAGAGGCAGAACCGCTTTTCTTTTCTCGCCGGGAGGATGACAACGAAGCCCTACCTCCCTCAATATGCACACTCACAACACTCGAAGAACAACGCTTATCACGTTCCGATGCATCGAAAAGTCTATGCATTTAACGATCCGACCGCACATTCGACACTGCTTTACGAGTACAAATACAAACGACTCAATTTTCGCCACTACGAACAGTCTGTAGAAATTAGGCAGCATTACTTTAACATTATATCAGTCGGTAATCATAATAGACCGATATGCAAAAGGAAAGAAGGATTGTCTACCGAATAAAAATAATATTTTCGTAAAATTGAGAGATCCAAATATAGAGGGAAAAATACAACGATAAGAACAAACGATCTCTTCAACGTAAACCCGTTAAACAGAACAATGATACTTGAATATTAATTGTATTCATACGACCGCGCGAATTGGTATTTTAATTATCGTGGAAAAAATTGCTTTGACGTTGTTATTGTGTATTAGAACTTTCAACTAGATATTATTAAACGTGCTTTTGTATTTTCTGAATGGACCACTAAACGTCTTTTTCTAATTATCGAGTACAGAAATAGGATTTTACAAAAATCGTGCTAACACTTCAAAGAACGACATCGAGACACTTGGAACGATGACGCAGTGTACATTGCCGGCCATCGAGTGATTCCACGGCATGTCTGAGCGGATCCCCTTCTACCAGACCACACAACGTGCAATGCTTCTCCCACTTCTTCCACACTCACGTGCAGTTACCCCCTCTCCACGAACAATGCCACCCAACCTTTAGGACGATAAGTAATGATGGGCATTACCACGTTAACCGCAGTACGTAAATCTTCGATTTTCGAATTTAGTAATTCTCAGCTCATGATAAACAGTAAGTTGTTACTTTTTACAATTGAGGTCTTTGTATACCAAACGAACACAAGATTCGCATATTCCAGTAACCCAATGAAAAGGTTAATTTATAGTGAAAAACTTGTATTATAACTATTATAACATTGTGATATAATTACTTGAAAACCATTGAAATCTAGTAACGGTTTCGATTAATATTCAATTTAATTACAGATGTATTATGGTCTAGACGATAATTTTTTATGCAGTCTTTGGAATTCAAACAAAAATAAATTATTGTGCTAAACGTGTACTAAAGATTTCCTTCAAATGTTGACACGAATCGGTTAATTAGAACTTGAGATATCGTGGCAACTATTTGGAAAAATATGGTTTCGAGAAAATCGCGTTATTATTTTAGAGACGAATAAGTATATCATGAGACGTATTTATAACTTTATTAATTTTGCGAATCCAGAAATATCCATCGTTAGAAATATTTTTAAGGGCATATACTTATAGAAAATGAAATTTGAAAAAGAAATCAATTTTTTGAAGGTTCTAGACTAAAATAACCCCCGAAAGAGTAATTAATATTGTTGAAGAGCGTGAGCTTTTGTTGGGCTTTTCACAATAATTTACTATGGTATTTAATGATAAGAAAATCGCGATATCCCCTGGCGATACTTTCTGTCAGCTTTATCATGTTCACTACATACGTTTGTACCTACATACTGGGTGTGTATGTAGAACATACACGCCCTTCCTTAGCCCTTGATACCTATGGAAAAACCACGCTTCTACCATCCCTACCATCTTCACTATCTCGGGGTGGTGGTAAGGGAGACGGAAAGAAGTCGCCATATAAAAACCTATCTTTTCTCCCCTCAGCTTATGTACCCCCTAGAAGGAACGTAGAACGACCGACCTCTTTATACCACCATTGGTCCGCGAACAGATTTTTTCAAGTTTACTGCTCGACTCTCGGATTATTTGAAAAATTCGTATCTAGTGCATGGAATCAAATTTTTAAGTCTTTTAATAGAAAAATTAATATCTAAACGATGAATTATTTGTAAATTTACTATTCTTATCCACCACCTTTTTTGCGCTAGTACAAACAAAGGAAAAGATTTTTATTCTTGTTAATAGAAAAAGTAAATTGGAGAGGAAGGTTTTGCTAACTAACCGCTGCTGTGAGCGAAATTTTTTTTTTACCTTGTCCGTATCGTTGACAACTGAGTCAAAAAGCGAGTTAAGAAAAACAAGAACGGTCTTTTAAATTCTTATAAAACAAATTTAATCTTATAATACGAGGGATTATTTATTACATTAACATATTCGCTGCCATACCAAAACTACGTAATCTAAAATTCATGAATTTTATTCAAATTTATTTCCTTCGATATTTCAACTTGAGAATTAATTTATTTAATTTTATAGTGAAAAACCCTGTCATACATATAATAAAGTGTTAAATTATCATTTTCATAATTACGATACTTCTACGGTAAAGTTGAATCGCGTTTTGTTTCTTTTTTATTGGTAAAATTCGTCTAAATAAATATAAGGATATGTTCTATTTGTATTTAATATCTTACTCTATTTATAAGCAACTTATAAATAACAATACGAACGATTGAAGAAATGCTAACATTTTACCCGTGGAGTAGCGACATAATTCCTCAGATACTTGTATGCAAATTTCTGAAGCCTGAGAAATAATTCGGAAGGGGTTCGGGCAGACGGTGGACAGTTTTTTTGGTCAGAACCTTCTTCTCCCGACCGTAGGAAAATAAAAAATCGTGAGGTATGCATTCCCCCAACGATGAAACGCGTGAGACCTTTTCAAGGTACATCGCTGAATCAGTCACTCTTAAATGCCACACGAATTCGAAACAACACGCAGTCTTAATGTATAGAAGATATAGTAAACGTCGGGCGCTCACACAAATTACTATGTTTAAGAATTTTATGACTATCAATAAATTCCCGTGAATTTATAATTCTATTTTAATGTATAACAATTTTAGTCTGTAGTTAAAAAGAATAATATTATTTTTAAATAGCTGAATTGCCGGTCATTTTAAAAAGACAACTTTTCGTTAACAAACCTAACCGAAAGTGTTTCTTTATTGCAAAAAAAATAGTGTAACTTTTTGGACGGATTATATATAAGACAAGCTATAGCGAATAACATACTTTCATACGGATTACGAATTTCATTAATCCGTATGCAATAATTCATTAAATTAGTGTGCGATAATTTACTAGTATTTATCTCACAATCCAGTTTATGTTTGTGCTTCAAAATCTCCGTCCGCAAAGGATTAGTATTGCACATTCAACAGCTATAATAATGGGAAATCATACAAATTTGACATGGTGAGAAAACTAAAAAAATCTCTCTCTCTCTCTCTCTTTTCGCGCGCGTATTTGCTAAAATCGAAGAAAAAATTCGATACTACATTGTTTGAACAGTTTATGAAAAATTAATTAAATACCGGCAATATCCACGAACACTTATAACTTATTCTTAGTACAATATATAATAGTTATAAAAAAAAAAGGGGGGGAAAAAAAATGATTCGTTTCGTTTCATGCTCGTTCACAAACTGCTTATAAATGCACCTCGGTCAATTCGTTTAAAATACTGAATTTGAAATAAATATTAAATTTGAAAATAACATCGGCAATGTATATTGTTGACGTAAAAGCCATCTAGGAACTGGTACTTATTCGATTAAAATTACTATTATAGCCTTTCGAAACGTTCAATTTCTACGCGAATTTTTTATAAAATATTATGATACAAAAATTGAATTATAATATTACAATAACAGTAAAAAAGCGCTTCTTTGTGGTAAGTATGCGAATGAACAAATGTAATCTAGAATTATACACAACCATATTGATACTATGCTGAACTGCCTGCTTTAAAATCTAAAAAAAATTTTCTTAATTGTTTTTTTTTATACACAACCATATTCATACCATACAGGACTGCCTGCTTTTGGATCTTTCTCCATTGGAGGTTCCATAATTGTTTCTGTTTGTTCTACATCTTTTATTCCACTATTGTTAATATTCTTTGATTCATTTATAACCGCCGATACTTTATTATATATGAGAACCGGACGTGGTTCTGCTTGTACTTCGGGTCTTGGATTTTGTTCCAATAACACTGAACGTCTATCGTCCCCCTCTTCCTGTAACAATTCAATTTTCCAAATACTTGCCATAATCAAATGAAAATATCTTCCTAACACAATGAATAGTATAACCAGAACAGCAAATCAGAAAGACTAAAACAGAATTATGGAATGAAAATATTATATACTGGTAAAGTAGTTGACGGTGGCGGAGAATCGTCAGTATAATACACTGTCCTTCTAGTTCCTGGATGACCAAGAGACAATGCATCAGAACCTAGGTCTCTACTAGTAGATCCTTAAAAAGAACGCAACAAAGCTACTTTACTTATGTTCTTTTATTTATAATTCGCAAAATAGTGAAAGCTTAAAGTCCTTACCTGGTAAACGATCTTCTGTACTAGCGTCCGAATCGTTTCCTCCAGATTCCGATTCATACGTCTTTCCTTCCGAATGTTTCGAATCTTCTGCCCAAGAACGCCGATTCTATCCATACGAATGAAACAAGTTTACAAAATTGACTTGTAATGTATACAGGGTGTTTGGCCATCCCTGGGAAAAATTTTAATGGGAAATTCTAGAGGCCAAAATAAGGCGAAAATCAAGAATATCAATTTCTTGACTGAGGCTTCGTTAAAAAGTTATTAAAAAATTTCATTCATTCTGAAAAAATTATTTTTGGTTACGGTGGTCAATTATAAGCATTTTTGGTGAATAGACATACCCTCGAATTCTTACGCACTTACGAGAAAAAAATTCAGATAGGTGCCTAAATTTTTTGGCAAAAAAAAAAATTATTTTCGATTGCAAGAATTGATTACAATCATTTTTGGTCATTATATATACCCCCGAAATTCTATGCATTTTTAAGAAAAAAATTTCTTACCGAAAATCTAATGAGGCCAGAAATGCTACACTGAAATTTCATGCGTATCTTTAAAACGTCATAACTTTTGAACGGATTGGAGGATTTTAATGTTTAAAAAGCCAAACAAGGCGTATTTTGGTGAAGAATATATGGAAATTTCAAAAATTTTCAAAAAGTTATTCCTTAACTCCGCAAAATGAAAAAAAACCCTATAAAAATGGTCCAATTTTCAAACAACCATAACTCCTACAATAGCGAATAATATTCGCCGAATATATTTCATTGAAATTTTGAGGGAAACTAAAGTTCATAGATACCTACAAAAAAGTATTAAACAACTTTTCTGTACAGCGCCAACTAAGTTTATTAAAACTGAAAAACGAATTTTTAAGAAAAATCGACAAGGTAGGTGGTGCCTAAATTTTTCGCCGAAAACAGAAAATTTCAAATCGTTCTAAAAAAATTATTTTCGGTTGCAAGGATCAATTATAATCATTTTTGGTCAATAGACATACCTCCAAAATCCTACCTACTTCCTAGAAAAAAATTCGAGAAAGTGTGAAATTTTTCGAAAAAATTAAAAAATTTCAAATCATTCTAAAAAAATTATTTTCGGTTGAAGGGTCAATTATAATCATTTTTGGTGAATAGGCATACCTCCGAAATTCTGCGCATTTTCGAAAAAAAAATTCGGTACGGACGGAACTTTAAACGTTAATAACTTCTTAACGAAGCCTCCATCAACAAATTGGTATTCTTGATTTTCGTCTTATTTTGGCCTCTAGAATCCCTCATTAAAATTTTTAATGCAAACATAACATATATGTGTACGTTAATTCACCTTATTCAGAAGTTCAGATCCAGCTTTCCTAACTCGTCTGACTAAATTGGCTCCAAATCCTTTCCTTTAATATAGACGTAGAAAATATATTAGATATTAATAAAAAGACAGATTAAATAAACGATATTGTACTATACAGATTGTGGATATAAAAATTAAAGGCCAAATGTTTCACAGGGATGAGGAATTCCTTTCAAAAGGAATTACATATCAGACTTACTTTTTGGGAGTACAACTTTCTAATTTTCTGTAATGTTCCATAATCTTATCTTCTAATTTCTCTTTTTGTCTACACAAATGATTCATTCTATCCCTGTAATAAAATACTAAAAGTAAGCAATATTTTAAATAGCACGAAGAAAATATTATCCAGATTAAATAAAACATAATCTTCCTAAATTTTAATTTTTCGAATACTAACGTGTACATTTTCTCTTCCATGTGATACTGTTCTTTATCTTCAAGAGATCGAGTCAAAAGTTCATGATATTGAGTAAACAATAAACTAATGTGGTCCATTAACGAACGTCTGTCGTTATCTAACCCGGAATTTACATGAAGTAACATCTAAAATAAAAATATAGAATAAGAAAATATGAACCAGTAACGCATGATTAGACAAAATTCTATTCATACTTCGCATCTTTGATTCAGTTTATTAACTTGAAGCTCCAAATTGGAGGATCTTTCGTCCTTAGTACTAAGTTCACCTTGCATTTCTGTAAGCTTAAGACTCAGTCGGTTTGTTTCAACTTTATTTTTTCTGTAATCTTCCTGCAAATTTCTGTACTCTATTTTTAATTTTTCTGTGGCAGTATACAAATTTCTAAAGTCATCCTAAAATTGTACATGCTAATAAATCTATGATATATACGTGAAATTTACTTGTATTCATAATTTATTATATATACAGATTATAGACATGAATAATACATGTAACATATTTTTAGATTTTTCTTCGGTACCTTTAATTTTGAATGCTCTCCTCTTAAATTATTTAAACTTTTCGCATTGTTCACTAACGATTCCTTTTCTATTTGCATTGCCTTATTTTTTCCTTTTAATCCTTCGTAAGACTCGCGTAACATTCTAATTTCATTTTTTACATCTCGTAGATTTGATTTAAGAGCATCGTGTTCGTGAAATAAACATTCATACTCGTTATTCAATTGCTCGTGTAAAGATTGTAGAGTGTCTTGATCGTGAAGAAGTTGCGCGTGCGTTTGTTGTTGAACATTGCGTTCTTTTAGTAACTAAATTAAAAAGTTTAATAATTGATAATAAACATATAATAATTATTCATCTTTACATTTTCCAACCAGCAAATATCGATACGACAAAATCTCTATATTTTTTAAACCAATGCATCGCGTATGAAATAGGTGTGCAACTATTCTGTACGCTTAAAATTTTTTAAATTACTAATTTTTCTTTTGGTATTATATACATTTAGAAATATTAACAGAATAAACACGCACATACACATTTTAGTATAATATAAAACTAACTAACCTCTTCTTTCTCAGCAACAAGTTGTGAATTTGCAAGTTGCAAAGCAGTATGTTGAGCTGCCAAGGAATTGTTTTGTGACTGTAACGTTGTAATCTGTACTTGATGTTTTGCATTTTCAGACAGAAGATTTTCTGATGCTGTTTGTGCGGTAACTAATTTCAACTGCAAATGCTCCTGTTCCTTCTAAAACCAAATACGATACAATTATTGTATAATTCAATCGTTGCAAAGGAATAACGAAGCATAGAAATAATAGTACCTTGAGCGATTCTACCGTTGCCTCTAATGTACTATGAATATTAGTAGTTTCATTGTTTTCAGAATTTTTCGATTCAGACACTAACTTTTCACAGCGACACGAATTATTCGATTCCCTGATATAATTGATGACTTCTGGAATTTCTGCAATCCTATAATTATCGAATAATGTTGACGAATCAATTAATTTTATTAATTGTTATTCAAGTTTCGTTTTAAAGTTTACAATTTGCATTACTTTTTCAAGAGATTATCTAACGGAAGCGATAACATATTATCACCGAGACCAAGTTTCTGCAGAACCGTATATAATTGTTGAGTATTCAATTTTTCAGCTACTAAATTAGACTGCAAAATTTCCAATGTCTCTCTATCAATAGCCGCCCGTGAATCCAATTCTTTGCTAGATCTTTCGATTTCCTGCAATCTGTCAGAATAAATAATTGTGCAATAAAAATTCTTATAACAGATGGGTATATATGACCAAAGGAAATACTTCATACCTCGAAATTTGTGTAACAGAGTCATGAAGTTCTTGTTCAAGTTGGGTTACTTTTCTCTCTAAAACTTCGATGCTATTCATTGCCTTATCCAATGCAACATCTTTTTCCTAAAATTTAATATATCACAGTATTTATAACTATAGAATGGTTAATAATTCTATTAGAATATATATATATATATATACAGAGTGTATGTACAGAGTGTTCGGCCACCCCTGGGAAAGATTGTAATAGGAGATTCTGAAGACCAAAATAAGACGAAAATCAAGAATATCAATTTCTTGACTGAGGCTTCGTTAGTAAGTTATTAAAAAATTAAATTAAACAATATCAAATCATTCTGAAAAAATTATTTTCGGTTGCGGGGGTCAATTACAATCATTTTTGGCGAATACACATACCCCCGAAATTCTACCCACTTTCGAGAAAAAAATTCAGGTAAGTGCTGAAATTTTTTGGCGAAAAAAAATTTTTCAAATCATTCCAAAAAAATTATTTTCGGTTGCAGGGCTCGATTATAATCATTTTTGGCAATTACACATACCCCCGAAATCCTACACATTTTTAAGAAAAAAATTCAGTACGGGCGGAACTTCAAATGTCAATAACTTTTTAACTAAACCTCCATGAACAAATTGGTATTCTTGATTTTCGTCTTAATTTTACCCCTAAAATCTCTCATTAAAATTTTTCCCAGGGGTTGCCGAATACCCTGTATATATGTATAATTCATACTTCTATCGTCTCCCGATATCGATGAATATCGCGTTGTGCTGTATCTTTTTCTTTTTCCACTGCCACAAGTTTTGTACCAAGATCAAGACATTTGATGTTCATTTCTTTTATATTGTCTTCTACAATTTTTAATTCTTCAACTTTTTGATTCGCAAGTTCCAAAGAACGTTCTAAATCATCTGCTCGTCTTTGCACGCTTTCTAGCAAAGACTGAACTCGTTGTTTTTCTTTCACTGCCGTATCGTAACTTTTTTCCAATTCTACCATCTTTGTATGTTGAGCCTAAACATCGATGAATAAAAAGAAAGGAATGAATTGCACGTCTAAATGAGGTAAAACTTTAAAAATAACATAAAAAAAATCATTATAATATACTTGAAACTCTTGTTGTTGTTTTTCAGACGATGCTCTTTGATTTTTTAACGAGTTCTGTAATTTCTTATTCTCTTCGACCGCTAGTTTCCATATTAATTCTAGATCTGAATTTTGTTGTGTAAGCCTTTCAGTATTGTCATTCAACGATTCGATTTTTAACGACAGTTTCTTTTTTTCTTTTTCTAATTCCAACACCCGAGACGAATTCTCATGAAACGAGTTTTCTCTCAAGGAATCTATTTCAGTCAGTAATTTACGGTTTTCTAACTCTAATTTTAATGCTCGCGTTTGGGCATTATTCGTCAATTGCTCAAACAATCTATTATCGGCATGCACTAAATAAAATTTAAATTTTCATTACATTCATGTAGTATAAAATGGAAAGGATCCTTTCATATTAAAAATAATATATTATTACCTGGCTCATCGGAATCACTTACAGAATCTGCTAATGCAGCTTCGTTCGCGGTTGCTTTTGTTAACTTGTGTAATTGAATATTTTCTTCGACGAGTTCTTGGTATTTTTCTTTGTCTGCTGCACGTTCCTAAAAAAATTTCCAGTCAAAAAATTAAATTTAAATAAATAACTTTCGATTTCCAAATATGTACATACCAATGCCATGTCATTCAATAACTGCTTGTATTTAATAATTTCAGACTCGAGCTCTAACACTTTATCCGCCCTTCTTCGCGATGAATTCAATTGATCTTCAAGCATTTCTCTAGTTTCCATCAAGACTCTGAAACGCACAAATTATGTAAATAAAATTTAATGCTTTAAACTAAAATATAAAGGGTTGATTAATTAAAAAAATGAATGCATTAGTTATACAAGGTACCTGTTATCCTCGCGTAGTTCCTCTATGCGAGTTTTATAAAATTCTATATCTGTCAGTTTCTCTTTATATCTCACTACTTCCAGTTCTAAACGATCAGCACGATCCGCTCTTTCAATGACAGCATCTAATTCGTCTCTATAAGATTTTGCTGTGCGTGCTTCGTGCATCAAATCCTGATTCTAAAATAATTGAAATCATTATACAAAAGTTTTACGTACTCTAATATTTGTTACTGGCAATATTCGTCTAATTTCTATTTGTTTAAATTACGTAAAATATAATATCTTACCTCTTGCTTCAGTTTAGTCACTAACATTTTATGATATTCCAGTTCTTCTTTACACTCTAACAATGCTTCGGCTTTCTCTTCCCTACAAACGATTCATAAAATAAAAATAAAATTATAATGAAACGAAGAAAACACGATAAGAATCGTTGTATAAGGTAATTCGCTTGCCAGCCATAAATATCTTATAATATCCTGTAAATGGTTGAAATTACAAAAAAGTTCAATAAAAAAAGTCAACCACAAAGTGGACGTAAATTATCTTTCTTTATTTATCACCTTTCCGAGTTACGAAGGCAACTTTTATCCTAAATATGCAAAAAAATAATATGTATCCATTTAAGAAAACTAACTGGCGAGTGAATTAGCTGCTATATTATCCGCATAAAATTCTACATACAATTCTTGACGTTGTTTTCTAACTCTAGATTTCCAATCTGCCAATTCGACCGCATAATGATGATTATCTTCGCGTTCTGACTTGTTAACAGGATTAGACAACTGAACTTTATTCATTTCTTCTGTTTCCACACTAATAGACGAATCATTCCTCTCAACGCTTTCATTTATAGCCGTGTCTCGCCACCTCTATTATCCCATAAATATTTTATGCTTTATTACTGTAATGTTTTCATTTCACGATAATATCGATTTATATGAAACGTACCTGACGATATAGATCCAATTCTTGGGTCAAATTCTTTATTTGCATAAATAAACTTCCCATATTTACATTTTCCATTGCATCTTGGGTAATAACTATATCTTGATGATCTGTGACCTAATAATATAATATTAAGCTCATTAAACAAAAATACTAGAAGGAAACATAATATAGTGTTATTTGCATATGTTGTATATTCAAAGCACGTACTTGTTTAATACATTCCACTATTGCGAGTTGCGTATCGACGTTTAACGTTTTTATTTTTGTAATAAATTTTTCTTTATTAGGACACTGTACAGCACAACCAAGAAGTAATAGCAATAATAACTTCATTTCCGCGACATAGAGTTCTGGTTCTTTGCCTAAATGCATTGTATCTGGTAACTTTAAAACTAAATGACCTAATTCTTCTTCGTAAAGCTGTTTCATATTATCTACTATGATTTTTAAATTCTTTGCACGAATTAATGAACTTCCATCTGGAGATATTACTTCATTGTGTAATGGTTCTGGATCTCTGTAAATATAAAAATTTATACAATAATTATGTCGAGGAAGAAAATTTTTTAAACAATTTAAATGCATAAGGATACTCACATTTGCAAAAATACATTATGTAACAATATACCATCCACCAAATCGTCATAACTAGTTAATAAATTAGAATCCTCTAGGCAACTGGCAAACTGTTATACAAACAAATTTCAAATATATATTTAATTTATACAGAGAATAGAACAAAATTACATTTTTATATTAATTAACTAATCATATCAATTATTTATATATACATTATAAGTAAATATAACTGCTCCATTTAATAAATACTAATAATGTTCCTTTTATCATCATACACACAGAAATGAAAATTCAAGCATGTTATGGAATTAATATTATTTAAATAGTTTTAAGAAATAGAAAACTTACCCAAGTTACCAATGGACCAGACAATAAATCATCAATCTCAGCAGATGCCATTTTTGATGTTTTTACATTAATTACTCAAATACTATTCAAAAAATAACTTTACCATTTCTTTTTTCAAAGAAATTATATACAATTGAATAAATACTTTTTTCATTCATCTTCTTCTAAACTTTATATTTGATACAATGGTAGAAAATCCATTGTGTTATTTATTTGTTAGCTTCTATCTGTTCTATCTGATACAAAGCTGGGTGATAAAAGTTATTCGAATAGAACAGCAAATTGAATTTTGAGTTTGCATTTCTATGATGTGTTAAAATACTTAAAGTCTATTTTTAAAAACTAACTTTTTGATAAAACTACACATAACTTTAACTAGATTTCCAATCAAAAATTAATCACAGGTACACAATTAATTGTCCACTAAGTACCTACACGAATAAAATCAAAAGATTATTTTGTCGTTTTACATAAATCTAATTACCAGTTCTGTAATTAATTCCTATTAATTTAATGCTTGAATTATATTGCCACGCTTCGTTTAGTTATCTTTTAATGTTCATTTAATGGATATATTTCAAATACATCGTACCGTATACGTAATAACAAAAGAGAACCTAACCACAAAATTTTGAATCCACATTCAATGTGCAATCTACTATTTAAATTTTATAATAAATATTCTATATGTTATTGATGTGTGCCAAAATGCAAGAAACATCTTACAATTTCTATAAACACTTTACAACGAGAAACAAAGAAATTGAAATGACCAAATGTCGACCATCGAGTACTATCGAGTAGATGCATATAAACAAAACCATGGAATAGTGGACATAATACATAATACATATAGAGATTTCATTTTGAGGCAGTATCTTTAATGTATCTAACACAAGGTACGCTTTTTTTTTCTATTGAAACAAATTTCGAGAGACAGTACATTAGCAAATTGAAGTAGCTAAAATTATTCCAAGTGTGATAAAGAGGTATTGCATTTTAAATGCAAATGTAGATACCAAATAGGGGACTATGGTGTCTTTGGACAAATGTGTATCTTTATGCATTGCTCCTGCGTTTGCAAAGATTTTCATTGAAATTAATTAGTTATAAACGGTAGTTCTTTAAATCTTTAAGTTAAAACATTTGGTAAAATGTGTACAAAGTACACTTTTCAATCCTTGAATATTGCCAAAAATTTATACTTTAGTATTAAATTCTAAAAGTTCATAATTTTATCACAAGGAAAGAGTAATTAGTGAATAATCAAGCTACGATTCGATTTATCGAAATGGCAGGAAAATGTACTCTGTGTCTTTGTTGCACAATATTCCCCTCTCTTTCTAGTCCCATTGGTCGACCTCCTTTTCCATTTTGTGTTCCTGTTAACATTTTAGCAATTCGAATCCCAATTTGTACAAAAAACTGGTTGAGGAATATTAACAGGGATTTAATAATAGAATTGAAACAGTGCATAAATTAATATAGGAACTATCTTTACAAAAGTTTGTTTATTACAAATTAATTTCATTAAGGATCGTTACAAAAATACAATACATATTTGAACCGATTAAAAAACGTTAATACAAAAATTCATATTTGATTGGAATAGATAATTATTATTTTTAATCCTATGTCTAAGGTATTATATTTACTCTTCCTCAATTACACTACACGTAGTTCAAACTCGAAAACAAATTACTGGGAATTTGGGATAGATATTATATTGTAGATTATATCTATACTACCAAAGAGGATGGTGATATTTATGTCTACCCTTAAAAAAACACAAACGAGCTGTGCTTTAAAAGAACTGGAATGTAACCGGCTTACCTTGAAAATTGCCGCGCATTCGCATAATATATTAACCCTACCTTTGTTTGAAATCAAGTGAAGGAATAATATATTAAATGAAATAATTTGTATTTTCCGGTTTTTGCATTATGTACGCAATTTCATATAAATTGGCAACAACATGACGAGGCATTTAAAGTACGCTTAAGTAAAATAATTAAATAACTAAAATGTAATAAACGCTAAAATCGGACCTTTTTAATATTTTCCTTTGTTACGTTTTTAACAAAAATAATAGTGTAATAATAATAGAACAGTTTATTAGATTAGGAATACTTTACGCATAAAATTATATAATAAACGGTATCTTAATGAATTATTTAAGGCGTCGACATTTTTTAAATCCAAGTAATAACTTGCGATTAAGTGAAACAAATTTTCTAAACATAATAATTCTGAATACTATTTAAACGTTTCCCAAACGTAATAACTATCATGCGAGTCAAATTAAATTTCACCTCTTTTCCTCTTATCGATTCTCTTATTCTAATTTATTTTTAAATTACACGATCACGACGTTTCTTTGTAACTTTTTGTGCTTGAAAACTCGTATATAAACCTCATCCGGACCGATCGGCTCTCAGTCTTTACAGTCAGCATGCTGCGTTCCGTGCATTTGGTAAGTTTACATTTGTTGAACTACGAACTTTAAATTTTTCGAATGTTTTTTAAGCCTTTTTCGTAAATTTTTTGTTAATTGAACGAAAATTTGTGTTCGTCATGGTAAAGTTTTCGTACCATTAATACCTACTTGAATCGGATTAATGTGTATCGAAAATAAAAGTATTAATATAAAGTAACAATATAAAAGGAAGAGTTTGTTGTTTCTTAAATAATAACCGTTTTTCTACTCGTTCCTTTATATAAAAGACGCTATATTATTTTGTATTTAGATTCTTCTTCTCTTGATGGTGGTTTTGGTAGCAAGTTTAGAAGACACAGCTGAGCCCGCCCGAGCAGAAACTGGACTCTCCCTAAACAATGTTAATGATCTAGATGCTGATGCTAGTGCTTGGGGGTAAATCCGATTAAAATATTTAACAACACTGAGTTACAAACATTCTTGTAACATAAACGAGAAAATGACGATTGAATTTAATGTAATGGGAAATATAAATAATAAATTAAATTGATTAAATTTTGTTTTTGCTATATATCGGAAAATTTTTAAATTAAAATTTAATGAATCGTTTCAGTCCCACTAGTTTGGTATTTTTCGATACGAAACAGAAAATTCCTACTCGAACGGTTGAACATACTTATGCGAAATTACCTACTTATAGGAATTACGTTTTAAGATATTCTAGACCATGGCGTTACGGATGGAGAAATGGAGCCTGGAGTGGATGGGGTGGTGTGGGCTGGGGAGGAAGAGCGTGGGCTGGAAGAGGTCCTTGGTGGTGAAAATGTACTAAATCTACAAATTCGATAACGAAAATATGAAAATTATTAAGTTATTTTTGTAACTTTTATAACATCGTGCTTTTTTTAAAAATTATGTATTCTATTGAGCGATTCTTCGTCATGAATAAATCTTATTTCAAAGTCCATCCGTTCACAATTAAACTGATCAGGTTCGAACGTTTTTCTTTGACTGAAAGAAAAAAAGACTGTTGCAACCTACATAAATTCTGCGGTTTCAATAAGAAACAAAATAAAAACTACAAGATACAAAATTGAGCAAAATGTATTATTTTCTTAACCGAACAATTGTAGTGTATTTTATACAAAGCGTCTTTATAATGTAATAAATATATACTAAACAATATTCTGCTTATAATAATGCTTGAGTACTAATTAAGGAATGAAATAGAATGCTCATGGCTTCAAATTCAGTTTAACAGCTTCTTGACGTATGACGGAAATAAGTTCCTGATTTATTAAAAATATAAACCTGAGACCTGCAATCTAAAAAAAGATATTATAAAAATATGTTTTATCGAAAAAGCATTATACGAATTAACATATTAATTTTTTGTTCCATCTTGTCTAATAAAAAATGGAATTTTAATACCTCGATTACACTATTATTATTAAGCTTCATTTTATTTCCAGCAAGAATTGGTCTACTGTCTACGAAAATTGGTCGTTTTCCTTCGGAAGAAAGAAAAAAGTCTCCGTTGTTTCTTAAACGAATAGTCCCTTGTCTTCGTGAAACTTTCCAGGCTGGTCCTTCCAACATCAAATCCACATCCACATTATGGTCTTTCGTTGAACGACCTACGGTAATCTAAGTAAAAAAATAAGGTACTTGAACACAGAAATATCGAAAAGGATATACATTCTGTAGAAATTATTTTATCGAACGTATTCTAAGGCTTTATAAATCATTGGTAATAAAACTATTTAAAATATCAATAAAAAGAGAATTACTAAATAATGGTAACAAATTTTTAACAAATATTACCAAAACTAATGTTCATTAATTTTTAACAAAATTACCTCTCGTGATCTCATTAAATATCTAACGAGTCTTCCTCTAAGTATTGCCAAGGTTTGATTATCAAAATCTGGTGGATTAACTCCTGTCACGCTGTCTACTAGAACCTGCCATCTACACAATTCATTTTCTAACACTTTTATCTCTCTTTTATTTCTCCTATCTGCTGTGACAAATTCTGCATCTACAAACTCATCTTTCTGTTCAAGTAACTCTGTATCGTTGATCATTTCTTCTGCATCAGAAAAATTAAGCACATGTTCACCTCGTGGCAAACTTTGTGCAGTTTGATCGGGAAGGAGATGATACTGTTTCATTAATTGCCAATGACCTAACAAGGCTTTTGCAGTTCTTGCAGAATAAAATGTATGTGCGTTTGCTTCAAAAAGTTCCTGAAATACTTCCAATGTTGGTTGTGAAGTCTATAAAAAAAAAATTAAAAATACCAGGTAAAGTTATGATGACAATAATAATCGTACAGTAGAGTATACAATATAATTGTTAATAAAGATAGTTTTCTTAATCAAAAACCAAATTTAATTACCGATTTTATAGTGCCGAGGATATCTTCTTCTGCTTTGCTATATAAAGTTCTGGCTTGTATACTAGCAATTAATTCTGGATGTAAATTACGCATAGCTTGCACCGCCACTCTTGAAACTGCGCTATCATATAGTAGGGCATACCATCTTTGTTGTATTTCTTGTAATGTAAAACGGCAAGAGAATTTTGTACCTCTGTGAACCTATGCCATATTAATACATTTTATATGCTATTCTAATATTGTATACTGAAATATTATAAAAAATTATTTAAACTCTTATTTTAATAAAACAGCATTTATCGTATTTCTTTAATTTAAATTCTATTGAATCATTTTTAACAACTAAATCATTATTCTGAACATTTGGACAAAAATTGAAATAAATACCATTCTTAAATCATTTGTTTGTTGTACACCAGTGATTAATGCTAAATCGTCAATAGGTTTCCACCTTCCTAGATCTTTTGTAGCATTCACAGAATGTGAATGATTTTTATTTTTCTTGTTTTTTCTCCCAGGTGCACTAGATCCTCCTGGTCTGTTTGCTCGTCGATTGCATCTATCTGATTGAGAAACATTTGCAGAAATTGGAATAGGACTTGGTACATTTTGCTGTGGAATACATTCCATTGGAGCAGTAGAAATTGAAACGGTTCTAGATCTGGAGGCTGACTTTGCACTTGTAGCTGGTGGTTGTAAGTTAAATGTTGTTTCGACAAGTTCATCATCAAATTTCCTGCGTTTTATTGTGCGTGAAGAGCTACAATTATAATAATTATAAAATATAATTGTCAATTTCTTTTACTGTACATTCTATTATTTATTACAAAACAAAACTAAGATACTTTTTTGTCAATAAAGATAAAAGTTTAAATGAAATGTTCTTCACTAATTATCATTCTTTGTTTCTAATTACTAAATAACTATAATATTTATTTATACAATAATTTTAATAATTGCAAACAAATAAGAACTATCTTAAAATTCGATTGTTAACCTCTTTTAACATATAGATATTATTTTTCAATAAATAATAACAGTGCAATTAATAAATATACTATATTACCGAATATATGTACATTATATGTATATCAGCCATTTCTGAGACTATTATTATTACTTCGAATTAAAACTATCACAAAGTTTTATTATAAATGTTAAATGTGTATTCTTATGCATAAAATAGACTCAAGCAATACTATGTATAAAATATAAAGCTTTAATACTAAACAGTTAAGTACAACCACTTTCAAATACAAAAAAAATTGTAACCCAAAACAAAGTCAAATAGGACAAGCATTTACACAAACTTTTTCATTGCTTTTATGTACTTAATTCACACCTGTTGCTTGTGGTTTAATACAAAATATAAGAATAAATATTATTTAATAGAAATTTATTACATATTTTTTTTAAAAAAGTTCAGGAACAATCTACTAAGTTAAGAACTTATAATATACTCATTAGAAGACAAACCTGGCTCTACTACTATAGACACACATTTGCTGCCAATGAAAAAACACAATAATAGACTACTTTTATGCATGACCCTTCTCAAGTAGCTTAGCCAATATTTGTCAAATAGGTGTGCACAAACAATAAATTAAGATTAAATTGTCTTCTAACAAATTAATTTGCACCATTTTATACAATTTGTAAGTTGCAATTTTTTTTGTACACAGCAGTGTACAAGGCAAGAATAGAATTAATTTATTAAAAATTAATAAAGATTGATAAGCACCTCCTACGTTTTGTAGACAATGGATCCAAATTTGTGGATTCAATGGGTATATTTAAAAATCCGTCATTACCGTGAGAAAATCCATGATTTAGACTCGAAGGAGTTGGAATATCCATAACTTTATAGGTTAGCTGAATGTAAATAAAAAATTACGACTGTATATAAATGAATTACGTCATTGTACAGTCAAAAATATAATAATTACGATAATTCAACGAATATAAATTATGAACCAAATTTTATTAATACTTGATTTCCGCTTAAATAAACAAATGTTTCAACACTTAATGCATTCTAAGTCATACATTCAAAATAATTATTATACGAATCAGTGTGACCAGATTTGGCATAATTGAGTGCATCGACGGCGACACTAGTAACGACGAACTTCCTTAGCGTCTAACGGAGTGGTACATACTAGTGGTAGAGAAAGCCGACATATCCTCGACACTTCTCTCAACTTCGGGAAATCGAGAAAGAAGGCAAATATGAACCTATTTCTCTCGACTCCCACGAGGCGGTCCGAAATTACTTCGGGTAGCTTCGGAGAATCGAGAAAGAGGGCAAGTGTCAGTTTGTTTTTGTCGACTTTCCGAAACTTTACGAGCTCACATACGCGTGATCTGGCATAGTTGAGTACAGTGAAAACTCGATAAATGTCCTCAAGAGCTGTTCCATAAATGATACATTTTTATCCCCACCACTAGGGGGATCCCCCTTGAACCAGTGAGGCGAAGTGTAACCGGAGACGTAGCGGCTTTCTTTAAAAATCTTTATTGCCTTCGTCACTTAGTTTAAATGTCCCTGTCAGTGTGACCACACTACTGTACAAGAAGAAAGTTTTTTATTTTTTACTTTTTTTTAATAAAAATTTTACTATCATGTGGGGAAGATTTTTCTAATTAAAATGAGACTAAACACGATATAAATCGGCCAATATTTGTTACCATAATATTGAATTAAATATTGTGTACTCGTATCTTCGCAAGGTCAGTGGATAGTACATTTATCGAACAGAGGTAGCTAACGAAACCTCCTATCTCATAAGTGTTGCAGTTTTTGATCACTTACGGAACGGTGGAAGCGTTCCGTTTGAAAATAGCTACCTCCCATTCGATAAATGTAGCCAGCACCTTGATCCGTCGTTCTTTGATGTTTCCGAATATAGAAAAGGACAGCACACGAAGGATAAATAAAGAGAGAAAGACTCGCAAGTACAATATTTAATTCAATATTATGCTACCAAATATTGACCGATTTATATCGTGTTTAGTCTCATTTTAATCAGAAAAATTTCGCCCATATGATAGTGAAATTTTTATTAACAAAAAGTAAAAAATAAAAAACTTTCTTCTGTGCAGTAGTGTGGTCACACTGACGCGAATATTTAAACTGGGGCGATAAATCCGAGTTTCAGTCCCTCTTTCTTCTTTAGCTACTGACTCTTTCTACGTTCGAAGCGTCGGCAAACTACAATCAAATTCGAAAGACGATTCTGCTATTACGTAAGTGTTGCTGACCGGACCCGGAGTAGCGACATTTATCGAGTTTTCACTGTATTGCACCCGGTGCTCAATCAGGCATCTCTGGCTCATCGTTCAATTCGCTCTTATTTATTACTTTGACGCGTACGTTTCGCCCTCAGCCGGGTTCCAGCCAATCCGGGCCAGCTGCTAGCACATGCGCAAAGGAACTACCCGACCGGCTTGCTTGTGATCACGTGGTTGACGTCGACTGAACAAGGGTTAAGGCAATTTAAGCTTCTTTATTGCAGAACAAATATTAGTGCAATGTTCTTGACACTAATTTAATAGTTGTAAATAAAGACACTGTACTTTAAATTAATTTCATTTTTTATCCAGATATATATATATATACAATTCAAACGCATACTGAAATGGTCACGCAAAATACATTTTCGAGTATATCAAATTTTCATGCACATTTTTATGCGATCAAAAATTTTCATAGAAAATATTAAAGAAATTTTATAGTAGAGTGTGTATATACGTGTATATATACGAACAACTGTTCTTTACATACTACATACATAAATAACAAGCAGTGATACAAAATTGAATGAAATGAATTTCACAACAATCCAGAAATGCATTTTACCAAAGTGTAAAATTAATTTTAATATGTGTAGGCAATTCCATACTGCACTGATACTGTGCCATAAAGTATTAATAAAACCTAATCTTGTTAAAAAATTAAATTTGCAATATAATCAAAAGAATTTGTTATCTGCTACAAAATTTCAATGTGAAAATATTAAGTCTAACTTGAAAGTACACGCAGTAAATGATAATAATACTTATTCTGCTCTTCAACTAAAAAAGAGGCCTAAAAAAAGACAAAAACCATTTTCCAGTAATGAAGATAATATTGGTGTAAGTATTAAATATAAAAATACACTATACAATATATTATACTTCCAAAGTATAGTATAACAAATCGAAATATTCAATAGTTCAATGGAATAGTATTTTTCTTTTGTATCAAAAGTATAAGTGCCAGGGTCTGTAATATGTGCTTCAAAATATCTATTATATTTTTAAAGATTACGTAAAAATATAAAATATAATTTTTTGATGTATATTCATACAAAACTTATAAATGAATTTTATAAGTAAAATTAAATGTTTTATTTGTTTATAGGAATGGAACATAAAAGCATTGGCAACTGCAAAGGAATATGATCTTGAAAATTTAGTGCAAGGTCTCTTGGTACAAAAATTGTATATACCTGATACTATATCCACAACAACTAGCTGTAAGTTTTAGATAATCTTTTCATATGTTTAAGATAACATATTTACATAAGAATATAGAGAGAGACACATCTATTTATTTGTATATGACAAAATACTAAAAGTTGCTTTGATCTGAAAGTACTTACTAAATAAATTCAGCAAATTATTACTGTGCCATGTCCGACTGTACATTTAATTCTTCAAGAAGAACCATATTACTAAATATTTCTACCATATGTATTGTGTTAAAGTATTACTAATTCACCAACATACTGTATAAAGTGTTGTTTTTATGTGAAATTTTGATATCAACAATTTTCTTTACTATGATCCAAGAATTAGAATGTGACTCAATAATGAATATGTTTACAATTATAAGATACAAGATGTACATAATATCAGTGAATAAAGAATTATTAAAACTGGTGCAAAAATGTATTGAAGTCTATGAAGATGTATTTTGAACAGTGCCATCAGTGATATAATACATGTGACAGTGTATAGATGAGTGTTTTTTGTGTGTGTGTGCTTTCAGTTGATTGAGGTTCAAAAAGTGCAGGTCAGAAATGAAGCCTTGTATTGCAAAATGGTGATAATATGTGCTTTTCTATTTAAGATATTCTTCTTTCAATTGTCTTTATTTGTTAAAATACCTATTGTAAGTGAAAAGAGAAATTGAAATATTTATTACTTTGTTGCATGTTCCTTGCTTTAAAGATACTCAAATTAACCGTTTGGTATTAATATTAGGTAATGTAAATAAAACATATGTATATTGCTAGCATTATTATTTTTGAGCATTTTCTTTTGTGTTATTTAATAAATAATATTGTAATTACCTTATTTATTGTACCTTTATCTTATTAAACCTTTCTCTTTTCTTTAAATCTTCTTTGATAAATTCAAGTCATAAATACCAACCAAGATTGGTAGACATAAACTTAAGATGTAGTGAATCAAAGTTGGAAAAACCAAATTCGCATAAACGTTGGTAAATTTTCTTAATTTTAAACAAGACATAATATGTTGATTTGGATATTTTTCTGTGTACAATTGACTAGTAACCCCATTAGCAAATGCATATCTGCAATTTCCGCCATAAAGTACAGATAATTATTAATAACGACGCAATAATAACATCAAACGTGGCACGGAATACGGATTCAGAAATACTGAAGATTCATGGTAGATTTGCATCTGTCAAATAATCTTTGCTGAGTTAGTGATAATCTGCGTTGTCACATAACCTTGAATTAATGAATGCTTTCAAATCAATTCCATTTACATTCATTGTGCTACACTCGAAACGAGAATGCTCGTAAAAAGTATTCAATAATACGTTAAATTACTAAAACATATCTAAAATCTGTGATTCAAAAGGTTACTTATAACAATTTACTAGAACAAAGGAGTAATTATGGACTGTAAACTATGTCTGCCTTCTTCTGAAAAAAAATTAAAAGAATTAATAGAGAAGGCAAAAGATTGGGCACTTATGCATGGATTGTGCATGAGATCAAGAATGAATTTGAACAAAAATGTTCTACAATTTGCACCATTCATTCTGATGCCATCTCCATTTCCTAAAAAAGAGTTTGACAATGCTTGTCGCATTCAAACAATATTAAACATACTTATACATAGAGTAGCACAGGATTACAATTTTTTGAAGGAGACTTTAGAAGAGACAATAAGAGTAGACAGTTTTACCAAAGAATTATTCAATATATGTAAAACTGTAAACGATGAAGGAGGATCAGCACAAAAAATATCTCTTGGTATACTGCGTTCAGATTTAATGTTAGAGACAAACTGTCCAAAAGAAAAGATGGATAAAAAATGTATACCATATTGTTGTTGGAAACAAGTTGAAATAAATACAATTGCATCTGGTTTTGGCTGGTTAGGACCTGCTTCAACAGAATTACATAAATTTGTATTAGGAGAACTTGGTTATCATGAAGAAATAAAAAATCTTCCAGAAAATAATGCATTACAAATAATATGTTCAAATTTAATAGAAGCATGGAACATGTATGGAGATCAACAGTATGTCTATAATTAATTACATTTTCAAACTTAAAAATGTTAAAGTACAGTACTGTATCAAATTTAATGTCAAAGCAGAATCAAATACACATTTGTAATACAAGTAATCAAGGAATTTATATATAGTTTAATATAATTTATAATTGTTTACAGAGCAGTTATTTTGTTTGTTATCGAAGATATTACATATAATATATGTGACCAACGTTTCCAGGAATTTGAAATTAAAAAACAAAATCCAAATATCAAAGTCATTCGACGAAATTTAACGTATTTAGCTGCTACTGCAACAATGGGTTCAGAAAAGGAATTGATAGTTGATGATTATGTTGTAGCTGTAGTATATTACAGATCTGGTTATGAACCTGGACAGTATCATACAAGAAATGAATGGAATGTACGATTATTGATAGAAAAATCATTAGCTATTAAATGTCCAACTATTCAGTATCATTTAGCAGGAACAAAAAAAGTACAGCAGGCCCTTGCAAAGCATGGTATCATAAGTAAATTTCTAAAAAATGAAAAAACATGTATTGAAATTAAAGAAATATTCACTGGTAAGTGAATTATTTTTTCAGTATTTATAATATTGAACCATGTTGATACAAAATATTATGTTATGCTGTTTTATGTAGAACTCTATGCATTAGATTTTAATGATCATGGAAATGCTGCTATAGAAATGGGGATTGCAGATCCACATCGTTTCGTATTAAAGCCTCAACGTGAAGGAGGTTGTAATAACAAATATGGATTAGATATAAAACACTTCTTAGAATCTGTAAAACATAAACAAGATCGAGTGGCCTGGATTCTTATGGATAAAATTCATCCTCCAATTCATAAAAGTTATATGATTAGACCTGAAGACAATACGAATGTGAAAGTACAGGAATTAGTTTCTGAGCTAGGAATATTTGGTGTTATTATTGCTGATGAAAATAATGTGTATGTTAACAAACAAGGTGGTCATATGTTAAGGACAAAATTAGCTACTGCTAACGAAGGTGGTGTTTCGACAGGATTAGGGGCATGTGATAGCCCGTTTCTAATAGATTAAAAGACATGTACATGTTTTTACAAAAAATCTATAATATATAAAAATCTTTTATTGTTCATTATCAAAATTCAATGAGTATGTACGAAATGTAAATAAATTTAAATACTTCTATTCAGTAGTGCGTCTAGAAGAACTCAAAGGGGAAAGGAACTAACAAAAATTTTGAGAATTCGGGAATTCCGCTCCTGAAAATTATAAATAGAAAACGAAATATTAAAGTTATGATGACTGTTTAACGTTTGTCAACAAATAAAGAAATCGTTTGAAATGATTTAAATTTAAAAATGTTAAATTCATTTGCAAACTAACTTCCGTTTATGTTTCGTTTGTAAAGACATCCATAAATTAGAATCCATAAATCAATGTTTTAAACTGACATTCAGGCAAGAAAAGCCACAGGCTAAAGCTAATTTTAGATTGAATCTAACATTTTTATTCATTAATCGTGAATAAAATTTATCCAATTCTGATTCCAAGGGGAAATTATGCGGATTGGGCTAACGAATTATTGAACGAGTGATAGATTTTATGGTAATAGCATGTAAAACGAAAAATGTAACATTTCTAAAGAATACGAAGCTACATTCACTGGTTTTATAATTTCTCTCCCTCCTTTTCATGTATCCACCACTGCTTCCATTTTCTTTATTTTTAGTTAAGTATGGAATAAGTTTCTAATACAATAGATATTCTTTGACGTGCTTTAAGATATATAATTTATAACTAATAATGTGATATATTAATCTTTATTTTAGTTTAATATATTACAAGCATTTATAAGTTATAAAATATATGTATAGTATAACTGAATTGTAATATCACTTGAGTGGTAAAATATTTAGAAATTCCTTTTAAATATAATTATATACATTTTATATATTAAAGAACTGCAGTTTTATTTATCTCCACAATTTAATATCATTAATTATTCATGATATGAATCAGCATTGTATATATTAGGAAATGATAATGCTAAGTATTTACTAAGTATTGATTTATTATGTTGTGCTGTATTTAGATTATGTTTACAGCTTTACCGGATGTTATACATGCTGTAGCAAAGTATGAAGTAGATTATGAACCAAGAGAAATCTTCTTTTTTCGAGAGGGTACCATAGTGATGTGGAATATTTCAGATCTTGAAAGTGGAAATATATTGGAATTTTTAAAGAAATACGAAGATAATCGTTACTCTGAATCTATTATACAATCTGAAAGTGAAATAATGAGTTACAGCTATGCAGATAATGGGTAATAGTATACAAAATTTATATTGTGCTTTAATATTCTCATAGTTATATTATTATTTGCGTATGACCATTGTCTGTATATACTGTATATAGATTTTTCATTTTTTATTTTCTTATTAATTTACAGAAAACAAAGTCATATAAAGAATAGTCATATTATGTTAGGAGTAAATGCATCGAATTTAGATAAATATACATTTTCAAATGCAATGGCCCAATCAGTGAAGTTAGGTATATGGGAAGTATCTTTAGATAATTACATAGATTCTATAGAATTTGTTACCGACGATTTAAAGTCTGGCGTAAAGCTTAGAATAACTCAACAGGAAGTATTAAAAAAGCAGGGAGAATTATTTGCATTGCGACATGCAATTAATTTAAGCTCAGATTTATTAGATACTCCCGATTTCTATTGGGACCGAGACGATTTAGAAATTCTATATCAACAAACTTGCGCATATTTTAATGTTACAAAGCGTACAAGAGTAAGTTATAGAAAAATAATTAAATTTATTAAATACCGTTTACCGTACATAAAATGAAAACATATATTTGTATTTTATTCGATAGGTTATAAATGAAAAATTGAACCATTGTGTGGAGCTTGTGGGAATTTTATCCACGCATTTAAGCGACCGTCATCATATTCGCCTAGAATGGATGGTTATTATCCTTATCATGGCTGAAGTTGCTTTTGAAATATTACATTATATCGATAGATATTTCTCAGACCATTCTACATAAATTAATTTATTGTAAGACACCAACAGTTATTACTATGTACAGTGTACTTATGTATCAAATATGTATTACAGTAAAATTAATACTATTATAAGTAAAAATTATTCAAATTTTCAATATATAATATAACATATTTTTTGTATCAAATGACACAATTTCTTTCTTAATCAATTATTACCTGCTTGTTGGAAGTTATAGATAGGCTCTTTTGTTCTATACCTATTTAATAAATTACAAATTTTTTTGACATCTACTTTATTATTTTTTTTTTATATAATTTATGACTTTTTAAACTATAACTTTCAATATTATTTGTTTAAAAACAAATTCAAGTTTGTGAAAGGGAACAACAACGAATGTGGCCGAACGTTCATTCGTTTTTTTTTTCTTTTGTTGAAATTTTCATTGTGACCTAGAACCTTGAGAACCACATTAGATCAATTCTAATATTCGACATTTACGCAAGATACAGATAACGTCGACAACTACGAAGCGTAGCACGTCAATAATTGCAATATGGCACAAGGACGCTCGTTTAACTTACACATGTTATTCCTGATTGTTGATATCTAATTAAAACAAGTCTTGAGAAATTATCCGTGTGTTTTTTGTCCCAATGAATTATAATTTTTTACTGTTAATTTTAAAGTAGAATCTTCCGTTCCTTTTATTTATAATTTGATATTTTTATTAGATATTTCATTAAATGTGGATTTTTTTATTAATAAAGTGGTTAAAATTGTAACGTGTTTCGTATAGCGATACTTATATGTATAATTGTGTATACAACTAAAGCTGTAATATATGTATACTGCATGTATTGTACATATATATATATATATATACACATATATGTCTATAACACGTGCGCATACACAACTTAAAATAATGAATATATGTTATATGTAGTTATTAATTTATTTTATTTTCATATATCTGCCAAAAGCATTAGCATAAATATCTATCTTATATCGTTTAAAATGAACAATATACATAGTTTATTGACTGTAATTTTTTATATTTGATTCGACTGTAATACACGTATTATTCTACTGTAATTGTGCGACACTGTGACTTGAATATTAAATTTAGTTGATCGTGGAATGAAAAATAAGTTTAATTTTCATTAATCAAACATTAATCGTAGTTATCGTGTTTCTTGTAAGGAACAGAAAAACTTTCTCGTTTTCCATTTATTTGCAGGAAAAATGAAGTAAGTATGAAAATGTAAACACCCTTGTAAATGTTCCTGCCAATGAATTTCCTAGATACATCCCTGTAAATCGCACGCATGGTAAGTACGCATCCCTCTGCGCCTGTATCGAAAGAGAAGCGGAGTCGTAGTCCAGTTTCTGCGATAATAGCACCCACTTGTCGACCAACTGATAGCGTGGCAAGTACAGTTCTGTGCTTGTCCGTTCGTTCATGCGATTAATGTCCTCGAAGGTCCTTTTCAGTTAAACGCGGTCATAAGTTCTAGTATCATAATTATCGACAAAAGTATCACGCGGTCCAAGACTAAATAATTTACGGTCCAAAGCTGCTGTTTTTCTTTTCTAATTAAAAACTACATGGTCGAAGAAATCCACGTAACTCGTAAGTAGACTTTTCCAGATAATTTCAAACGTTTCTTAATCGAAATAAAACTCTTATTATTTATCACGATCGTTTAACACCTAGGTTAATAAATAAATTATGTTAAACAAGAATATGAAATATCATCCGCATAAATCACAGAACGGTACACTGCTTTTGTTTCTGGAAAAGTTTAGAAAATTGGAATAACTCCTATGTGATTTTACGATAAAATTTATGGTCCTTGAGTCTTTTATTTTATTAATTCAAGTATTCGTTCGTCTGTTCTTTATAATTTAACTAAACCAGATTTTTTGCATAATGTTCTTAAAAAAGAACCATTAAAATAGTAATAAATTAGATAAAACATTAATGTAAGTGCAGGCAAATTTATTACACACGTATTAGCATGTCGTTTTTGGTATAAAAGAGTAAATATTCTTAGTTCAAACGCCGATGTTGATGCAAAGAATGAGTAACACGATTGCAAAGTATGTTGGCACGCGTCACAAGCTTCGATTGATCGCTCTTCGTATAGGACTTTCGCGCTCATTTTTTTTTCAGTCACGATACAATTGCTACGCGTCTGTTGCGAGGTGTTCGCTCCCCTCTCTTCCAACTACTTTCCCTTTTTTCCAATAACTATATCATCCCACGTAATGATTTCACTACGTAGCATTCATTTTCAACCTAATTTAATACGTTCGTTTCTTGTTTTCGTACACACCAGTTTTACACTCCAAATTTACCGTTTTGCAAATCACGTATTTCCAAAAAATTGTTTCCTTAAGTTTTTGTAATAAAAATAAAATTGAATATAAATTTATCATTAAAACATTTTAAATTTTACTGTAACACAATGTCTGACACAAAGATGAATTATTTATCTAATAGCATTTAATTCATTACATACGGAATTCGTAATTATGTACGAGTATAATATGAAAACTGTGCAGTTGGTGACAATTTTATATAATAATTGTGATAATTTGTAAGATAACAGTTGTATCAGTATGATTAATCACGCCTATCAAATGTTTATCTTTCGAAAGGTCAACTAGCATATGTTTCGTGCATAATTTGATTTTTGAAAAAATTTCCTCGATGAGATTCGTTATTGATGATAGAAAAAGTGTAGTACTTCGAAACAAAAAGACGAATTTAATTCGCAAAACCTGTATGTTTCGCTCTCGATTACTTTAAAGGGAAAGTTCGAAGTTTTATGTTTCTAAATGTGAAAATGTAAAAAAGTTTCCACCCGGTTTTAACGAATCAAAATACAGTATTTTATATCCAAGATGATTTTCTTTCTTTCGTATCTCGGGTGTATTACAACTTTACAATAAGAAAATAAGAGTTGTGACAAGAACCATTGAAATATCGATTTAGGTGCAAATATAGATAGTCTCCCTTTAGCAATTTCAATGATATAGGAACAGAGGCACAGCGAATACTTGTTGCACATCTATTTTGAGCGAAAGCTGTTCTTCTGAACTTTGTTACTTCTTCGTATTATATTAACGTTCTTTAATATTTGCATTAACGAAAATATATAATTAATTCGCGATTAATTCAAATATACGTGTAACAAAGTATCGTTTAGAAAATTGTATTCATCTTGGAAAGACAATGTGGGTTGTTCTTCTTGTACGATTCATAGTGATGTCAACGCCTGATATCTATGCCACTCGCATACTTTTTACTATGCGTTACAAGAATTTAAAAGAAAAATTTGTCTAAAGATTTTTTTTGGCAAATTCCAACATGTTGTCTCTTTATTTCTCTTAAAAAGTCTGTGATTCATGTTGATAATAACTAGTAATTCAAAATTTATCAAACATATTTTAGGAAGAGTTCATCCTTCTATAACTGTTGACAATTTTCTTTAACAATTTTTTCTTTACATATTACAGATATTTCATCAATTATAAGATCAATAAATTTTATTGTTACAATTTTAAATATAAAAAATTATAATTTAAATTATGATCAATTATCTTTATTTTATTATCCTTATTATTATTATCTTTTCTGTTGTTTATGTTGATAATTAGTCATTCAAAATTTATTGATCATATTTTAGGAAGATTCAGTAACAGTGAATTTTTACCAATTTTTATAATTGATTTGCTTTCGAGCGCAAGACTTCGTTTTCACTTCGTTTTATTTTTATATAGGATGATCCACGTTACATAATATTCGTAATAAGTTTGAGATGATTTAAAAGTTTCATTGAAACAAAAAACAATGGATATCACGGTAAAAGATTCAGGTAGAGGTACCAGATGGGTTTGCCCGAATGATCGACATTTAGCGCTGAGGGCAAAGTGAGTTTAAAATTTATATCTGATACCTATATATATACATATATAAAAATTTTGTTGTAAAAGCAACGTGTATGGTTCATTGCGATATACATATACGATCTTTTCTACATAATTAACGAACAATTGATAATTAGGTTGCGTACAGGATGGTCTGTAAAAACTGGTTCTCTAGATTCAAAATGGGATAATTATTCGAATTCTTACTCCGGTGGTACAAATCGTTATGCACAATCGTTTGTATTAAGCGAAGAAGAACAACAAACGATCATACAGGTAAATGTTTAAATTAATAACAATTCCTCCTTCTCTACGAGTACAGAAACTTTGAAGTAACGATGAAATCTTTTGTTTTCGTTAATATGCTAGGTCATTCAAAGAGCGGAAGCTTTGGATTTATCAGAACAGGAACGAATTGGTAGATTAGTGGAAAGATTAGAGAACATGAAACGTAATGTCTGTATCGTCACTGGTACAAGATTGAACGAGAAAAAAAATTGTAGTACCCGGTGTTCCAGTACTACGCACTGTGTATGTTCTTGCGCTCTTTGCGGTGAGAAATTCGGTGCAGTTTTGGGCGCGACGCCAAATCTTTGCAAAGATTGTCGTAAATACATATGCCAGAAATGCGGCATCGAAACCAACGAGCTTAATTCAACGTTTTCGAACGGTTCGTCGACAAAAGGCGTATTAGCTATGGCGAAACATGTGCAAGAAAGAACAACCATGCAACGAATTATTAGACGTTCGAGTAGTAGTCAAAAACAATTCCTTTGCAGAATATGCGCCGAGACTAGAGAAATGTGGAAAAAGAGCGGTGCCTGGTTTATCAGGGGGATGCCAAAATATATTTTACCCGAGAAAAAGGTAAAAATAAAAGATTAATCTACGCATGTCGCTGGAGCATCTAAAATTAGAACGAATATATTTGCAAATTTATTAAAAATTTAATTAACAAATACAGGTAACCCTCCTATAACACGGTAGATAGGTTCCTAGAAAATGCCGTGTTGTGTGAAACCGTGTTATATGAGACCCAGAGCCAGTATAAAAAGGGGAGTTACGTTCCGATAACTTATTAAAAACAAATATTTTTTTTTTAATTCTACATAAGCAATTTAATTTTTATGAAAAATATGAATGTATGTATAACACAAAACAAAAAATATTGTTTTAATTTAACGCAACCTTAATTTAGTAAATTATAATTTGATATATATATTTTCATGTAAAGCCACTATAGTTCATTATTCCTTCGCGTCATTATTTTAAGGTAATTTAGTTTTTAAATATGTTAAGCAAAAATCATGTTATCCAGTGCTGTGGAAGTACAGTGTTTTACAAAGGTTTTCACAATTTTCTTATCGTGTTAAAGCGAAACCGTGTTGTAGGAGGGTTCTTGCAATTTATGAATCGTGTTATAGCGAAACCGTGTTATAGGATGCCGTGTTGTAGGAGGGTTACCTGTATTTGCAAATTTATTAAAAATTTAATTAACAAATATATTGATATATTTGTTTAAAAATGTAGGAACGAGGATGGTCGAGGATAGGTCACAAACAATCTACCTGGACAATCGGGGGAAATAAATCTCTTGAATCTACCGAACTTCAAGATTCCTCCTCCGACGAAGAAGTAACACGACGTCTGGCGTTAACTCGAGGTCACTCTAGCTCGTTTTCAAATTTACAGAAGAATCAGGACAGTACTGCTAACACAACGCTTTCGCCGTTTCTTAATTCTGCTCAATCGACTAGTAATAGTGCATCCAAATCACCAGAACAAAAATTAAACGATATATCGCCGTTAAATAATCGCGATGAATATGTCGATCAATTAGATAGGTCCACTCTTTCGATTACGTCTCAGTGCAGCCGAGTTTCGCCGACTGCTTCGGTTACGAGTTCCCGTTTACGGACAAATGGAAGGACCAGCAACGATTCACAAATTGAACAGCGCGTGTCGTTCGAAGATGAAATTATCGACGAAAAGAATGCGAAATTTGACGATCCTTGCGAATCGAAGGACGATTATCGTAAAATAGAGTTTCATTCGTGCGACCGATTAAAATGTTCTCAGGTACAATCACTCAGGTACGTAAGAACGATAAACAAAAGAGTAGAAGTTTAGCTGATGTCGGTGTAATACATTGTAGACCGAATTCTTCGATGATACCAACGACACCAACGTCGTCAATCATTCTAACCGATCAAATTCCGGAACAATTTCAAATACACGAGAAACACACGGATCTGGAAGAAAAACGATCGTGCTCAGGAAGGGAGAGTCTTTTCAACAGTGCTCACAGCAGCAATCAAATCGATTTACCGCGACTACAAACGTCGGAGTACGGTGTGTACAGTATTGTTTGCTTTTGTGCTTTGCTTTCATCTAGTTTCGTATATTCCGAGCGTAAATATTTAAAAATTGTTACCTAAAAACAATGAAAATGATATGAAAACTAGAAACGGGGCGAAATTATGGAACTCTCGAAGTCTCCTTGCGATACGACCCAGCAGTTCAGTGCCTCCAATGCAAAGTGGAACGGGCACGAGATTTACGGCCAATGGATATTCACGGTCTCGCCGATCCATTTTGCAAACTCAACATATTACCAATAAACACAATTGCGACTACGAAGCGTCTACGGACAAAGACGGTTCACAAAACACGGGATCCGGAGTTCAACGAGATCCTAAATTTTTACGGAACGGCAGAAACGGATGTACGAACGATACTAATTTTGAATATAATACAAAAATACCTTAACGATTCAAATATATAAGACATTATTGGTTGTTAAAAAATAGATATGGAGTGGCAAAGCACTGCACATCCTGATCCTCCAGGACGATCCTGCAGGTCACGATTTTCTAGGAGAAGCGAAGTTTCCCCTGCACGAGTTACAACCACGTCAAACGAAATATTATAATGTTCCATTGCAAGATCATTATCCAGTACGTACCAATTAAACATTACTTCTCAATTTTCTAATCCATAATAATTGAATATGAATAATTTAAATGTGAATTATTTAAAATACTATTCACTGCTATTTTATTACTTTAGCATTTATACTCACTAATTGTTATTACACGGTCCAATTTGGATTATCCCACGCTAAATCGATCATTTCTTGTACTCAATGTCAAGGAATTTGTTCAAATTGAACTATTTATTTTTAAGGGATGCTTCCGTTTCGGTATATTAAACAGATTGAAAACTAATTGAAATATGTTGCGATCCATGTAAATACAGAGACACTTGAATCCCCAATGGCTACTTTCACGCAAATATATTTCAGTTCAAACAAAATCCCTCGCATCGAGTACAAAAATGATCGATTTGGCGCGGAATGGTATCGTTTGTATCTTGAAAATCATTTATTCTTGTACACGTAATGTTCTAATATCCTTAATTGTATTATCATTTCGTAAATTATGTTTATGCATCATAACGACATAAACATAATGATTTTTCTAATTATTTAATCGCGCCTTAAATTTTTCGCGACGGCCGACTTTACTTGCATTATTGCAGACACTAAGATATAAGAGCTCGACGTTGGCATAGGTGGACAATGAAGAGGCATCTTGGGGCGTATTTTCCAGTGGTCGAGGAGAGATTCAAGTGAGTCTAAGTTACTGTACAAGACGCAGAGCATTGATGGTCACGGTTCACCGAGCTACAAATCTACTTCCTATGGATAATAATGGATTTTCTGACCCATTTGTCAAGTTGTGCCTTATAGAGAATGTGACGAACAATCATAAACAACGTGTCTTTGATTATTCGATCGCACGTATCACCGCCAGAAAGCTAGTTTCGAAAAAGATCGTAGGTCGTAATTCACAAAATACAACTGTCAAGTGGAAAACCCTAAACCCAGAATGGAACGAGGAGTTCATTTTTACTACTCGATTAACAGACCTTATGAAACTTACATTATATCTGACAGTATGGGACAAGGATTTTGGCAAGAGTAACGATTACCTTGGTAATGAGTTCATTTTTTAAATTATAGCGTTAGAATATACAGGGTGTTCGGCCACCCCTGGGAAAAATTTTGATGAGGGATTCTAGAGGCCAAAATAACACGAAAATCAAGAATGCCAATTTGTTGATGGAGGCTCTATTAAAAAATTATTAACAATTACATTCAAAAATTTCAAATCGTTCTGGAAAAATTATTTTCGCTTGCGGGTGTCAATTACAATCATTTTTGGTGAATATACATACCTCCGAAATCCTACGCACTTTCAAGAAAAAATTTCAGTAAGGTCGGAACTTTAAACGTTAATAACTTTTTAACAAAGCCTTCATCAACAAATTGGTATTCTTGATTTTCGTCTTATTTTGGCCTCTAGAATCTCCCATTAAAATTTTTCCCAGAGGTGGCCGAACACTGTATGTTATTAACATTTTTCTTAGTTTTATTTTATCGAAAAACTGATTATTTATTCTAGATAACTTTTGTGATATTTGAAAAGAATCTAAATATTAAGGATCGAAATTGTAATAAACATCTTTATGTCTCATCGTTATTTCTTATTATATCACATTAATATAATTCCTGATTTTATTTAGGTGGACTTGAATTAAGTTGCAATAGCAAAGGTGCACGATTACGGCATTGGATAGATGCAATTAAATTTCCGGATCATCGCCATCAAGCTTGGCACAATTTAACTGATGCTATTTTGCCTACTGAATAATAATTTATGGTACCATTTTGTTTGTAAACGTATTATTAAAAACATTTTAACAAGGTCTGTAATCGATATGCATAATAATCTACAAAATATAATTTGTTTACACGTGATCTGTACTATTGCTCAAAGTGTATTTATCATTAAAAAACAAAAGTTAACACGATAATAAAGATATTACATTATCGGTAAACTATTTTTATCTTTCGCTGATAAATTTTAAGTTTTTCCTCATTTTTCCACTGATAAGTTTAGTTCATGTGCTTATAGAATGTGCTCTTTTAAAGACAGTCTGGTTTCTAATTAATGTTTTCAAATTTGATTATTTCGTATTCATTTTTACAAAAAATTATCACGGATCACAAAAACCATAGTACAAAAGTTTATTTTCTATAATACACAAGATACTTGAAATATTTTAAGAGATATACTTTTTACAAATATTCTTATTAAAAGCTATTTAAGATTTCAAGTTGTATTTAATTATCACTCACGCTAGAGTCTTCTTCGGCTTCTTCCAACCACTTAATAAATTGTTCCATCGCAATTTTTATTTTGTTGTCTTGGAATTCAAATATATTTTTACCGCTAGATCTGTACCACTCTAAAATTTTGTCTTCCGATAATAAGTCTTTATCGTAAAAAAGATGTAACAAGTGTAATATACACGGTAGTAATTCTTGCGTCGTACTAGTAACATCTTCTATCGCGTGTAAACAATCATCTTGAGCATCTTCTGTTTTAACATAATTCAGAATAATTGGATAAAAATAAGTTATCATGATTTTCAAGTTTTTTTGATAATTTTGATTATTTACAGTTTCTTTCTTTTCCGAAAGATAATGAAAAGGTAAACTTAATATAGCTTTAATAACATTATACGTCACTTCCCTCATGGTAATATTGTATGCGTATCTTGACGCGTTTATCTCCAAAATTAAATTCTCGCAATTAATTTTATCTTGAAATCCTCTTAGTAAACTATCAATCACTTCGGATAAGAACATGTTAGTATCATCAGGAACCGGTGAGTTGCATTCAGAATCTTCGTCGCTACTCGTTACGTCCGTAGAATAATTATCGTATTCGGTTTCATCGTAATCTTTAAAGAACTCAAATTCATCGTCCGTATCGATTTCTAACATTTTTTTTACACAAATTTTATCATCTTTCGATTCTAAAATAGAATCAGTATAGTCCGCTAGAGCATCGATATTTGCTCCAAGACATAATATGCACCCATTTATATGTGCACCTTGTTTAATAATACAATTTGGAAATACGATACTATTCTTGATAGTACAGTTATCTTTGATTTCGGTAAACGATAAAATATACGAGTTTTCGATCGTTACATTACAACCAATTAAACAACTAATACCGATCACGGATCTTGTAACAGAGGTATCGTTTCCGAGTATACTGTGTTGACAAAACACGCTATCTTTCCCTAGTATACAGCCCTTAGCAAGCGTGGCACTTCTATGTTTATAAGTGTTTCTTGGCATATAAACAAAATCTTTCAAAAATGGATTGGCATTCAATGTATGTGGAAAACTATGTCTCTTCAAAATATCACGACTAAGCGTATGATACGCATTCCATGATACGATTGGTAGACTATAATCTTCAGGATTTAATTGCTGCCAATAAATTCGGGAATTTAAAATTTCTTCATTCATCAGTACTCCTCGAATAAAATCTTCCATTGTCTATTAGTAACATAAAAAAATATAAATTAACGTATATACTTATTTTATACAATAAATCATGCTTTACATTATTTTTCTCTCAATTTTGTATGAAACAAATTTTTTTTAAATTATTTATTGCAAAAAAGTATTAACTTTGACTATTTAAGCAACTAAAAAATTTTAATAAATACCAGAAGAAAAATTATTAAAAGTATATATTTTCAATGTTTCAAGTTTAAAAATTGCGAAACAATAATCTATCTTTAAAAAGACTATGATAATACAATTGATAACAGATGGAGATTTAATAACTTACTTGAAAATCAAAATTGTCAGAGAATAATGGAAGCACAGAAGGGGAACATAAGTAAACGTGAGTATCCATGCAACAGGTATTAATCTCAATTTCATTGTGATCTAAAAACCAATCCAGTTCCAATTTCACTTTCTTTTCATTGTTCCTTAATTTCTTATAATGTAGAACCTTCTTACTAGTTTTATCAGAAACTAATAAAGATGCTTCTCTTTTTAACAGAGAATCATTAGTAGAACCAATGTTTCTTAGCAACATGGTCATTGCTGCTCCTTTATCATTTGCAAGCTTAGCACTGTGATAGTTCAAAGCATTTGTAAGATTTGCATTAATAAATGCATCTCCTCGTATTAGTATAAAATTACCACGAATAGAACCTTTTGTATCGATATCTCTAAGAGCATCACCAAGGGATGTACAACCCTCGGATATAATTAAAGATACAGATATCCTTGACCACTTTCTGTCATTTACAAATTTTTTTATTAAGTCTTTATGGCTGCTACAATATAGAACTAATTCTTGTATTTTAGACTTAATCAGGGTTTCTATTAAATAATCTAAGAGTGGTACGTTCATAACTGGCATTAAAATACTCGGAGTTATATTTTGCATTGGTGTTAACTTTGTCACGAAATCATCCACAAGAACAACAGCTTGTACAATGTCCTTTTTTCCCATCTTCATATTCATTATGTAGCTTTAATTCTTTGATCGTTAAACTGTTCAAAATATATTATTTATTATAGATTATAAAATTCCAGACAGTATTTATTCCTTTACATTTAAATATTGATTTCACTGTAATTCTTCGCCTTTGCATTTCACACATTTATAAATGAATACATTTTACCAAAAAATGATGTACTAAAGCCGCGTATCTCGCAAGCAGCTCTAGTAGCTCGCTACGAATTCTAACCTATAATCTATAACAGTTAACAGATAATAACAGTGTCTTCAGGAGTTCAGGCAGTGTGGCCCTCTGGTTCCTTTGAATATGAACATGAGCAAAATCTATTTTTCACGTATTGAGTATAAATCAGGTATTTATACTCAATCGTATTAATAATATACATATATATTCGTTCGTAGAAATAATAACAAAAATTTATTTTTTTTCAATAGTTAAAACGTGTATTTCATATCAAGAAAGAAAGGCTCACACCAGTGTGGCCAGATCTGGCATAATTGAGTGCATCGAAATCGACAACAGTAACGACGAACTTCCTTAGCGTCTAACGGAATGGTGGGGATAGCAGGCATACACTACCGCACGAGCCACGTGTACGTGAGCTCGGCACTTCGCACAACTTCGGCAAATCGATAAAGAACGCTAGTGTGAGCCTTTCCTTCTTGCTCTTGCAAAAGAGAAACAGCTGAAATACGACCTCGCGATAATCGGCATACGATTCCAAGTCTCGACTGCCCCAGCATTTTTACTTTCCGACCTATATGTAAGGTATAAGGAAATTTATAAAGTATCATAATGAAAAAAATTTTGAAGTTTTTTTTTAGCGGAAATACACGTTTTAGGACCCCCTGATCATATTGTGACTATTGAAAAAAAGACATTTTTTTTGTTCCTCAACGACTAACAATAAGTGAATTTCAATAACGAAAAAAATATTTCGAAATTTTTTTTTAGCGGAAATACACGTTTTAGGACCCCCTCATCATATTGTGACTACTACAAAAAAACATATTTTTTTTTTGTTCCTATGCTATTGACATGATTGCGTCTAAACGGCTGAATGAATTTCAATGAAACTTAACATTTAAGTTTTATGTTCTCGTTTTAAGGTCTCATGATATTTTAAGCGTGATCAGCTCCCATATAATGATGATTATACGTTTTTAGTTTTATAATTATTTCGATACATACACATCATTTGTAACAAATTTTTAAAGCGATTTATATAAATCTTAAGAAGGATTAAGATCAAATATATTTTTCTCCTATCTTTCCTAGACAGGAAAAATTAAACGAAATCTTATGCCTTGCATACCTACCTAAACCACATAAAAAACGTATTCCACAAATATTTTAGAATAATGTTGTTCAAAGCAGTCTTACTCGTAAAGGGTTAATTAAGGGTTAATTAAAATGAAAAACCACTCTTAGCCAGTACCGTGCACGCTACAAAAATAGATTACTACTGACTTTTCCCACTATGTTTTTTAATAACCGTATCAAATTGTTACACACAATCAAATGTTATATATTTGACTTAACTTTACATAACAAAATAATTGTAACGATAGGTAAAAGAATAACGTGCACGCTACCGTTCAATGGAAACCACGGGAAGGTGGTGGTCACTTCCATCAGGAGGGAAATGTAAAAAATTGTTATTTCTTTGTAACATTATCACATGCCATATATTAGAACGTCTATATTCTTCTTTCCTTTTTTTTTGATTCTCCCTCTAAATTCATTTCTGCAAAATGAAATATATTAAATTGTCGTCTATATACTGCTATTCATTCAATAGAACTTTATTTCGTACGTGCCGTAGGTCATTCTGAGACATTTAAATTGAAAAAAAGCTTTCGCGTAGGTATTCTGTAATTTTCTGTTCTTTCGCTTTTCTGCTTTTATATCATGGAAACGGTTGGGAAATCGAAGAATAAGTGTAAGCGCGGTTTTTTATCTTCATGGATAAATGATCATAGATTTAAATCATGGATACGTGCAGTACCCCATGATAGAAGTCGTTTTTATTGTACTTTATGCAATAAGTCTTATTCTTGCGGTTCCTCAAACGTGTATAGACACGGAGAATCTGGGTGTCATAAAAAAAATAGTACTTCTAAAAGGGCTTTTATGCCTCAATGGCTTGAGAATGATTATTTCAAGCCATGGTTGCATAAAGTCGATGGCGACCCTTATTCGTGGTTCTGTTCGGTTTGCAACAATCAATTTTCATGTCGATTATCGACGATTTATAATCATGCAGATTCTCAGTGTCACATTGAGAATTATAAAAAGAGTAACGATAACGCAGACAATTTGAATAATAATTTTACGACGCAATCCGAAGAATCGCCTCTGTCGTTGGATGAAAGGATAAAATCCGCGGAAATCAAATTTGCCAAATTAATAGCCGAAAAAAATATTCCGTATCGAACCGCAGAGACGATTCTTGAAGTTTTCAAAGACATTGGGCAAGATCCTGATGTCTTGAAACATATGTCGTTCGGTCGAACAAAGTGTTCAAATATTATATCAAACGTTTTGTATCCTTTAGAAACAAAACGTATTTCTAGTGTTTTACAAAACACTAAATTTTCTATTTATATTGACGAAACATCCGACTCGACCAACGAGAAATGGATGACGTTTCTTGTTCGTTATGTTGCACCCGAGACTTTGGATGTTCGAACGGAATTGGTAGAATTATTACATCTTGATGCCAGAAATTGTGACGCAGATAATTTATATAAAACATTTGAAATTGCCATGATAGAAAGAGAAATTCCGTTCGAAAATATTGTCGCGTTGTCATGTGACAACGCTGCTGTCATGACAGGGCGACACTCGTCCTTTATGACAAAGCTTGCAACAAAATGCAGGGACAAATTTTTGACTGTCCGCTGTCCATGTCATCTGTCTGCAATGGTAGTGCGCGAAGCGTGCAATACCATTCCAGACATATGCGAGGAGTTGTTACGAAAAGTAGCAACTTTCATATACAGTAGTCCCAAACGTTCGGCTATATTCCGCGAATTTCAGCAATGTTTTCAAACAACCGACAGAAAAATTTTAAAATTGTGTTCTACGCGATGGTTATCGCATTATACATCCGTAGTTACACTTTTAGAGAATTGGGACTCTGTATTGCTTTTTTTGCAAGAATTGACAATAAGCGAGAAATCAGAGTCCGGGGAACGTCTGTTAATCTCGATGCAAAATCCAGAGGCCAAAGCATATCTTTATTTTCTAAATTACGCTCTTGAGTTTTTTTATAAATTTAGCATTTTCTTTCAAACTCAAGAGACAAGAATTCATTTGCTTCAAAAGACTGCGGCAGAACTTTTATGCGATATATTACGCAATTTTCTGAAACCGCAGCTTTTGAAACACATAGATTTAGTAAGAATGATGAATTTTTCTGTAGTCGAAAATCAACTTCCATTTAATAGTATAAATTTAGGAACAGAGTGTCTTAATTTTCTGCATCAACTGAATGCAGAAGGCAAGTCCGACATCGTAGAAACCGTAAGGAAAAATTGTTTAATGTTTTATATTACAGCTGCAAACGAGCATGTCTTCGTCGAGCAATTCTTAGCATGTTGTATGTTTTTGAACCAACTTTTATATTAAATGATACAAATAGAGACATTTCCTTCAGAAATGTTCTCTTAATCGCTAAGAAATTCGGCGGTTTCGACGAAGAAGGACTGCAAACAGAATGGTCAGTATTGCCTTTGGAATTTACAACGAAAGGTAGACAGACGCTTATCGAGATGAAATTCGATGGTTTCTGGAAAACAATTTTATTAACGCGAAATTTGGACTATAAAATTAAATTTCCTGAATTAGTAAATACAATTAGATCACTTCCAAATTCCAATGCCGATGCAGAAAGATTGTTTTCCATGTTACCTGACATAAAAACAAAGAAACGGAATAAACTTTCTTCGGCCAGCGTCAACTCTATTTGCGTTGTGAAATCTTCGTTAAAGGCGCAGAGGGAAAACTCTCAACCCATGGAGGTAGATGACGATCATCTAGCTCTATTGTATTCCAAAAATTTATATCATAGATTTGCTAAGAAGCAAAAGTGTAATTTAAGATTAAACGCAACATATGACAATAACTTTGAGAATTTTCCCGCTACGTCATATGACGAAAATTAAGGTACCGATTTACTACAGAGCTTTTCTCTAGAGAGATTTTTCTCTCCAGAGAAAAGCTCTTTAGTAAATTCGTACTATTAGGCTGCAATGACAGTATAAACATTTTCATGCGACGTCGCGGTAGACTGGTCTTGTTACGTCAACGGTACCGTGACGTAGGCGCAACAAGGTGTGATGCATGTATGTGCCATAACGTCACGCGAAAGCGCTTACACTGCAACCGCAGTCTTGTTAGTGATGTCCAAAATATTTTTTTTTGGACATCGCTAATATGTAAATAGTCGTTCAATTTGTCTCGTGTTGTTACTCTTTTTACGTATTTCGCTTGCTGTAAATACTATTCTGCTTGCTCTAACTATCATTTTTTTTCTTCATTTATTTGCTTATATTTTGCCGTATATTTTTAGTTAGTGAAATTGCTTGCTGTAGATAGTGTGGCTATGACGTAGAATGTCGCGCCTTGTTACACTTACGTCACGGTACCGTAAGAGCAACAATGCACGACATAACGTGCCAGCTTAATCGCAAACGTCCTATCCCGACATCCCATCCTTTGGAAATGTAAACAATTATATCATTTTTCCATTTTTATGGCTCGTGTGTATATTAATAAAAATTAATGCATTCACGAGTTAGTTTTTCATTATAGTGTAATTTCATTACATTAATAAAAACATTTTAATATACGGCATGTGATAATGTTACAAAGAAATAACAATTTTTTACATTTCCCTCCTGATGGAAGTGACCACCACCTTCCCGTGGTTTCCCATTGAACGGTAGCGTGCACGTTATTCTTTTACCTATCGTTACAATTATTTTGTTATGTAAAGTTAAGTCAAATATATAACATTTGATTGTGTGTAACAATTTGATACGGTTATTAAAAAACATAGTGGGAAAAGTCAGTAGTAATCTATTTTTGTAGCGTGCACGGTACTGGCTAAGAGTGGTTTTTCATTTTAATTAACCCTTAATTAACCCTTTACGAGTAAGACTGCTTTGAACAACATTATTCTAAAATATTTGTGGAATACGTTTTTTATGTGGT